AATAGAAAGTGAAAAGATGTAGAACCGCTTTACGTCTTGGTGGATGTTTAACATTACAACAATTCCAAAAACAAAAACTCATCGTAAACATTTTTGTTTCCCCACTTAAAAACTCGAATGTACAGTAAATAAATTAAATGTAAGATTTCTAGAAAATCAAGGAGAGAAAAAGTAGTCTTTTTATATGAGTTAAAAACCCAACATACAAAATTAAGCATTGTCTCACGGAGATATAAGATAGAAAGACATACATCAATACAGTAAAACCCCCTAGGTCTCTCCATATGGTGACACATCAGCTTTTTTTAAGCTTTCTGAATGAGCCACCTCAGTAAAAACCTTCAACCAATGATAACATTTCAAATAATAGTATGACAATATCATACTAGTGGGGGAGTTGGACTGCTCTTATGGAGCCCAACAATTTGTGTTTAGCTTATCTCTTGAGTTTCGCCATGTCTCAATGACGTAGCCCTTCTGCTATTTAGTCATTGAATTAGTTTAGTCACATTTGCTTGGAGGATCTTATGCTCTGTTTGAGACATCGGATCTTATGCTCTGTTTCTTATGCAATGATCCTCTTTGTTCAATAAGAAAACATAGACATATGTTCATCATAAAAACGTGGTGAACTTTGTCTATTCTGAGTGCTTATTTTGTTAAGAAGAGCAGCCGCGGAGAAGATCCGCTTCTTGATTTGGTAGTTGCAACTCTCTTTCTCTTTTTCGTTGTTATTACTCTGGTTTCGAATGTTTTTGATTATGTGAATCATGAGTGTCTTGATTACTTGAGAGAGCTGATAAGGAAGACAAAGACATTGACAGAGAAACCGTTCGGGATCGGTGTTGTGCTTGCGTTTCCTCACGAGTTAAACATAAAGACAATCTTGGAAGAGAAGGTTGCTGTGTTGCAGCTTTATTGGGGTCAATGTTCAAAGGAGCTTGTGGATGATGCTCACCGTGCCGGTGTCAAAGTTGTTCCTCAGGTAAGAAAAACTATAACCAACCAAATCCCACTGATCATGTCTTTTTCTCCACAATCAGGAATTTGTCTGATTTGTTAGTTAATTTTCCTAAGGTTGGGAATGTGGAAGAAGCTAGAAAGGCAGTTGCTGTAGGAGTAGATGCGATTATAGTGCAAGGGCATGAAGCAGGAGGGCATGTGATTGGGAAGGATGCTCTGTTTTCATTGTTGCCAAGAGTTGTGGATGTGGTCGGGGAACGCGACATTCCGGTGATCGCTGCTGGAGGAATTGTGGACGCACGCGGTTACGTCGCAGCCTTGTCGCTTGGTGCTCAAGCGGTGTGTCTAGGGACAAGGTTTCGTTAATTATTTTTCTTTTTCTCCTCCAAATAGTTGATTTTGGGCTTCTGGCACTGCTGATGACTACAAGAAAAAAGAGATAAGAAGATTTTCAGGAACTGTACCAAACATGGCAACCATGAGAGACTTAGAGAGTATGGCCATGTATGCAGGCCAAAGTGTAGGCCTCATCAAAGAGATTTGACTAGCTAGAGAGGTAGTGAAGAGTCTCGTGGAAGAAGCTCAGCTTCTCATCCTCCAAAAGTTCAACAATGCTACATGATAGCTTCAAATGATGAGAATGAAAGAAAGAAGGGAACAAAAACTTTACTGCTTTTGGAATCGGATGAGAATTAGTCTCACATGCATATAATGTAGTATTTGTGTAAAAATAATAATGTGTATTACTCCTTTTATCACAAGACCATATGGTATTGAATCTGAGCTATTATGGTTTTACTACATACATAATCTCATAGCTTTATTGATCAAAATAGAAGGAGACTTTGTTGCAGCTTTTCACACAATTGTGAAGCTTGGAGTTTAGTACCTAAATAAAACTCATTTTTAACAAATTATCAAAAAAAAAAATAATAACAAAAATATCTCATGCGGCGTAGCCCGGGACAACTCCTAGTTTATTCAATGATAACTCCTTACAATTTATTCACTGTATACATAACTTCTTACACATATTGTAAGCGTCACGATAACTGGAGAAATAAAACCTACATGTTTAGAGTTCACTTCAAACAAACACACTAACATGACAATCAAAATAAATTAAAAAAGTTATAAATTAAATAAAAAAAGGTATTCACATTTTCAAGATCACCACCGCGGGCTTTCACCTAGTTTTATTAATAAAAGCCCAAAACAAAAGTATAGGAAAAAGAGAATGTCTGTGTCAGTCTTTATCGTCCACTTCCCACTTCCACTTACAGGTCGCGTTGCTTCACACTTCCAAGTTCTAACTCTCCATTGCAAAGCGACCTCGATGCACTTTCTGTAAATCACCCTTAAAACTCTGTAAATTTACTTCAACTGCCACTATCAGCAATCGACTTCATCTTCTTCTCTGAGGCTATGATGAGGATTACAGATTTTACCCTCTTCTTCTTCTTCTTCTTCTTCTTCTTCTTCGTTTCGTCTCCTTTATTGCTTCTAGCTCAATCACAGCCTCGAGAAATCGACCCACAAGACAAAGCATCTCTATTGATATTCAAAGTTTCGATTCACGACCTAAATCGAAGCTTATTGATTTGGAAAGGCTCTACGTGTTCTAACTGGACAGGTCTAGCTTGCCAGGATCCGACCGGAAAAGCACTCTCTCTCGCTTTATCCGGTATGTATTTGTCCGGTCAGATTCACCCATCTCTCTGTAAGCTCACTTCCCTTGAAAGCTTGGACCTTTCTCGGAACAATTTCTCTGGAAACATCCCTTCTTGCTTGGGTGCGTTGCGTAGTCTTAGAACGCTGAATCTTAGTCGGAACAGATTGGTTGGTTCGATTCCTGGAACATTTGGTAACCTCAAGGAGCTTAGAGAGCTCGTGCTAAGCGAGAATAGAGATTTAACCGGATTGATTCCTCACTGGGTTGGAGATTTGATGAATGTTGAGAGAATCGATCTAAGTTTCTGCTCGTTTCTTGGTGAATTGCCTGAGAGTTTGCTCTATTTGGAAACTCTCAAGTACTTGAATCTTGAGAGCAATAACTTGACGGGCACACTTAGAGATTTTCAGCAGCCATTGATGGTTCTTAATCTTGCTTCGAATCGGTTCTCCGGTACACTGCCTTGCTTCTACGCCTCTCGTCCGTCTCTCACTCTTCTGAGTCTTGCTGAGAACTCTCTCGCTGGTGGTTTGCCTTCGTGCTTGGGTTCTTTGAAAGAGCTGAGTCATTTGAATCTATCTTTCAATGAGTTCAGCTACCAAATATCTCCGAGGCTTGTCTTCTCGGAGAAGCTCTCGATGCTTGACTTGAGCCACAACGAGTTCTCAGGTCCTCTCCCTGCAAGAATCTCTGAGAAACTCGGTCTTGTTCTTCTTGATCTCTCTCACAACAGGTTCTCTGGCTACATCCCGTTGCGGATCACCGAGTTAACGAGCTTACAAGCGTTGCGTCTCTCTCACAATCTCTTAACCGGAGATATCCCGGCTCGGATCGGGAACCTGACTTATCTGCAAGTCATCGATCTCTCGCACAACGCGTTAACCGGCTCTATACCTCTCAACATCGTCGGTTGCTTTCAGCTGCTTGCTCTGGTGATCAGCAACAACAATCTCTCCGGCGAAATCCAACCGGAGCTCGATGCGTTAGACAGTCTCAAGATACTAGACATAAGCAAGAACGAGATCTCCGGCGAGATCCCGCTTACTTTAGCTGGCCTCAAGTCGCTCGAATTCGTCGATATAAGCTCCAACAACCTCTCCGGAAACTTGAACGAAGCTATCTCCAAATGGTCTAATCTCAAGTATCTTTCTCTTGCTCGGAACAAGTTCACCGGAACGCTTCCTTCTTGGTTGTTCAAGTTCGACAAAATCCAAATGATTGACTACTCCAGCAACAGATTCTCTTGGTTTATACCGGACGATAACTTGAACAGCACGCGATTCAAGGATCTTGAAACCGGAGAAGAATCTTCTTCAGAGAGAGTGGAGATCAAGATATCAGCAACTGTGGTTGCTAAAGATGAGCTAAGCTTCAGCTACAGTCTCTTATCAATGGTTGGGATTGATCTTTCTGATAATCTATTACACGGAGAGATACCAAAAGCTTTGTTCAGACAGAAGAACATCGAATACTTAAACCTGTCTTACAACTTTCTTGATGGTCAGCTTCCGGATTTAAAGAAGCTGCCAAGGTTAAAGGCATTAGATCTTTCACACAATTCTCTGTCGGGTCAAGTCACTGGAAACATGTCAACACCATCAGGTTTAACACTTCTGAATCTATCTCACAACTGTCTCTCCGGAGTCATTACTGAGAAACAAGGGCTTGGGAAGAAGTTTCCGGACGCTTTGGCAGGGAATCCAGAGCTTTGTGTTGAGTCTTCAGGAAGCAAGTGTGATCCTGCAAACATTGATGCATCATCACATGAGGAGATATATCAAAATGAATTGGTGGAAGGAACGATTTCGATTTGGATATTCTGCTTAAGTGCGTTTATAAGCTTCGATTTTGGAGTGTTGGGTATCTTCTGCTCAGCTCGTGCTCGGAGTTATATTCTGCAAACCAAAGCAGCTTAAACAGAAGAAAAAGCCAATTTTATGTTCAATCAGTAATAATTGTTTTTGGTGTGTATATTCAGTTTTTGAACACACATTTCTGTTGTATGAGATGTCAAGTGGAAATGCCATGTTTTGTTACTAAAATCTCCGAGTTTTGTCTCAAATGTTGTTTACTTGTGTATTAGGGTTTGACATGTGCCTTGCACCGGGATGATGATCTCTGAATTTGTATTTTTTTAATCAGAAAATGTAAATATAACTATTTTGAAATATTATTTCAAACATCCAAATAATTGCAGATACATTTTGTCAAAATGACAACTAATCTGAAACGGAGGGAGTATTTTTTACCTTGTTTAGGTTTTTGTCTTGGTTTATAATGTGGAAATTAAACATTTTAAACCATGATCAAAAAAGTTCAACAAATTAAAGCGTTGATCGTTGCCATAGATTAAATACGATAAACTTAGACAATATACATAAAACTCAAATGATTACAATATAATAAAAAAATTCAAAGAACAAAAAATAAAAATAAAATAATATTCTTTAAAAAAAAATTAAAAATCATGTATTTCATAAGATAAGCAGATATAGATGTATGTACACAAATGATAACTAACTTTTTCTCTTTCATTCAAAACTAAAAAATGTTTTATTATAATTTCACAACAATTAGACCAATAAGAAAACAATATGTAGAATCCTATTTGTCAAAACAACAAAAATATAATTAGTTTTTATATTGAAAGTGAAACAGATAGAGCAATATTCAAATTTTTATCAATATAATATATTTATAAGAAGAATTGTTTTATTGAAATCAAAGTGTGGAGAAGATAAAACATACAAATAACCGCTTAAATTAGTAACCGCTTGAATTTTAACAAATGCAGGTCTCAGATAGTTGTTTCTTCGGAGGTTGCAATGGATAAGACAGTTTCGGTAATTAGTTTGACGATTCTACGACAATTCGTATGTCTCGTTTCTCTCCTCTCTCTGATGGTAACGGTTGCAATGGGCTTCACATCATTGACGATGGCTGATCCAATTCTGAGTCTTTCGGCCCAGATTTCGAGTTCAACAGTGTCGATGGCAGATCAAACGCAACGAGTTTCGATTAGAGATGATGTTTTTGGTGTTTGGAAACGATCCTGTTTCCATCAAGTCTCTCTGACAGTGGAGATGAAGTATTTATTGTTCGTCAGATTGGGGTGGTTCTCTTTTGTTACCCAATTCGAACGTGCCATCTCCGTGAAGGGTCAAGTGACTATCCACGATGCCCAACTTCTCCGGCACCAATCTGGTGAAGGGATTGAATTTAAGATTCGGAAAGTATTGTGGTGCATTGGTCGACGAATTTGGGATCCAGGAAAATCAGTTTTATGGAGGAAGTTACAGAATAAGAAGATGATGTTCACTCACTTCTGGCCATTGGAGTATGATGGACAAGACTTCAACACCAAAGGTAACAGATGAATTTTAACAAATGCAGTATCTCATAAAATTTATATTTTGATACATTATATTTGGCATCAAAATATAAATTATCGTTGGAACTAGGCCCGCGAATTTAACCCGGACCCGATAACCGAATCCGTATCCGACCCAAAAAAACCGACCCGAGTCGGTTCGGGTTTGTCATAATAACCGATCGGTTTTGATTTAGATTTGAGATCGGGTTCGGTTCGGTTCGGTTTATAACCGATAACCGAATTAATAACCGAAAACCGAATTTTAACACTTAAAACCTTTAAAAAAAAAACACATCCTCTTCGTCTTCTTCACCTAGAAACCCTAATCGTCCACCATAAATATTCAGATCTTGAATTCACCTAGATCCGCCGTAGAAAAAGTACAGAGCCAAGCCAGATCCTCCGGTGTTGCTCCGGATCACGAATCTCTGCCGTGTATTTGCCCATGGTCTTGTTCACCCCGTGTATTTGCCCATGGTCTCCGTCGCACGTCTTGATCCATCACACACACGAACCAACCTCGCCGAGTCACGATCACTCATCATCTTCTTCTTCTCCGCAAGCAGCTTTTGAGGGATTTGGATTTGGGAGAAGAGGTGATTGTGTCTCCGGCGGAATCAGGTGAAGAAAACCCGACAATTACCCGAACCCGAAATTTCAAACCCGAACCCGACCCGAAACCGACCAAATACCCGATCGGTTACTAAATTTCCAAACCCGAATACCCGAAACCCGATTTAACCGACCTGAACCCGACCGGTTAACCGAATTCCCAGGCCTAGTTGGAACCATGGGCACCCATGGAAAAGACGGCGGTTCAAAGATGTATTCTCTTTATTGTATGGCGACGTTCTTAGAGTCGTTAAAAATTGAATATCCCAATCTCTATTTCTGATGGAAGAATCAATATATTGGGTTCTATACAGATTATCAATAGATCTAGATTGGGATATGGCCAATGTAATACAGCAAAGGAAACTGGTATTTAAAACGGGACAAAGTGTTAAAGCCCCAAGAATATTAACAGAGTCGAAACTCTGTTATTCACGAAGACCTCTCAAGCAAGAACATCTTCAAATTTTACTTCATTTGGTTTGCTGTTATTTCATCATCTTGTATGTTTTTTATTATTATTTTATGTATTGTTACATTCAGTTCAACATTAATAATATAAGCAGATGTTAACAAAAAAAAAATTGTTTTATTTGATTTAATTATACAGTTTAATTAAAAATCCATATTAAATTGAAAAACATTTTACATTTGGAATACTACTCTCCTATATCACATGGTTGCACATCATCTATTTTTTTTTAAATATATTTTTACACCTTCACACAACAACATATCATATATGGAAATTTTAAGAGTTTTAGTGAATATTTAAAAAAAAAAATCAAATCATAGTATATACAGAATTGTTTTTAGATTTTCTTTATTAAATTTATTATATTGTGATTCAAATTATTTTATAAAATAAAGGTAAACAAAGATGAAAGGAGATATCTAATGATTTAAAAAAACAATTATTATGATAGAATTAAATTGAATCTCATATTTTCCTTATTTACTAATTTTCATAATTGCCGATTAAGGAAAGAGAATGATAATTTTTTTTATTAATAGAATTGTATATAACATAGAAATAAATAGTACTCAATATTTTATGTGGCATAGCTGTAAATAGTCTAATAAAGAGAGTCTTATTTTAAAAAATCATGAGAGTTTGGCAAATGCAGAGACCTCAGCAAGTCTGCTCTTTTAATATATAAGTGATTACAAAATTACTACTATCGCCAATTTTATTTTTCCAAAACTACTACAAAAAAAAACTGTTTTGTTCCAAAAATACCACTAAACTAAAATTAAAATTTAAACCCTCAAATTATAAACTCCTTAAAAGTTAAATCAAACCCTACATTGGTAATAACCTTTTCATCTTTTAATGTCTCGACATTTGGCTTTTATCTCTACTAGCTTATTCATTTCATCTCTTTAAAATCTAGACATTTTTAACTCTATTTTTAGAGTTATGGATTTGCTTAGGATGAGATGAAAATACCTAGTAAGATGCATAACTATCATTTGGTATGCCAATGCTTAGTGCTAAATTCAAAAACCCAAAAAGACTTCCAAATTTATTTATTACTAATAGACAAGTAGACAACATTACAACAAGTTACAGTGAATTATATTATTTGAACCTATATTACATATAAAAGTTGAGGCTAAGTTCCTCAAATCTCCATATAGAACTAAGAAAAAAAATCATTATTATTGGTCCATATAAGTGTTTCCAAAATTAGTTTCCAAATTTTAAAATTATAAAAAAATATATATATATATATATATATATATTATTTTAAACGACAGATAATGTCATTTCAATTAAAATTAAAATTACTTTATTATATTACTTTTTAGTTTTCAGAAAGTTTATTAATTTAAAAATTTGGAAAATTGAGAAATTATATTTTCAAATAACAACAAAACATAAAAAAATATGCTATATTTATCAAAGTTAAAGCTATTAACCTCATCTGTATAAGATTTAAAAAACCAATATTATTGATCCATATAAGCATTACAAGATTTAGGCCAGTATTTAAAGGTGTTCAAATAAGATTTAAAAAACCAATCTTATTGGTCCATATACAAGCATCTCCAAAATTAAGAAGTTAGATATTAAAAAAAAATCATGTAATATACGCAAACCAAAAATTGAGAAATAATGCCGAAGAAGGGGATGATAGGACTATTTTTTTTGCTTTGTTTAAGTTTTTTTTAAATCCTATGTGGATTATATAATGACGTGGACGAATATTATTGGTTGTTTAAAATTTGGAAATTTTCTTAATATTGGAGATGCTTATATGGACCAATCAAATTCAGTTTTAGAATCCTAGGTGGACACTTTTAGATGCCTATAAGGGCAACTTTTATTAGTAATAGATAATAAGATTTCAATAATTATATATAAATATCATACTAGTATTTGCGAAGTCAGAATTTCGAATGGAGCCACCACGTTAACTCTCAGCCCGGAATTACCAAGATGCCCTTAATGAAAATCTATTATTAAATCTTTTGAATTTCTTTTTTTAATTATTTCACGATTTTTTTTTTATATAAAAGTTCATTATTTTCCTTATTAAATATTGATAATTATCCTCTTCTTTTTTTCCTCGATTTATATTTATCACTTAAATAAATATCCTAACTACCATATTACCGCGCCACTTTTTGGAAGAAATCAAATAATTAGGTATTTAAAAAAAAACCCTAGATTTTACAACCGACTTTGTCCTATTTATATAAATAGATTGTAACAAGCAAAATAAACAGAATTTTTGTTTCTTCTTTTTCGTGTTTTAAATTCTTCGATTCCATATTTCATCTTTTGTCATGTAGGTTTACAGTTTTTGCTAGACCTTAGTTGTATTAGATCTAATGTTTAACTGATTATTCGTTATTTTCAGGAAATTTTATCCAAAGATTCACATCTAACTTCTACTTCTTTTACCTTTGTAACAGTAAATTCCTGGTTTGTTAGCTAATTGAGTCAACGAAATCAACTATGGTACCAACTCAAAAAAGTGCATTGACAAAAATTGATTGTATGTACATCTTTCGTTTTTATTTTCAACTTAAATCTCATGAAACCCTAATTCGAATAAGCTTATCTAAAAGGATTTTGGATTTTGGTTTTAGATCAATCATATTAGTTCTTATAACAGCCGATTTCGTAATAATATTTTGTAAACTTTCTTGATTCAAGCACCTACAAAAAAGTTTTTACATATGATAAGGTGTTGAGGAAGAGGTACACCGTTTCCGGACTTGGGCCAAGGACACATGAATCTGGTATTTTTGTGAGGATTTTGCGTTTAGGGATAGACGAGTACAAAAGTTCAGCTAAAAGATTAGAGATTATTCTCACTCATGAAGAGGTAAAATAAAAATTATAAACTGTACGATAGCTTAGATTGAAAGCCTATATATATTTTTTTATCTTATATATGATAAATATGACAGGGAGAGAAGATTGAAGCGACTGTGCATGGTTCCGTTTATGACGCCTATGAGTGCAAAGTCAACGAAGGAGATTAGATTCACATCAAGAATTTCGATGTAACTACTCAAAAAGGACATTGTAGAGCTACTTGGCATCTAAATCGAATATACTTGGTGCCAACAACAATCTTTTTCCCGAGCGTAAGAAACTTCTTCGATTTCATTGATTTTCAAAAAATCATAGATCATACACACTGCGATGATTATTTAGTAGGTACGTATATTATATTTAAGAACTGTGACACATATTCAAAAACTGTATATGTATCTAACCCCTCTTTTAATGTTTTCTTTTCTTACAAGATTTGATAGAAGAGGTTGTCAATATTGGTGAATCTACAATCTGGAAAGAGATCATATGTGTTTGAAAAAACAAAGAGTTATGCGACAGATAGCATCCATCCTAGCATCAAGTTTCAAATCCGTGACAGAAGGTGATTCAATTAATAATTATATTCTTGAATCTTAATAGTTTTTTTTTAATTTTATAAATGATCAAAATATATTCTTTTTAAATTGTTACAGCAATGTTCATCTAAACTGCGTGTTGTTTGGGAATAATGCAATAAAGTTTTGTAAGGAATGGATGAAACTAAACCATCGTAGTGTAATATGCGTCATTAGGTGGGGACTAATAGAATTTCGAGCAGGTAACAATTTATAGATTGTCAAATTTTAAACTTCGTGTTCTAAACAAAAATTACAAATCGTTTATGCTGATTTCAGGCAAGGTTACAATTTACTGCATTGATCCATCCACATTCGTCTTCAATCCTTCGATTCCTGAGGTTGATGATTTCGAAAGAAGGTATGTTTTAACGTATTTTCATTTAATTTTAATACTTCTGATATCTTAATTAACTAAGAACTTAATCAAATCGCTCACTATTGATTTGACTTAATCAATAATTTCAGAAGCAAGGAGCAGCGACAAAGATATAATACGGCTGGACAATCGTGTTTGACATCGTGATGCCCAATGACAAAGATATATGTCGTATTGTCAAACACTACCAGCTAGGGTTCGAATTCGATTTTCATGGTTGGATTATTGTTTTTTTATGTTTTTTTTTTAATAAGATATTTATATTAGAATAATTCTATATCTAATGAAGTTGGTTTTATGTTTTAAATAATAAAATAAGATCCCTCTTAAAATATGAAGAATATTGCGGATGAGAACGAAGATCAAATATAGAATATTATTTATGGTGATTAAAATTATCTTATTATTTACGATTAACATTGAGTCTAAACTAAATTCTCAAAGTGCAACAACAATTATGAAAAATTAGTTTCATAATTACTAAGTTTAGGGGGGTTATTGGGAATAGAATTCTTGTGGATTTTGAAAGTTTAGAGATTTTAAAAATTTGTGTGGATTCTTGTGGATTATCATTGATTTTATGAATTCTTATCAAATATTTTGTGTGGATTGCCATTGATTGTCACTGACTTGTGAAATTCGTTTTGCTTCTATAATTTGCTTCATAAGGCAATAAGTATATTTTTGAAAATAAATTTTTCTAACTTTCTTTTGCCGTGGTCATATAAGAACACCATTCTTCTTTTATTTGCATTGGTCTTCCATCTTGTTCTTTGGCCAAATACAGGTAATCTCTTTGCTTGTACTCTTATTTTACTATGTGTTTTATGTTGGATAGTTTTTCTTCTGTTCGTATTTTCTTCTGTTCGTATGATTTCCCTTCATTCACCGTATATAGTTCCATTTTTTGTTTTATGTTTTTCTGTGTACTATTTTTTGTTTGATTGTGTTACGCTGTAGTTTTACCTTTTAGTTTTATTTAGTTATGTTCATATAATTGTGAAAACAGTTGTGTCATAATCTTTAACATGTGATGTTCTTATACGTTTTTGTTTACAAACATTACATTTGTTGCAGGTTTAGCATGGAAAAAAGTCACGAAGAAGAAGAAAACCAAATGGAAGATGACGAATCAGATTTGGACATTATGCTACTAATGTTGGATAATATAGCAAGAGCATCTACGAAGAGTGCCAACCAAATTGAACGTCCTGTTTGTCGACCGATTACGGACATTGGCTATGATTACATTCAAAAGGCTCTTGCGGAGAAACATGAACATTTTCGATCGTTATATCGTATGTATCCAGAGTCGTTTGAGAAGCTATGTGTTCTTATTAGAATGAAGACATGTCTACGAGATACCCGTCATATATGCGTTGAAGAAATGGTGGCTACATTCCTCCTTACAGTTGGTCAAAGTTCAAAATATTGTTATACAATAGACACATTCAAGAGATCGGTATTCGCGACGAGCGAGAATTTTCATAAGGTTCTTAAAGCGCTAAACACCATAGCACCAGATTTGATGGCGAAGCCTGGAGTCACAACATGTGCAAAAATAAGAGAGAGCACAAGGTTTTTTCCTTACTTCAAGGTACGTAGTTATGATTCTTTAATCAAGCAATCACATGTTTTCATCATCCTTTTCTTATTTATTTGAGAACTCGATTTTGATCATTATAGGATTGCATTGGAGCTATTGATGGCACACATATCTTTGCCATGATACCAAAAGATGATGTGCCTAGCTATCGGAATCGTAAAGGATCTGTATCACATAATGTACTTGCAGCCTGTAATTTTGATCTGCAATTTATTTATGTTCTTAGTGGATGGGAAGGTTCAGCTCATGATTCAAAAGTTTTAAATGATGCTCTAACAAGGAACACTTGCAATTTAGAAGTTCCCGATGGTATATAGTTGAGAAATGTGGTTCATATAAAACTACAAGATGTTTTTGTGTATATGAAACTGACTTTAATCATTAGTTTATTGTTTTTCAGGAAAGTATTATCTTGTAGATTGTGGGTTTGCAAATCGTCAAAAGTTTTTAGCTCCCTTTAGAAGTACTCGTTATCATCTACAAGAATTTAGAGGCCAAGGATGTGATCCCGGAAACCCAAACGAGTTATTCAATCTGCGGCATGCATCTTTGAGGAACGTTATCGAAAGAATTTTCGGTATTTTCAAATCTCGTTTTCTGATTTTTAAATCTGCTCCTCCTTTCTCTTTTAAGATGCAAGCAGAATTGGTTTTAGCTTGTGCTGGATTACATAATTTTCTTCGTAAAGAATGCCGATCAGATGCTTTTCCCGTAGAAGTGATCAACACAGACCCTAAAGAAGTAAACATTTTTGAAGATAATGGAGACGTAGGCACTCTTGAATCTCAGCAAAGGGAATATGCGAACAATTGGAGAAACATGATAGCATCTAGTATGTGGGCAGATGCATTGGGCAATGGAAGTCAGCGATGATGATGTTATCGTATCTTTTGTTTTTTATTATGATGTTATTTTGGTGTTATGGTTAACTCTTGTTGTGTTGTTTGACGTTTTTTGTTTTATGAAGTCAATTTTTTTTTTTTCATACAGATTAGTAGAATCTCATAGATATACATGGTATTTTGAAAGTTGAGTCATATGGTAAAAGTCTCAAGAATTTTACTTCTAATAACAATAGATTTTAGTAGAATGACAAAATCTATGAAAACTAAACTTTTTGAATAACAAGGAATTTTGATTGGAATTTAAAAGTCTTCAAACCAATAACAGAGGATTCTACTCAGATTTTAAAAATCCATAAACCAATAACAAAGGATTTGTAAAATTTTAAAACTCTTTATAAATCCATCTCCCAATAACCCCCCTTAGAATGAAAATAGTTGTCTATTTATTGGTTATGGTGTACTGTACAGATGGGGGATTGTTATTCTAGGTTTAGGGTTTATAATTGTGGGTGTAGGGTTTAGTTTTTTGTGCGTTTCTTAAAACCTTATATTTTTAAATAACTTAATGATAAAGGAAATAGGTAAACAACTAAAATTACAAAAAATCCTTTCGATTAAGTAATAGTAATATTGCCTATGCTTAAAGGAAACAAGAACTATATGTGTTAATAATGGTATGAGTGATTACGCAATCCTTATTTATCAAAAGTAATAATTATAAAGTGAATTGGTAAACAACTTAAATATTTAATCTTTATCCAAATCATTTAAAAATAAAACTAACATTGCGGTTGTTAAAAAAAAATATATTCAATAAGTAAAATTTAAAATAACAAATACAAATCATCTAATATTAGAATACCTTAAAAAAATATTCAAAAAAAACAACCATAGTTTAAATTTTTTAACTAACTAATGGGGACCAACTTCTTCTTGAACCAAACCTAGTGCTAGACATGCATCTCTGAAAATATGGTGAACAACACCTTCAACTGTCATCAAATCTGTATAATTCCTTGGACCTCTAACAACATCAACTAAAATTTGAAGATAATAGGCTTTGCCAAATTCCTGAGGAACATTAGGTACATACATTCTCCGATGCCGTGCTACTTCTTTGCCTACAACGCCATTGTTTATCTTTGTAAGACCAAACCCATCTAGATGGAAACTCTGTGTAAAGTAGTGTCCCTGCATCGGGATTTTTATCATTACATTTCATCCAAGCTGCAAATGTATTCTTCCGCCTATTCAAGTTAACATCATGATCATCATCAGTAAAAAGAATTTGCGGCTCTAGAAGCTTTAAAGGTAGGGTTTGCATGATCACAATTGATTTTTGTGACATTTATTATTGGTTTTGAACACAAGAATATAAAAATATATATATATGTAGTAGATGAAGATTTAAAAAGTTCCGTTTTCCTTATCCTATCTAATTTCTGATTACATCTTAAAAGCTGAACAGTATTTGTCTATTATGTGGTTATGGTGTATTGTACGGATGGGGATGGGGTGGGGTGTTTATTGATATCACCATATTTTACATGATTTTACTATATATTTACCTATGTTTTCAAACGGTTTTTGCAAGATTCTTTGCCTTTAGAGGTAGTTTTCTTGTATTTGTGGGATTTGAAGTCTTTGTAGGTGAAATAATCAAAAAGGATGCAAAAAGGAGTAAAAGAGCCCTAAATCAAGATCCATGCAAGTTTCCAAGTCAAGAAGATCATTTTATCTCCAAGTGTTAGTTCTCGCTGCGCGCAGAACGAAGCTTCGGAAGTTTGGCCGCGCGCGGAGGAGTTCCCGACGTCCAAAAGTTACGATCTTGATATGGAAAGATAGATACTTGAGTCATGCATCACGTCGAAGTGGAATGAAGCCATTTGGATCAACTATGAGGCCTAGACTTATTTTCTACCGAGACATGTCCGGTAAGCGAGCAAACGAAGCCCATGGAGGATTTGGAGTGTCTAATGGCCCGAGCAGCAGCGCCAAAGGCCTTGATCGAATAGAGAAGAGGCCTGGCTAATGTTTGGAGCTTTCCTTGGTACAATGTCGGCCCATACACGACGTGGAGAAGAAGGCTTTGCTCGCGGGAAACTTTCCTTTTCCGGCATGAAGAAAACCCTACGCGACTTCGCCCATATATACATGTTTTTAGCCGCTGAAGAAGAGATCGAGTCCAGTCCGAAAATTATCAAAGAGTTACGTGTGAGAAGAGAGAGAAGAGAAGAGAAGCCCTAGGAGATCGTCCAAGAAGAAGGAGGCGCCGCTCAACTCTTGTTCTTTCTTTTTCATTGTTTCCATTTCTATAAACTTGATCTTAAGAGTTTTCAAGGGAGAATCCGACTTTGTTCATCAATAGAGAAGCTTTCTTCATCCCTTTATCTCTTTTAATACTTGCATAATGTTTACAATCATGCTTTGCTTGCTTGTTTGCATCATGGCCGAGTAGATCTCTTAGTTAGGCCGAGGAGATCTATGGTGGCCGTGATGATTTGATTGTGTTGCAACTTATTGGGATTTATCTTATGGATCTTCACCTTTACTTGAGCTTAATGCATGATTACTCTACCGTACATCTAGTAATCTGATCTTAGAGAAATAGAACCACGACAGTGCTGAATCTAGATCTCAAAACTAGTATTTGGTGAGCAATAGATCATAGCCAACGAAAGCTGAGTTATGGTTTATTGTGAACAATTGAATCTTGAACCTTGTAATGCATGTTTGCAATTCTAATAGCCAACGAAAGCTGAGTATATTAGGTTGTTTTAAACATAGTGGTTGGAGCCACGACAGTGGAAAGACCATACACTAGTGATTCATGTTCAAGACGGCTCTACACACATCCCATGCAACTATCTTTTCATCATTGCTCCATATGATTGTCCTTTGCCTAACTCTTGTTTTAAATTGTTTACAACTCACTCACATTTCTTTTGTTTTTTTTCTCATTCTAGGTCCAAAACCACCTCATATTGCGAGCTAGCTACAAACCAATCTCACAAGGTGTTAAGTGAGAACACTTCCTCCTCGTGTTCGACCCCGACTACAACACGGCTGTGCACTTGCAGCTCATTAGTTGGGTTTATAAATTGTGAAAATTTGAGGCAATCTAAACCCGCCATCATTTATTGTAGGGTTAGGGTTTAGAATGTAGGGTTTATATTGGTGGGAGTAGGGTTTAGTTTTTCGTGCGTTTTTTAAATCCTTAGTTCTTGAAATTCTAATGAAAAGAGAAATAACAAAAAAACTAAATTTTTTAATCTTTTGTTCAAATCATATCGATTAAATAAAAACTTGCGTATTAAATTATAAATTTTGAAATTGTGATATTTTATTCAATTACATAAATAAAGCATATCAAATACGATAAATAATATATGAGAATAATATAACAAAAAATAAGCGAAAATAATCATTAAAATAAAAAACCACCATCTTCTTCATCAAGCAAACCTAATGTTAGATATGCTTATCTAAAAGTAAATTAAATCAATTAATATAATGAAGTTTTATAAACATTTGATATGATTTGAATATTTAAATTATTTTAATAATCATTGATAGTTTTTTGTTATTTCAGTTTTTTTGAAAAATTATTGTAACCTTTGATTGATGAAAAATATTAGTTTTTGCTTATAGATATTTTTATTTTCAAAAACAACTCATGCCCGCGCAAGATTACCTCGTTTATAGTTAAATGAAATTAATACAATTTAAAATTTCTAGTGATTAACCGGGGACTTGTTCTTCTTCTTCTTCAATGGTTTTGTTTGTATCAGAATGAGATAATGATGATTGGAGGATGTAGTGAGGTTGCAGAGGAGAGAAAGGTCCAAGAACTCCGTGAATATCCAAAGAATCTCCAAAAAACATGTCGGGACATGATTCACTTCTGCTGTTCTTGTTTCTTCATCGACGGTGTAGATTTTGACGCTCTTGTGACGGAAAAGGTTGGGGAGACAGGTTCCTTGAGACTTCTTGAGAAGGTCTTTCATCGGAAGCCTTAGAGGGACTGTGTGATACTGAATAATCTGTTTGAGAAACAGAGGAAGCGATGACGTATTGAACAAGGCAGCGTCGTCGATGGCAAAGAGGGTTGTGTTGGGAGAAGAAGAGAGGAAGATCTCCGGGGAGATGTGAAGGAGAGTTGCGATTGCTTTGAAGTTGGATCTGCTTAGACCGTTGGAGGCGTTTAAGGAGAGATGATGAGTAATGGGTCTGCTTGGTGTCTTGATGTCGGAATCTGGAGGTGAATGTAGGTGGAGACGGCCATGAATGCTAAAGCAACGGAGATGACAAGTAGACAAAGCAGTCAGTTGAACAACAACCCGTCGCTTGCAAAGGAAAATCCAAAACTGAATCGAAATTCTCAGCGACTGAGACGAAGAAGAGAGAGTTCGTCGAAGAAATGTGTTCTTGGAGGGATTTTGGGTTTAACAAGAGAGTTTTCCGAATTTACCGATAAGGTTTAGTCTTCTCGTTTTATCTTATAAAACATCTTAATAATTAACCATCTTATCTATCTTAGTAATACGTTTTAAAGTCAATTTTTGTGGAGATGGTCAAAATAAACAAAATGATTCCTCTGTTTTGGAAATTCAGAGTCATCTTCGTTCATATGATATCAAATAAACCAGTAAGTCTGCCCCCGGTAAAGAACATTGATGCAATGTTAAAAACTTAAAACACAGATGAATCTTGAACATTCTTCTCCAATCACAAAACACACTACTAGAGAAGACGACTCTGCTTATATAACCTTACTTCCCTCTGGACTTCTTGGATGGTCTACGGTTTTCAATCCTTCTCTTGGCAGCTTCAAATTCTTCCTCACTGGGCTCTGGATCCGCATTACCACCATACCTAGAGATGAGTGATGAAAACATTGAATCCACTTTTCCTTTCCTCTCATCTCTCCGCTGCATAATCAACGTGGCAAGATCTGTCTCTGAATCTTTTGCAGACCTACAAGTTATACGCAAAGCAAGGTGGTCACAACAAGGTCAAGTTGATTGGTAGAGGAACTAATTTATAACAGAGGCAGAGAGTTTACTTCTGTTTCTTCTTCCTGGACGGATTGAGAGGCGGCTTCGATTCTGAAATTTTCTTTGCCCACTTCTCATATGCTTTGCTTGATTTCACTTCTCCTGGAAAAAGGGAAATCAGTTGTATCACACAAGAAGCTAATAATCAGCAAATCGCCCAAGTTCACAGATATTTCAAATCAGGTTCTTAGCTAGACTAGAACAGAACTGGAACCAGAAAATTAAGAAGCAGGAAAACTCAATTTGGAACGTCAAGGATTTGTTATATGAAAATAATATCTTGCAAGGCTTATAATTCTATTTACAACAAGATTAGACTACCTGCTGCAATGGCCTCATCAAGGATGTCTTTGAAACGGTGTGAATCAAGCTTGGGGTCAGAGCAAAGCATTGAGCAGAATAGCCTGACAAGGAAATATATATATACATATAACCAATCTCACAACCTCAACAAAACCCGAAAATGAAGGATGATGAATTTACCTGTTCATTTTACCCTTAAACTTGTTGAACATCTCAATTAAGTCTTTCTTCTCTGACTCAGATCCCCTGTAGTTTGCCTCAAAGTCTTCAATATCTGCTTCGGTGACCTAAAATCAGCAGGGGCATCAAATCGAGTTGGTATAAGCAGCAGAATCAGATGCGTACAAAGTCACAGAAAGGTATCAACTGAATAAGTTGCTGCTACCTTCTTGTACAGTGCCTGGAAGAATTCCCGCAAGTTCTCAAACGCATCACCAGAAAGTTCCTACAGAGCACGGAAAATAACCAATTTTGTGACATCTCAGAATACAATTACACAAGTCAAAACTGGACAAACAAAGGAAGCAGTAAAAGAGACTGCTTTATGTTGATTTCTGAAACGAAAAGAAGCAGAGAGACTCACATCATCATCAATTGAGCCGGTTTGATCATAGACTGCTCTTTTCTCTTCATCCCCTAAAATCGACATGACTTTCTGCAGCTGCTGGAATTTCTCTTTAGCTTCCTGTAACAAAACACAAAGAGTAGCATTTCCATGTCAAACGGACCCCCAAACAAAACAATGCAAAGGTACAGGCGAAGAGAAAGAGTGTTTCAAACCTCATCGTCCGGATTTTTATCCGGGTGAAGCCGCAATGCCAATTTGTGATATGCTCTCCTTATCTCCTGTGAAGAAGCTGTTCTCTCAACTCCAATAACCTTGAATAAGTAATGATAGATCTGTTAGTCGCATCCAATTTATGATACATCTTTAAGCAGCACTCTTTTCGCTTTTCAAATCAATTATGATACAATTACCCAAGATTAGGTCATAAAATTATAAAAAAAGGGTTATATTCCACCTAAACTTGATAAACCCTAGATTACGCGAGAGAAAGAGCACAGAGATTCTGGAAGAGAAATTTAAAAGAACCTCGTAAAGGCTTGTTTCACAGAATGGCCCATCATTATCCATCCCAATGTCATCTCCCTCCGTTGTCGAAGATTTATTTTTCCTACCCATCTGAACCCTAATAGATCGATACAGCCGCTGGCGTCGGAAGAAAAAAAGAAGAGAGGAATGCCGCTGGCACGCTGTCGATTGGAGTCGGCGATTTATATGCTTCACATAAAGGTTATCTAGGCGCCAATTTCTGTGTGTTTCCCGCCAATTTTAGGTGAAGATATTTCCCTGCCAATTTCTCTGAGTTCCCGCCACTTTTGTGTTGCGTTTTTGGGTCCGTCGGAAAGAGTACTGTATATTTATGGAAAATTGTACTATCTAGCCTCAAATAATGACTAAATTAGTCCATCAAAAAGTTGATTTTCTGACATATTAAGGGTCTGACTGGTTTAACCGCTGCGGTTGCGGTTGCGGGAGTTTGCGGCTGCGGGAGTTTGCGGAAGCGGGAGTTTGCGATTAAAAGCTGTTTGTACGACTGGTATAGCAATTCATAGCGGTTGCGTTTGCGGGATATTTTTGACTGGTTAGCCAGCGGGTGCAAGAGCGGTTTAACCAAAAGTTACTAAAATAAAAATAATATATAATTATTCAAAACATTTATAACCATATTAATAATTTTTTTTTTGAAATATATTTTTTGATGAATTTTTAATTTGAAAACTACCCTTATTTTTTTGGTTTTGAAAAATACACTTTTTATATGTAAAATGATTATTCCTAATTTAATAAAAACGAAATTCAAATAAGAAATATAAAATATTAATATTTGATAATAATTTTGTATCATTTTAACATCCTAATTACCTGTTTAGTTTTTTTTAAACAATTTAATAAAAATATAAGATTGTTTATATAAAGTTTAAATGGGGTGAGATTAAAGTTGTTTATGCAAAGTTTCAAAAATATTTAAATTTTTCAAAAGATAAACATTAAAAATGAAAGATATATTTCTCCACTTTTAAATTTTTAATAATTTATAAACTTTAAATATATGTAAAGTTTTAATTTATTTAAAGTTTCATTTGGTTTGAATGTGTATGAGGTTAAGTTGTTTATATAAAGATCCAAAATATTAAAATTTGTTTCAGTTTAACATATACTATATTTATTTGAAAAAAAACTTATTAGTTTATTATTTTTTTAAATTTTCGTTTATAATTTGTAATTATTTATTATTTTTTGTTTAAATCACGTCAAAACATACTTTTTACATTTTAAAAGTGTATTTTTCAAAACAGAAAAAATTTAGGGTATTTTCGAAATTTTTAAACATAATTATGGTATTTTTCAAAAAAATATACCCTTATTCCAAATTTGGAGATATTATGTTTTTTTTTTTTTTTTTTCAAACCGCAACCGCCCGCAACCGCAAACGCTTGCGGAAAGGAGCTTTTGATTTTCAGCGATATAGAGCGGTACAGAGTGGTATAGAGCGGTTGAAAGCGGTTGTCGTGATTGTTATAAAACGCTAAGAACCGCTACGAACCGCAAACGCTGCGTTTGCGGGTGGTAGCGGGAGAACCAATCATCACCTAACTGTACTAGGAATGGTACCCCGCGAAATCGCGGGGGCAAATGTAATATACTAAAAATTAAACAAAAAATTCCAGTTATATCTATTAGTGAAATTATTTAAAACGAAAAAGAACAATGAAACAATATGATTATTCAAAATGGTTATATATTTGAGATGTTAAATTTCTAGTAAATGAAAAAATATAAAAATGTAGGATAAAGATGCAACCAACCCTTTCAAATATAAATTTTACTTGATTTCTAATTAGTACAAAATAGTTCGAAATAAGAAACAAAGGAAAATCATATTAAACATAAACATTTAAAAACACTTACCTGAGTAAAGAAGAAATAAATATGGACATAGTCAATCATGAATCCCACGTCTTCTTATATAGCATAATTACGTAATCAAAAAAATTGCAACAAAATGAATAGTTTATTTAGGTTAAAATATTTTACTCAAAAATATAAAGACTTAAGACCCAACCTAAAAAGTATCATAATAGTATAATAGTATGAATTCCATAACAGTGAATTTTTAATTTCAGAATGAAAATCACAATTGATCTGGTATAGTTCAAAGTGGTGATTCTTACATTACTTCATATTACGAATTTACGACAGTATGTATAACTCATGAAAAATTAAATTATATATTCTCCAAATCAAACGTATGCTAAATTCTCCTTTTCATATATATTTTTTTGTTTCTTTACATACAAATATCTTTTAGATGAGATTAAATGTTACAATGGTTAGTCTAATTGCAATGGATAAATATCAAAAGTTGCAATATTAAGCAGTTGCGATGGTTTATTTACAAGATTGCAACGATTCACATCATTTTAGCATTTTTCTCTCATTTAAAAATAATCATAGAATAACTGAATAAACAACACATAAATCAAACTCATGTGTAGTTTTTTTTTTCCTTCAAATAATTATATTAACTTGATGAAAGGAAATAACAATGTAACGCTTCAGTAATAAACACAGGAACAAATTGATGGAAATATGAAACAATCATGATCTAGTATTCCTCGAGTTGCAAGTGCATCAGCCACCTTATTGTTTTCCCTTCGAACCCAAACAAACTGAACCTTGTCAAATTTCTCTTTCCAACTCCAACTCCAAACCTCACGAATCCAGTTGTATAAACCGTAGATTAGGGAATGGTTGTCAATTAACAAACGGATTATTATCTAAAATATTTTTATTTATGTTTAACCAATAAAATATGTTTTATTTGAAATGGAAACTGAATTGTATTATTATAATTCTTCGTCAAATGTAGTTTGTGTTTCACTAGATTTTTTCTTTCTCTCCTCACTCTACCATCGAATAGAAACGCAAAAAAAAAAAAAAAAAAAAAAAAAAAAAAAAAAAAAAAAGCCAATTTTACCATTCGATTGAAATTTCTCTTCTTAAACTTTTTATGTTGTTTGCGATGCCGAAACCAACAGTCGATCCTCCTTCGTCCAATCATATATGCAAGTCTTATCTCTCTGGTTGTAATCTATACACAAACTATATTCCTAATTATAAAAATATCTCAGTTATAAATTACAGAAATACAACCAAAACATTAATTATCACAAATTTGCTTGTTTGTTTATTTGTGTTTCACAAAGTCGGTCGATGAATATACGAATCTTACCTTGCTATCTTCTCACGATGTACATAGAGGTGGCTTTTATGCCATGATCAAGGTGTATGCTTTGGTCTTTTGGTTGTAACACCGGAGTTCTTATTATCACGCCAAAATTCATCGGCAAAAAGATATTTTAAAATATTAAAAGTTTGTTGTAAATGAAACAATACTTAAACTGTAGGATTAAATACATTTAAGAATAAAGAAGAAATAAATATAGACATTGTGGTTTGTGAATCACGAATTTCTCATATTTTTATCTAACATATTTAAGACTTTGTATTTCCTTTTATATATTTCATATATAATAACAGAGTTAGGAACACATTCACCCGGTTGGTTAATACTCGGAGATTCCACCGGAAAGAAAAACATTATCGGAATCACACACTCTTTAGTGAGGAGAATATTACACAAAGGCACTTTGCCACTTACAAATATCAAGCAAAAGCACTTTGGATTCTAGAGTGACTTTGCACAATAAAAGTGGTGAAAAGCGGGTACTGTGCTCTAGCGAAATTCCACCCTTGCCCTTTTGCCAAACATCTTGCGTGTCTCCGTTTTCGGCATAATAACGAGAATTTTACCACGGCGGCACAATAAATTAATATCGGCCTCGTGAACAAAATAATTGCAAAAATAACCAGACAACTGAACACGATGTTAGAGCGATCCCCTGAAATAGTCCGTTATCGATTATCGATATAACGCGGCGTTTTGCACAGATCTGGACAGCGACGCAGTAATCCGCGAGTAAACTAGGGTTCTTGCAGACATCTATGGTGAAGTGGAGTACCCTACGGAGCTACGTTAACAAATTTTATTTTACATCGACCTTTGCCTTCTCTCCCGCCCAATCCATATCCATTTTGGTACTGGGTGCCACCAATTTGAACGTTGCCGAGATACTGTGCAACAAACTACGGTGGACATATATACACATGGACATACGGAACTGAATAAATTTACACGAGTAAATGGACGGACAACCACAGAAAACATACATATTCTATAAAACATACCCATGGTCACAAACCCATGGACATATATACATAACTGAACGTACACGCCACAATGGTACGAAAGCCACACAGTTCACTAATATACGTGCTGACTATACAAACATATACAACGTAACAGACCAAATGGATACGTATACATGACTAAACATACATGTACACCGTTTGTTTGTGTATACATGGATACATGTACTAACAGCATCCATCACACACTCCATATTGGACAGCGATGAATAAAACTTTGCCTGTATTTAACTGATGTACATGACGGTGTGGATGAGCGGATGATGCTTAGGGTGTTGTAATGGCAGGTGAACCTGCTAGTGGCCCTACTAAGCATTAATGAGTTTGGCGTAGAAAGCTATTTTTACGGGAACAAGTGCAATTCAAAGATGGCCGTTCGATTGTACTGGATACTAATTGGATCCCCATCCTACGGCACAAACGTAACACACCTAACAATTATTGGTGGGAAAAAGTTGTAAACATGCCTGGATAACTGGGTCGGAATTAAGGGAAAGAGTTTTAGGGTTTCTGTGGTGCTTTTAGTAGATGCGATAAACAGAATTCAAGCAATATCAACACACCAGGGGAAAATGGGAGACCATTGTATGGTAATCAGTGGTGAATGGAAGTTTTCACCGGATGGGAAGTGGGATTTCGTTATCGACAAGCAACGCATGTCGCGTGTTGTTTCATTCCAGGACGGTATGAGTATTGGAGACTTGCGGAAGAACGTCCTTCAAGAATTCTTCGCTGACGGCGGCTCTGCCATGAATGTCGAATTAAGCTACTGGCCACCTAACACTACAGAGCTCGCGACTGGTATTACAACTCCTCCTGTAATGGTTACAAATGGGCCATCGATTTCATACTTCTGCAAGCATTTCAGTGTCAAGAACGAGCTCAATTTGTTCGACACTTTCGCCAAACGCGTCAACTCTGCCCCACCTATCGAAATCAGCGGTGCTTTGGATGGATATACAACTCCCAAGCCGCCGATCAAAAGACCCCGCTTCCGTGATGATATAACCGGCGAGGGCATGTTTGGTCTTGGTATCGACAATGCTGGCGATTACGGGTCATCTGTTGCCTCAAGGAAACCCCCGTTGGATATAGACGACGATATACTTCTCAGGCACATGGAGACGGTGGAGAACGCTATCAATAGCGGAACCCACACGGCAGAAGATTTGTATGACTTGAACACCACATCAGAGAAGAGTGTAAAGGACATCATGGACGAGTTGAGAAGCGAAGCCAATCGCAGGGGTTACACCTCCGAAGACCTGAACACAGACGACGAGGATACTGGTCAGGAAACATGGGATGACTTCGACGTCCGACCACTTGGCATAGACGAGGAGTTCTGGGAACCGCATGTAGACGATGTTTATGGCGGCTCGGACACCGCTGATTTTATGTGCTCAACCGACGAAGACCCAAACCAAGATGGCCCCCGTGTGTATCGTTCTTCAACTAATGATGCTTTCGATCACACGGTAATCCAAGGAGGAGACGGCGGCGTCTGGAAGACGGAGGGCCGCGGGGTAGCGGCGACGTCGCCTGCGAGCAGCGGGCTAGGTCAAGCCGGTGTACAGAGCGATAATCCTTATACATATGGACAGCATTCTATGGACAGCAATCAAAACCGAGGTCAACCACAACAACATACAGCGGGCGCCAGCTATGGCAGACGTGCTGCTGACGCTGATACTCCGTCCCGCCGTCCAACAAACACGTCCAACAATGGCAACGATCCACAGCCAACTGCATGGACAGATGATAATGGTCAGACGAAGAATACGAGTTACTGTCCACGGTCTCTTGGAAGCATTGACGACGAGGAGTTTGATATCCCTCCCTTGTTCGATGACACACTATACGAGAGCACCGACATACATAACCTGGACATCGACAAAATGGGGGGTGATGTCGCTGTAGGGAAAGTATACTCCAGCAAGAAAGATTGCCAAGTTGCTCTCGCCATCCATGCAATAAAGAACATGTTTAACTTCCGTCAATCCACAACCAAGCATAACTACTTTGTGGTGATTTGCACCGACGAACGTTGTGATTGGAGAGTTCTAGCTGTGCAGGTAAAGTACTGTGGCTATTATGGGATCAAAAAGGCGAACTTAGAGCACACGTGTTGCATAGAAACTAGAAGCATGTTTAAGAAGAGAGCTTCATCTCGTGTTATAGCAGCGGTTTTCAAGGCCAAATATGGGGATCCTGTTAAGGGGCCGTGGGCAGCTGATTTGCAGCAACTAGTACTCGAGGAGCTTAGAGTGGCTGCCTCATACATGAAGTGTTACATGGCACCTGAGAAGGCAATAACTTACGTAAGGGGTACTGATGATGATTCATATATAGGACTGCCGGAGTATCTGTATATCCTAAAGCTCGCTAACCCCGGGACCGTCGCTGATTTGGAAACGGAGAAAGATGATGAAGGTGTTGATCGTTTCTTGTATCTGTTTCTATCGTTTGGCGCATCAATAAAGGGTTTTAGGCGCCTCAGACACGTCATTGTCCTCGACGGAACTCACCTCACCGGTAAATTTATGGGAACTCTACTAACTGCCAGCGGTCAGGACGCTAACTTTCAGGTCAGAAACAAAACTCGTATACGTTAACTCTTATCCTAATGGACATCTGATTATGGACAGTACTAACAAATCAGCCCAACTTAACTCACAGGTTTTCCCGCTTGCCTTCGCCATGGTAGACAGCGAAAACAATGAATCGTGGATGTGGTTCTTACAGAAATTGGACAGAATTTTGGCGGACAGCACATACTTGACCATCATATCTGACAGGCACCCGTCCATCAAAGTCCCGATCACGATGATCTATCCAAAGGCAAATCATGCTGCGTGTATAGTTCACCTAGCAAGAAATGTAACAAGCCGGTACAAGAGCAAAGGGTTGGCGAAGATGGTTGTCAAAGCTGCATTTGCATTTCGTGTTGGAGCCTTCAGAAAAATCTATGCTGACATTACGAAAGCTAGCCCGGAATGCGCTCGCTATTTGCATAAAATTGGAATTGCTCATTGGGCCAGAGCACACTTCCCCGGGGAGCGATACAACTTAATGACTAGTAACGCAGCCGAGCAGCTGAACAAGGCTCTGCGGGGTGGTCGGAATTCGCCGATCATGGAACTTTTAAAATTCATCCAAGACATGATGACCAGGTGGTTCAATGCTAGGAGGAACAAATCGCTTCGAAACAGAGGATCGTGTACGCCTGATGTACTTGCATTTTGCATAGTTTTAGTACATCTTTTATGCATCTTTTGCATAGTTTTAGCATCCATTAGCATCATATCTTGTTCCTTTTCTCTTCTTATGCATTCATAGTAGTTTTAGGTTGCATTTGCATACATATGCATGTTTGGTCCTTTGAAATAGGTCTTTTGGAGCATTCTGGAGCATATGGGACGTGAGGAGCATGGAGGACTTGGCACATGGACGCAGCTCAACTGGATACGCAAAGGAAGAAGGAGGAAGCCATCTTGAAGACCAGCTCGACCACCTACTCGACCAACCGGTCGAGTTCCTCAACTCGACCGGCCAAGCTTCAACTCGATCGAGCTGAGAAGTCAACAGTCAAACCCGAAAAATGTTGCTTCCCCCTTGACTTTCCTTTGACCCTAAACCTAAATCCTCTTGTATTTAAAGGCTAAAAGCCACGAAAAAACCACCAAGCTTTAGATTACTTTTTGTTTTAGTTTCTTTTAATTTATTGTCTTTTACTTTTTAGAGCTCTAATCCCATCTTTGTGTTCTTGAAGCTCTTGCTTCTTGAATCCTAGATCCTGGATAATCTCTTTTGTATTTGCACTTGCTTATTTCAATAAAAGTTGTTTAATTTCATCTCCTCTTTCTTATGATGTCTCTTTTATTGCATTTGCTTGTGTTTACATTCATGTGTAGTGAGTAGTTACCCATTAGGGTTTGAGATGGGATAGATTAGAGGATTTTATGCTTAATCCTTCTTGCTTATGTCTTAATCTAGATCTCTCTCTTTTGGACAATCTTAAGGCTACATGACCACTACCCCTGGCTTGTATGTCCATAGGCGATTCTCCACATGGAAGTGATGGAAATCGCTGGAAAAGGTCCACTAAGAGCTCCAATATCTCTTGCTCTAGAAATGGAGGTCTAAGGGGTTGGATGGATTAGTTTGAGCAATGATCCTATGGCCTCCAAGGCTTGATTCTCACTGGCTAACCCCCTGTTTCTGAGATCATTCCTTGGTTGATAGCTTTCACCTTGGGAAAGGGTTAGCTAGGCATTGAGAAGCTCAATATCAAGAGATACCTTGATACAAGTTTTTAAGAGCAAGATGATTAAGTATAGCTTCCTCTGATTGTAAACCCTGTCTTAGACCCTAATTGTCTGCCTGCCTTTTTGCTTTTTACTTCAACTCGACCCTAAACTCGATCGAGCTCGGTACTCTGTTCCACTCGACTCGAGTCCTTGGTCGAGCTGTTGCACTACTGCTTTATTTACTTTCTGCATTTCATTTCTTTCATTTAGGTTGTTAGTGTTACCAAATCTTTACTGCTTGCTTGACTTCCTTGTTGTTTCATATTCTCATAGAGTGACAAGTTTCCCATTTTGGATTGATAACCTCTTGTACTACATGACTATGATGGTTAAGAGGAATTGATTGATTGTGATTGCACCATACCATCATCTTTATTACCCTGTTTGCATTCCACCTCATATCTTATCACATCCACACAAAATCCTATCATCAATTTGGCGCCGTTGCCGATTTGGGATATTTTGTTGCATTTGAGTTTCAAACACACTTGGACGATCAAGCTATACCACCCCTGTTCTATTGTACTGCTGGGTTTTTGTCTCTTTTTGCAGGTGTATGCGAACTCGATCGAGTCGGTCTACAGAGGACTTGGTCGAGCTAGACTTACAACGGGTAGAAAGAGGGTTCAGAGGTCACAGAGGGTACAAGAGGAACCTGAGGTGCTTGTTGCTGATACAATGGATGTACCAGAGGGGAATGGAAACCCTTTGGGCAATGGACTCGGTCGAGCTAGGCAAACTCGACCGATTGGTCAAGGAGATGCTCCAAACCGCCACCAACAGAGACAAGGGATTGTTCCACCACCAGTGCAGAACCACAACTTTGAGATCAAGCTGGGAATGATCAACCTTGTCCAGAACAAGATGTTCCATGGATTGCCAAGTGAAGACCCCATTGACCACCTTGATGAGTTTGATAGGCTTTGTGATTTGACAAAGATCAATGGTGTCTCTGAAGATGCCATCAAGCTGAGACTCTTTCCTATGTCTCTAGCTGACAAAGCTCACCAATGGGAGAAGAGCTTGCCCCATGGCACAATCACCACTTGGGATGAATGCAAGAAGGCCTTTCTTGCTAAGTTTTTCTCCACCGGTCGCACAGCCAAGCTTAGAGGAGTGAGATATCCAGCTTCATCCAGCGAAACAATGAGACATTCGCAGAGGCTTGGGAGAGGTTCAAAGGGTACACAAGTCAGTGCCCACACCATGGATTCAACAATGAATCATACTCTCCACTCTTTATAGAGGATGCTTGCCTAGGTATAGGGAGATGCTAGACACAGCTAGCAATGGGAACTTCCTCAATCAGATGTGATGATGGCTGGCAGCTTGTGGAGAACATCACCCTCTCAACAGAAGATATGGAGACAATTATGATAGCATTGACTGGAGCTCGACCGCTCACTCGATCGAGTCCGAAGCTCAGATGCGAAAAGACTTGCAGGCTCTCCATTCGAAGATTGACAAGCTGATTGTAGCTCAATTTCCTCCCAAAGAAGTCAACTCTATCTCTGATACAACTCAGGCTATCAAACAGGAAGGGGAGGAGAAACACCATACAAGCACCACTCCAACCATAAGGAAGACCATCTATGGTCACACATTCTACCAGGCACCTGTGGCTTACCAAATGACTCAACACAGATCCAACCAGCAAGGGCACCTTCCAAGTTTCCCACCAGGATTCCCACCAATGCCATACCCAACTACACAGAGCCAAGATTGGGATATGAAGGATATGCTCCAACAACTCCTTCAAGGGCAAGCCAAAGGTTCACTAGACATGAACCACAAGTTGCTAGAAATAAACTCAAACTGGAGTCATTGACTTCAAGAGTGCAAACCATTGAGTCTTCTAGTGCGTCATCCTCTTCATCTCAAGAGTATGCTCAAGCTGTTACACTGAGAAGTGGGCGACAGTTTCCAAGCAGGGCTGGCCCCAGGGCCGACCCTGCACACTGCCTTAAGAAACATTTGTATTGGCCCCCAAAATTTACAGGCCCATTCAAATTTTTTTTTTTAATATATATATATATATATTGCCTACAAGAAATTTGAATAATATGTTATATGGGCCCAATAAATATATTATACTTCATCAAATTTTTAAATTGCCCAATCAGTTACAATGAAACATTAGAAAACACAAAACCCTTATTTGTAGAAGTCACGTTTCTTTTCTAACTTGTTAACCTTCTCTGTTCTTCTCCTCTCTCACACGATATCACACAATTAGAAACAGAAACTCACATTCTCAACTCCTTCGACTTTCATCTCAAGTTCTCAACCAAATCAAGGCATGAAAGGTATTTCTTCATGAATACTAAATTTTAAATTAGAGATTATGCCAGATTTTTGTAATTATAATTGACTTTTGAACTGAAAATCATTGTGAATTTTCTAGGAAATTCAATACGAAAAACAAAGTGTAAATCAGGAGCCCAGAAGCTAAGAGAGAAGAAACGAAAAGAAGCAGAGGATAAGGCTCACGCAGGTTCTCTCTTGAGGTTATTTAAAAAGGCAAAAACTCATGAGCGTGGTGGAATTGTTGATGAAAATCCTACTGGTTTAGAAGATGATAAGACAGAGGAAATCATTGATGAGCGTGAGAAAGAGGAAAACGAGAAGGTATTGAGAGAAGAAGAAGATGATGTGGTTGTTGAAGAACAAGAGGGGATTTTGGATAAAACTGATCCTGCAAATTGGAAAGTAGTTGATCAGAGTTTGAGAGACTTTCTAGTGACAAAAGGTCCTATGAAAAGAGTACACCATGACTACGACTTTCCGAAAAATGGCCGTGGGAGACATTTTTCTCATAGGTATTACAAAAGAGACATGAAAAATGGAGATAAGCAAGATAGGATTTGGCTACTTTATTCAAGAGTATCTGATAAAGCATATTGCTTTTGCTGAAAGATGTTTGATCGAGATCAAGATGCATGTCAGTTGTCAAGCAAGGGGTTTAACGATTGGCAAAATATCAGGATAAGGCTGAGCCAACATGAAACTAGCCATTGTCATATCGTGTGCATGAGTCGGTGGATGGAATTGGAATCGAGACTAAGAAGCGGCACGACAATTGATAAGGGTCTCCAAGAAGATATCAACAAAGTGAAAAACCATTGGAGAGAGGTTCTATTGAGAATATTTTCATTGGTGACAACTCTTGCTAAACAGAATTTAGCATTTCGTGGAACTAATGAGAAGCTTGGTGAAAGAAACTGTGGAAACTTTCTCACTTTTGTTGAATCATTTGGGGAATTTGATCCGGTCATGCGAGAGCATATCAGACGAGCTAAAGACCGTAAGTCTCAATATCATTACTTAAGCCACAGAATTCAAGACGAGTTGATTGTTACGCTAGGATCTGAGGTCAAACTTATGATCATCAAGAAGATTCAAGAGGCCAAATATTTTGCAGTGATTCTTGATTGCACCCCAGATAAGAGTCACAAAGAACAGATGAGTCTTATCATCAGATGTGTGGATGTCTCCTCATCTAAAACAAGAGTTGAAGAATTTTTTGTGACGTTTGTGGAAGTTTCAGATAAAACAGGGGAAGGACTTTTTGAGCTGCTTTGTAATACTTTGGCTGCTCACAATTTGAATATCCAGGATGTGAGAGGACAAGGCTATGAGAATGGATCAAATATGAAGGGAAAACACAAAGGAGTACAAAAAAGATTGCTTGACATCAATTCAAGAGCATTTTTCACGCCTTGTGGTTGCCATAGTCTGAATTTGGCACTTTGTGATATGGCCAAATCTTCTACAAAAGCAATTGCTTTTTTTGGAATCATTCAACGGATATACTATTTGTTTTCATCATCTACGACTAGGTGGGAGATATTCAAGGAGAAGGTAGGAGGTCTCACACTTAAGTCATTATCAGAGACTCGATGGGAAAGTCGTGTTGATAGTGTTCGAGCAATTCGATTTCAGGCTGCAAAGATAAGAGATGCGTTGGATTACTTGGCAGAACATTGTGATGATCCTGGAGCTCGCAGCGATGCCGAATCTCTTGCTACAAGTGAAACACATGGAATTGGTGGATTTGAGTTCTTATTTGGTATGGTAATCTGGTATGATCTTTTATTTACTGTTAATACAGTAAGTAAGGCGATGCAGTCTGAGCATATTGATATTGATGATGCTCTTGTTCAATTAAAAGGGCTGGTTTCTTTTCTGAAAAACTACAGAGAAACTGGATTTGAAACATCAAGAGCAGAAGCGATGATTATTGCAGAGTCTATGGATATTGAGGCTAACTTTCCTGTGAAACAAAAGCGGAGAATCAAGAGGACAAGGCATTTTGATGAAGAAGTGGAAAGAGATGATGAATTCGAGATGCTGAGTGAGGAAGAGAAGTTTAAAATCGACTTTTTCAATACAATCATGGATCAAGCTATAGTATCTCTTCAGACAAGGTTTGACCAATTTGAAGAGTATGGAAAATTGTTTGGATTTTTGTTTGATCTGAAGAAGCTTAAATCTGCAACAGATGATAGTTTAAAAGCATCGTGTATCAATCTTGAAACTGCTCTTAAACAAGGTGAGGTTTCAGACATTGATGGATCTCACTTATTCCTAGAGCTTAGAGTTTTAAGAGATATTTTGCCAAGCGAGATCAAGAAGGCAGCTGAAGTGTTAGACTTTTTAAAAAAGTACGGAGGTGTTTGTTATCCAAATACATGGATTGCATACAGAGTGATGCTAACTATTCCAGTTTCAGTCGCATCGGCCGAAAGAAGTTTTTCCAAGCTAAAGTTGATAAAGTCTTACTTACGATCTACTATGTCTGAGGAGAAACTGAACGGCTTGGCGATGCTCTCAATTGAGAGGGACATGGTAGGAAAGCTTGACTATCAAACTTTGATGAATGACTTTGCAGGAAAGACTGCAAGAAGAGAAATTTTTCGAAAACGGTAGTTGTTATTAGTTTCTCTCGAAAACTTGTGTTTCATTAGTAGTTTGAAGCTTTTTATTTATTTGAGTTTTGTTTATGACTTTTGGTTTATTGAATTTTCACGTTATAAGATATCGGCCCCCGTTTTCTATTTAGTTTCAAGCCCCCAAAATCACAGGGCGGGCCCTGGCTGGCCCACCCCAAATCTCTGTGGACATCGATGACAAGGAAGGGGAGGATTTGGTCGAGTATGATGATATTCCGGCACCGAACTCGATCGGAGCTGGAACAAAACCCTGAACCCGAACTCGATCGAGCTGAAGAAACCGAGACTCAGAAAGACAAACCAGAACTCGATCGAGCTGAGAAGAGAACAGACAAAGCAAGCTCCAGCCAACCAGCTAAACCTGTTGCAAGGAAGAAAGATACTCCAGCAGGACCACCACCATACAAACCCCCTCTGCCTTTTCCAGGAAGGTTCAAGAAACAACTATTGGAAGCACACAAGGCTAAGTTTGATGAACTAATGAGACAACTTGAGCTAAAGTTACCTTTCATCGACGCCTTGATGCTCATTCCACCTTATCAGAAATTCCTGAAGGATGCTGTTCAGCAAAGAACCAAGGAAGCACAAGGGATGGTAGTGTTGACTCGTGAGTGCAGTGCAATCATTCAGCGGAAGGTTATCTCCGACAAAAAGGAAGATCCGGAGAGTTTCACTTTACCCTGCATGTTGGGACCCCTATCTTTCAAAAACAGCCTCTGCGATCTAGGATCATCTGTCAGCCTCATGTCTTTGTCTGTAGCAAAGAGACTGGGATATCACAAGTACCAAGCCTGCGGAATCTCACTAGTCTTGGCAGATAGATCGATAAGGTTACCAACTGGAATGCTTGAGGACCTGCCTTTGAGGATAGGGAATGTAGAAATCCCCACCGACTTCATTGTGCTGGAAATGGATGAGGAACCAACAGATCCATTGATACTAGGAAGGCCATTCCTAGCTACAGCAAGAGCAATGATCGACGTCTGTGAAGGCACAATTGAGCTAAACTTGGGAAAGGACCTAAGGATGAAGTTTGATATCAAGGATACAATGAGGAAACTGATGCGGAGTCAGGTTTTACCAAACTCCTAGACCTCTGCAAGTGCACAGATCGCGGAAGTATGGGTATCGAACACAAGGACTGGCTATTGAGTACACTTTGTAACTATGGATTTTGGATCAAGCTAAAACAAAAGTATGATTGAGGTTGTAATGGTGAACCGAACTAGCAAGTATAACGAGGTTGTAAACAATAAAGGAAAAGCGCTAGGTCATAGGGGCTATCGCAGAGAAGCAAGCAATGATCAATGAAACAATGATAGATTAATTGATTAGGGATATTGGGATATTAAGAACCATCTAGAACACAGATCACGAATATAAAACCATTCCACTTTCGAGGCTCCGGCTCCTTTGCTAATCTACCTAGTCGCTAAACTTTTGGTATGTCCCTAGGTGATTAGATCAAGCATTAGAATGAATAGGTTCTGATACAGTTCACTAGATATAGATAGATCAACTTTCGCAGTCTAAGAAACCTAGCTTGTCAAAGAATATGTCCGGCGAATGATACAGCACTGTCGAGGCTCAAATCAACCTAAGATCGGATTACTAGATGCGCGGTAAAGCAATCAGCATTAGTTAAGTGCACAAGACGAGACAAAGACTCTAATATAATCCCTAGCTAATCATTGAAATCAAAGATCATGCAAGCAACTCATTGAATAGTAACCCTAGCAACCTAACTAGTGGATTACTCAGACATGATCAAAGCAAACACACATAGAGATGAAGAAAACATGATTGCAATAAAACTTAGAGTAGGAAATCGAAATACAAGGGCGGCTCTCTTTCTCAAGAGGCTAAAAATCCATATATATAGTGCTAGGTCTTTCTAGAGGCGGCTTAGGGTTAAGCCGGGCTTGAAAACATAAGTTTGGGCTTCAAAAAGGGCTTCGGGTCGACCGCGGCGTTGGGACGGTCGTCGGGACGATCGGCCGGACATCGGGTCGTGGCGAGTCGGAACGGTCGGGCGGATGGATTCGTGGTCGGCCGGCGTGGTCGAGCGGATGAGATTTGGCCGATGAGTTCTCGGCCGGACGTGGGACGTTCTTTCCCGGCTCGGACGGATGCATCGGCCGTGGTACGCGAAGGGTTGCGCGGCCGCGAGGCTTGTTTCCCGGCTCGCGCGCTTTGGTCGTGCGCGGTGTGGCGTGGCGTTGAAGCTTGGCCGACCGCGGGCAATGTTTCCCGGGTCGTGTGTGTGATCGGCCGAGTGGTTTGGACTTTGGCCGAGACTTCAGTCGGACGGATACTTTGGCCGAGCGCGGAACATTCGTTCCTCGGCCAGCCGGACTGCGCGGTTGGGCGCTGATTCTCGATAGAGCCGTCTGGACAGTCTTCACTCTTTTGGTTATAACTCCTTTTCTACTCATCCAAATGAGGCCATTCCAGTTGCGTTGGAAAGTTAACTCAATCAGAGCACGCAGGGAACTGGTCTTGATGAAATCCATTGAGTAGATCTTTTTCTGGGCCCTCTTAAAGTTGGTGCTTGTGCATGGAGCTGCTTGAAGTGCAAATCCTATGGTTTTGCTCCAAAATGCATCATTTCACCTGTTTAGACTCTAGACACTATAAACACAGTAAAACTACCTTTTTAGATAGAAAACCTGCCAAAAACCATTAGAAAACAATGCTAAAACAGTATAAAAAGTGGGTAAATTAGAGGTATATCAACTCCCCCAGACTTAGATCTTTGCTTGTCCTCAAGCAAAAAGAATCTAAATCCGTGAAAGAGGTTTGAAAACGTGGAAGCTCCCTTGCTCTTTTGAATATCCTGTGAAAGGTTCCTTTCCTGTATTCCACTATGAACATAGACAACATAAGGTTAGCTTCACATACACCCTGCAAGTTTAGCGAACAATACCAACCCAACTAGTCTCATCCAGCAATCCAAACTCTCTATTGCTAACCTCTTGCATAAATTTAAAGCGTGAATTCTTTATCAAGGGGACATCGATCAATTGAACTTGTTCTTACCCACTTGATCTCTCCAAGATTGTCTTTAAGTGCAATGAGTTCTTTTCCTCTCTCTTTCTCACATCAGAACTTTGAAAGGTCAATTTCTCCCTACTTTTCTAGGGTATCATTTTATTTTTTCTATTGACCCTTCTTTCAACCACAGGATAAGTCTTTAGCTTGTTCCTTGTTTGACTAAGGTATTCCATAAGACATGAAGGTACAGACATATGCATTCCTCATGCTTACTTGTTTTCCTTGTGCTCTTTGAGCTTTTTCTCATAAATATTACTTACCATTTGGGATGGGAGAGAGAGGAGAACTCTTTAAAGATTAGACAAATCTTATTGAAAATCAAGCAAGGAACTGTCGACATGTATGCCAACCCCCTTGACAAGAGTAATTAAGATTGATTAAGGTGAGGTTAACTCTAGATTGCTTGGTTACCTTAGAAATTTTGCTGAGCTAGCATGTCGATCCACTGTAAGAGCTTCTGTTAGGCTTGTGCCTTTAGCTGGTTTCTGCTCTAGGGTCATGGATTGTTAGCATAACACTCTCAATTCTCAAAGCAAGTTCATAACTTCCGGACTGGTTTTTGACTCAATAAAACTTTTTGAAAAACATGAAACAAAGTGAATAAAACATAAGAAAAGAAAGAAAAATGCATTAGTAACACAATAAAACTCCCCCCAGACTTAACTTGCACCGTCCCGGTGAAAGCAAATCACATTAAGGTGAGAGGTAATATTCAAAGTAAAAGAAAAATAAAGAAAAATTCATTAAAATAAGATAGGGATAGAAAATGGAGATTTGTAAGTGTCCATTGCACTAAGTACCACTTGAGATGACTATGTGTGGCAGTGAGAAGAACTCTCTTCCTCATCTATGGGGTCATCGCCTTCTGAACCAAGCTCTGAGTCTAGTGAGAACTCACCAAGGTCAGGCTCATATGGCTCTCTAGCGGTGGAAGAAGGGCGAAAGAGTCTCTCCGGTGCAATGTGGCGAACTACGCGGACTAGGCGTGAGATGAAGCGAGATTGGCATTCCACTATCTTCTCCAGCTTGTTAACACGGTCTAGAGCTTGGTGCGCAGCCATGCCAGTAGTGAGAACATGGCGTTCTTGGATGCGGCGTTGAGTCTTGACTGCATGCTGAAGTGTGCGATAGGTGAGCATGGGGAATGATGGTTTCTCACTTGATGGAACATAGAAGTCTTCCTCATTGGGCTGGAAAGTGACAACTCCTGAGCGTAGGCTTGGGATGTCTCATGTGGCAGCAAGACAAGGGAAGTGTTGGCTGGACCAATTGGAAACTCATAGCAAAACCGAGTTGGGTCTTTAGTCCAACGGTTTAGGAAGTGGATGTGCTGAAGAGCATGGAGATCCAAAGGGGTTGGCTTGGGTAGTGGCTCATAGTTGGGAATGTCAATCCCCACATGCAGTACTATGGCCGTGATAAGCCTCCCAAAACGAACACAAAGCTTCTTGTTGCCTTCCAAGTCTTTAGCTAGCTTCCTCACATTGATGAATGTCTTGGCAAGTAAAAGTCCAAGGTTGGCCTTGTACTCATGCTTGATGAATGGTGTGGTGAGGATGTAGAACTCATCAGTTGTGACCTTGTTGGCTTCTTGTTTGCATTGGAAAGTGGTGGAGATGAGGCGGTGCACATAGCGAATGGCTGGATGGTGATTCTAGACACCTTTGACCTTGAAGGCAAGAATGGTTCATTGGCAAAGTGTGTCCAATCAGCAAAGGCAGCTTGTTTCCTCTTTGAGTTCTCCTTGAAGTCATGTGCTGTCTCATTGGGAAGTCCAAAGAGTTGGCATAGAGCTGAGATAGATGCGCCCATTGGCATCGCCTATCTTGAAGAGTAGGAGTCCATCACCAGCTGGTTGGTCTCCATTGTGGTTGGGAAAGGCAAGAGCTACTGTAGAGAGGAACTCCTTGGTGAGTTGTGAGTACTCACTACATTCTAGCTTGAAGAGCTTGCTCAAGCCTAGCTTCCTTATGTACCATGTGACATCATCTCTTATCTTGAGAAGATCAAGGGTTTGGGTGTCCATCTTCACACATGGCTCGATGTTCACCTTCTCCATTGCCTTCTTACACTTTCTTGGGTCTTGATTTTGTTCTCCAACAAAGGTTACAAGTGCCCAATCATCTTCTCTCTCTTGGACTCTCCACATGTTCTTGATTGCATCAATGGAATGTGGTGAAGTTGGTATTGCTGCTCTTGCATTGGAGCTACTACTCCCTAGCTTGATTTGCTTCTTTGGTGGTTCCATGAATGGGTTCTTCTTCTTCTTCATACTCTCATTTCCTTTTGTCTTTGCCATTGGTGTACCTACAAGAGCAAATTCTTGGGAAGAAATATGAGTTTGTGATTAATGCAAAAGAAGAATAAGCTAATTGAGTTGTAATAATGATATGGAATAAAGGAACAACTCAAGGCTTAATCATGAATCAAAGAGACAAAATAGAAATTTCACTTTTTCAAAATTAATTTTCGGATTTTACTGTTCATCCCAAGATTATGGTGCTTAAAATCAAAATTTTCAGCAAATCAAGAGAAATTGAGTTTCTAATCCAAGTAATCACTAGATAAACTAATGAATTGAAGTATGCCTAAGCAATTTCACCTTTGAATAAGGGGTTTGGAATGCCCAATAAGTTTTGTGAAAAACTATTCAATTGTGAAATTAAACTTCAAATTAACTCTAAACCACCTAGGTTCCACCTAGCAAAGTTCATTACAAGACTATAAGGATGCTAATTTCAAGTCTAGACAAGAGTTTAGACCAAACATGAAACTTATTGAAATTTTCGATCTTGCATAAACATAGGATTAGAGTTAGAAGACATACCTTGTGTGTTGAAAAGTGAATAAGGTTGCAAGAGCAAGTAAATTCCAATTTAGAGTTATGAACAGTAAAAGTTTTGAAATCAAAACTCTTAGAGTTCCTCTAATGGAGTTTAGGGTTTTGGAGAAGAAAGAGAGGTTCTTGTGTTTTCAAGGGAAAGGTGAAGTAAATAAGATCTAAATCCTATCAATTTTCCTTTTCAAATTCGAATTTTGATTGAAAACCGGTTTAAGTTGGTTTAGATTGGTTAAAACCGGTTTGAATTAATGAAAAGGGGACTTACCTTGGCCGAAAAGTTTTGGGCCGATGGCCGATTTTGTCGCGGTCGAGCGATTTGGTCGGCCAAATTTGTTTGGCCGAGAGATTTCGGCCGAGGCCGATCGTTTGTTTCCCGGATCGACCGGCACGGTCGGTCCGTTCCGATACGAAAATTTCGGCCGATCGCGGCCGTCTTTCCCGGTTCGTGCGTGGCGCGAACGTTTTCTGTCGCGCAAGTAGATGATCCGGCCGAGCACGGCTATTCCTTCCCGGCTCGACCGTACGGTCGGCCAGATTGGAATTGCTCGGCCAAAATTTCTTTTGCGCGTCCGCGGCCAATGTTTTGGCGCGGATTGTGTTTTCACACCTTTTTCTCCTTCTATCCTATCTTAAAACAAAGAAAACACAAAAGCAAAACAAAAACTAAGAAAATTAAAGAAAGAAAAGTAAAAGTACCTCATGGGTTGCCTCCCATGCAGCGCTTGTTTTAAGTCTTTAGCTTGACTGTAAGGCTTGGCGCTCAGGAGAAGATGGAGACAAGAGGCATCTTGATCCTCCAAGTCTTTTCTCCTTGCAATGAGTATCTGGTGGGTGATTCACAGCTGGATAGACAATCTCTCCATGAATGTCCCTTGGCACTACTGCCTTAGGAAAAAGCTTTAGAGTTCTTGTCACTTTCTCCTTGAATCCTTCTAGATTCTCATCAATAAGCTCCTTTGGGAATAGAAGCTTCATGTTGCGGCCAGACCTAGGCTTTCTAACCTTCCTTCTTGGCTTGGCCTCATCTTCAATCTTGGTTGATCCCTTGGGCGGTTTTGGTGTAGGGGCCTTAGTCTTACTCCTTGCTTGTTTGGCAAGCTGCTTGGGCTTAGGAATGGGATCTTCCTTGATTGTTTCTTCAGTTTCTCCTTCTTGGGGTGGCTTCAAAGTAGCTTTCTCCTCTTGGACCATGTCAACAAAAGAGTTCTTTGTTGAACACATAGGGAAGAACATACCCTTGTTCACCTTGTTGAAAGAGATTCTTTGATTGGGGAAATCAAATATGGCACCCACAGTAGACAGGAAAGGGGTTCCAAATATGAGAGGTCTATGGCTACTCTCTCTCATTTCCACAATCTGGAAATCAGTAGGGATAGAGCAATTTCCAATCTGCACCATCACATTAGGCACAAAGCCATAGGGGTTTGTGAGAATGAATCAGCATAGTTGATGGAGATGGATGATGGCTCTATCTTGGTGAGGCCTATCTTGTCAGCTATCCTCTTAGACATGATGTTCACATTGGCTCCTGTGTCACACAAAGATTGCTCAAGAATGTTACCTTTGATGATACAAGGCACAACAAACTTTCCTGAGTTATCTGTCTTGGGGATAATCTTTGGGAAGAGTCTTCTCTTTCTAGCTCGATTGGACTCTCTCTCTGGGTAATTCTCTTCAGGCCAAATCATGCAATCAACAGTAGGTTTTGAAAGCATCCATTCTGGAACTTGGTCTTCAAATCTTTCTTCTATGGCGGCTGAGTTGCAAAAGGACTTCTTGGATTCAGCTTCCTGTCTCTTAACAGCTTCCATAGTTTGAGTGACTTGAGTCTCTAGTTTCTTCACATGAGTGGCAACAGCATCATACTTGGTGTTGAGATTGCTGAACAAAGTGTCCATCTTCTCATACATCTCTTTAGTGTTTCTCTTCTGGCCATCCATGATCTGTTGGAGGATTCCTTCAAATCTCCCACCTTGTTGGTTTGGAGGAGCTTGATTTGGTGAAGAAGCATATGGCTCCTTGGGCGGATATGATGATCTCTGCTCATATCCTTGCCTTGGCTGAAATTGACTTCCTTGAGATTGGTAAGGAGGTCTTTGTTGTTGTGGATACCTTGGAGGATACACTTGGTCTTGAGGATTCTCCACATTGGGGTTTCTATAAGACATGTTGGGGTTTGGGCGATAGCTTGGATTGTATCCCTTGTTCCCATAGTTTCCAATGTAGTTCACATCTTCTTCATTGGCTTCATTAGAGAAATCTCCCATGCATTCTCTTGATGAATCTTCATTAGCATCACTCATCCCTTCTATTGCATTGATATGCTTGAGCTGTCCCTTAAGAACTTGAGCCATCATGTTCTTGAGTTCAGTCATTTGAAAAGAATCAGGGGAGCTAGTAGTGGTGCGGCTTGAGCGGTCATAATCAGGACAGTTGTTACAATCACTAGCTGCAAGATTCTCAATAAGAACCTTAGCTTCATCAACAGTCTTGGTCATGAAGTTTCCATTGCTTGCTGTATCCAATGAAAGCTTGTACTTGTGGTCTATGCCACGATAGAAGATGTTCCATAGGTTTCCCTCATTGAAACCATGATTAGGGCAGTCCCTAATGTACTCCTTGAATCGATCTAGCGCCTCATAGAAAGATTCATTGTTGGCTTGGCGAAAGTGGAGATCTTGTTTCTCACAGAAATTGATCTCTGTTTGGTGTAGAAGTGGTTGATGAATGCAGCCTTGTACTCATCCCAAGTGGTGATGGAGTGAGCTGGCAGAGACTTCAACCATCTTGAAGCTTTGTCGCCAAGAGAGAATGAAAAGAGCTTGCACTTAAGGTAGTCAGCAGAGACTCCATTGGATCTTGTAGTGCTGCAAATTTCTTCAAAGTTTTCTATGTGATCAAGAGGGTGCTCAGCTGGAAGTCCATTGAATTGGTTCTGTCTAACCAATGCAATGATCTGAGGCTTGATCTCATAGTCATTCCTTGCAGGTGGTGGTGGATGGATAGGGTTTCTATCCATGAAGAAAGCATCGGCAGAGTCATAGTCTCCGATTGTAGGTGCTCCAGCTTGGGGTTGTGCGTTCACATCTCCAGCAGGGTTAGGAGGAGGAGGAGGTGGATCTCTTCCTTCTTCTTGAGCGCGCGCCACTTCAGCGGCGTGAGCGCGAGCTGCTTCGTCGGCCATCTCTTGGGCTTTTGCTTCCTAAGTTGCTTCTCAAGCTTGTCTATCTCTGGATGTTCAACTAGGTTGTCCTTGTTGGACCTCCTAGTCATGCACCTGAAAAGAGTCTTGGAAACAAGTTAAATCAAAAGGGAAAAACAAAAACAAAAGTAAAAATCAAAGAAAAGGAAATCAAAAACTGAAAATTCAAAAGCAAAAGAAAAGTAAAACAGGAAAAGGTTCTAGACTAGATCCTAGTCGAGTTCCAAAGGTACTGCTGCAGTCCCCGGCAACGGCGCCAAAAACTTGATGCGGAGTCAGGTTTTACCAAACTCCTAGACCTCTGCAAGTGCACAGATCGCGGAAGTATGGGTATCGAACACAAGGACTGGCTATTGAGTACACTTTGTAACTATGGATTTTGGATCAAGCTAAAACAAAAGTATGATTGAGGTTGTAATGGTGAACCGAACTAGCAAGTATAACGAGGTTGTAAACAATAAAGGAAAAGCGCTAGGTCATAGGGGCTATCGCAGAGAAGCAAGCAATGATCAATGAAACAATGATAGATTAATTGATTAGGGATATTGGGATATTAAGAACCATCTAGAACACAGATCACGAATATAAAACCATTCCACTTTCGAGGCTCCGGCTCCTTTGCTAATCTACCTAGTCGCTAAACTTTTGGTATGTCCCTAGGTGATTAGATCAAGCATTAGAATGAATAGGTTCTGATACAGTTCACTAGATATAGATAGATCAACTTTCGCAGTCTAAGAAACCTAGCTTGTCAAAGAATATGTCCGGCGAATGATACAGCACTGTCGAGGCTCAAATCAACCTAAGATCGGATTACTAGATGCGCGGTAAAGCAATCAGCATTAGTTAAGTGCACAAGACGAGACAAAGACTCTAATATAATCCCTAGCTAATCATTGAAATCAAAGATCATGCAAGCAACTCATTGAATAGTAACCCTAGCAACCTAACTAGTGGATTACTCAGACATGATCAAAGCAAACACACATAGAGATGAAGAAAACATGATTGCAATAAAACTTAGAGTAGGAAATCGAAATACAGGGCGGCTCTCTTTCTCAAGAGGCTAAAAATCCATATATATAGTGCTAGGTCTTTCTAGAGGCGGCTTAGGGTTAAGCCGGGCTTGAAAACATAAGTTTGGGCTTCAAAAAGGGCTTCGGGTCGACCGCGGCGTTGGGACGGTCGTGCGGGACGATCGGCCGGACAGTCGGGTCGTGGGCGAGTCGGAACGGTCGGGGTCGGATGGATTCGGGTCGGCCGGCGTGGTCGAGCGGATGAGATTTGGCCGATGAATTCTCGGCCGGACGTGGGACGTTCTTCCCGGCTCGGACGGATGCATCGGCCGTGGTACGCGGAAGGGTTGCGCGGCCGCGAGGCTTGTTTCCCGGCTCGCGCGCTTTGGTCGTGCGCGGTGTGGCGTGGCGTTGAAGCTTGGCCGACCGCGGGCATGTTTCCCGGGTCGTGCTGTGTGATCGGCCGAGTGGTTTGGACTTTGGCCGAGACTTCAGTCGGACGGATACTTTGGCCGAGCGCGGAACATTCGTTCCTCGGCCAGCCGGACTGCGCGGTTGGGCGCTGATTCTCGATAGAGCCGTCTGGACAGTCTTCACTCTTTTGGTATAACTCCTTTTCTACTCATCCAAATGAGGCCATTCCAGTTGCGTTGGAAAGTTAACTCAATCAGAGCACGCAGGGAACTGGTCTTGATGAAATCCATTGAGTAGATCTTTTTCTGGGCCCTCTTAAAGTTGGTGCTTGTGCATGGAGCTGCTTGAAGTGCAAATCCTATGGTTTTGCTCCAAAATGCATCATTTCACCTGTTTAGACTCTAGACACTATAAACACAGTAAAACTACCTTTTTAGATAGAAAACCTGCCAAAAACCATTAGAAAACAATGCTAAAACAGTATAAAAAGTGGGTAAATTAGAGGTATATCAGAAACCAACAATAGAAGGTCAGCTCTTTTATGTTGAGGAGATGGATCAGTTGGCAGATGAGCTTCTAGAAGAGTTATCGTTGGAGGATCCCCTACAAGTTTCTTTGACTAAGGACTCTTCAGAAGGATATGTGAGCTCGGAAACCGATGAGTACAAGAAGCTCCTTGACACCTTCAGACCAGTTCCAAACATTCTGAGCATTGAGGGGTTGGACAGCCAGTTTGCGAGGTCATGGCAGTGAGCTCGATCAAGAGCTCGATCGAGTCGGGTTTCGAACAAACAAACTCGATCGAGCTGGGAACTGAATGCAAGGAACAAGCTCAAGGAGATTGGTCTGAGCTCAAGGCACCAAAAGTCGACCTCAAACCTTTGCCTGAAGGCCTCAGGTATGCATTCCTGGGTGAAAACTCAACTTACCCTGTCATTGTGAACTCTGATTTGGAACATGAACAGTTGAGTGCTTTGCTTGTTGAATTGAGGAAGTACAGAAAAGTCATAGGCTATACTCTACATGATATCAAGGGAATCTCCCCTGACCTATGCATCCATAGGATTCATCTAGAGGATGAAAGTAAGTCAAGCATTGAACCTCAAAGGAGATTGAACCCCAATCTAAAGGAAGTAGTGAAGAAAGAGATACTCAAATTGCTTGATGCTGGGATAATCTATCCCATCAGTGATAGCACTTGGATATCTCCAGTTCATTGCGTCCCAAAGAAAGGGGGGATCACTGTCATAAAAAATGACAAGGAGGAGCTGATTCCCACTAGAACAATAGTGGGGCATCGCATGTGTATTGACTATAGGAAGTTAAATTCAGCATCTAGAAAGGATCATTTCCCTCTCCCTTTCATTGATCAGATGTTAGAAAGATTGGCAAACTTATCTAGTACACCGCACACCACACCAATCCTGACCACCTTGGCCGCCTCCCTATCCCGTATACTTACCGATTCCTTAAGCCCTTCAATCTCATTAACAAGTTTCTTGAAACGATCACAGTCCATCGCGATGGCGCCTATGTGTGGGTTGATGTCGTCCAACTCACCATAGAGCTCATCAAACTGCTCGGTTATAGCTTCCTCCCACCACGTTTTAAGGTGTGCTTGGCCATCCTACAATGAACAATAACCCAAGTTAGTAATAGTCAGCTCCACGATTGGTAAGCGAGCGCATAACATAAGCAAATCACCCTCACCATGGTATCATTGGTGCACTCGAAGAATTTCCTACCATCATAAGTGGTGCGAAGACCAACGTCACCACCACATCGACATATCTTGGGAATCCCAACCCCTCGCTTACCAGGGTAGGTTCTAAGGATGCTGTTTCGTTCGATGCCCTCATAATCGTTGTTGTAAACACTGTTGCGACTGAATTCCATTCTCTTCCTCCCCCCTACAAGCTTAACATAGACAATGAAGATTAATTAAGAAGATGAAATACTACGGTGAATATCTGTTCATCTTAATTGACCCACTAACAACAAGATGTCCCTATCACATCAATAATATAGGGATGACGAATTCGCAAATACGTATCAGCGGAGAAAAACAATTCCATGGAAATGTCCTCAAGGACAACGAAACTTAACCTTACTCGGCTATAGACGTTGACCTGCCGTATCCGCACTCTTTGGTTCCCTTGTTCAAACTAAGTTCCGCCGACACCTTCTTTGCCCTTGCTCTTTTGGATCCACTCTTGTAGCCAATTAAAAAATAATCACGCCGCGCGAGAATGGTCAGAGTAAAATGGACGGAATTAACTGGACTATACGACATGTCTGAATATACCTTAACTCGTTGGGAATTTGCATCCCTCACCTATAAATTAAATAATACGTGGTGTACACACCGTAATTCATCTTCACCATGGCTACTATGGACGACGTCAAGTATTATAGTGTTAAAATGTAACACTAGATGCGAGTGCGCTGTTCGGGACTGTAATGTTCACAAACTTATGGACATAAAGAAGTTACATGTGCCGACATGGTTGTTTCTCGATATTCCCGCCAAACGTCTTTTTAAAGACTCTGGCAGACGATGACTATTCGTAGCTTCCCATTCAAAATCTGAGAGGCAAAATATCCATCAAGGGGGACCAAATCAGGTAAGTTCGTATTGTTATCTGTCCAAATATCTGTTTCGCTCCCGCTTACTTATTGTTATGGTCGTATTGTTATGGTCGTCCCTTTAGGCTAGGTCGTGCCTCTCCTTTTGGCGTTTTCTATTTTACAATGTCAGTGTACATACTTTCTCTTGCGTTATCGCAATCGTTAATTCCAGTGAACTCGATAGAATGATGAGGGGGCATAGGTAATTCTATATTTGCTCATTGTACAACAACCACAGCGACTCCTCCAACCTTTTTCCTACCAGCTTTAGGAGCTATCTTGGATATCGCTGAGTGGGTATTCCCCAAAAATGTAGATGTGGCTGTGATGTTGCTCTTCGCTCTACCCACAATGGGAAAAAACTATACGTATGCACGGGTAACACAATGGTAAGCCTAATTGTGCCGTGGTAACCCAAAGTTAAGTCATTATCGGGACGTCACACTAACTCCTACTTTCCTAGGATGGGGAGCCACACCTCAGAACCTTGTGGGACGAAGCAGTTGTCGAGGAGCTGGCCGAGTTAAAAGACGATTTGGCCGACTTAGACACACAGCTTGTCTACATCATCCAGGATTGTGGGCGCATCGACAAACTTGCGAGCGAGATTGAAGGGCTAAAAGAATCAGCCAGAAAACGTGATGCAAAATATGCCTTCGAGTTCAAGATTGCTTTGGCGTGCGCTGTTCTCGCAAGTTTCCTTGGTCTTACGGCCTTTCTTAGCTAGAACAGCTTATATATAATCAGATGGCTTAAACTTCAATATTGCTGGAGTCATCTATATTTTTTGGGCTCTCAGATTGTCCGTTCTGGGATAAAACAATTACGGCTTATGTACGATTCGACGTGGACAGAATATGTTAATGCGCTCCTATTCTTTCACTTAAGGCTTCGCACACAAATCAAAATAATCTGCGGAACACAGTCCTGCTTAACGAATCCGTACGAGCATACCAGGGTGGACAACCGAATGTGTTCGACAACGGATGTACGGAATTAAGCTAAGAGCTTCTATTTACATAGTGGCATTCACGGGAACATCAACCCCAGGAAAACCAATTAACCAAAAACGTTATTTGCTCATTGTTCAGGAACAATATGGATTACAACAACCAATGCTTAAAAAACTACCGACCATATTATCCAGTCAAATGAAACATTACGCGTCCACGCGTTCACTCCGTACAAACGATATACACCAGATGTTCGACCTAAAAACGTTATTTGGTTGTCCACGCGTTCACCCCGTACAAATGATCTACACAAGATGTTCAACCTACAAGTCTACTGACTCCCACAATGAAAACGCACCCTACCACTGCAGTAATCACCATTTTCTTCATGCTAGATGATGATTCGATTATCTCACAACCCTTACTCTCAGTTGTAGCCTCTTCCAACTTTTCCTCAATCTTTGATATTTTATCCTTCAGCATCTCAATCTCGTTTAAGTGACCCTCATCAACCCACTTAAAAGGTGTGATTATCGTTTGCAAGCTACATACAGTTGCAAGCAAAATTTAAACAGCTAACCAACAAACTACTGTCCAGATCGAATAGTTTATACCAATATAAATTTTACCTTTGTAGCCACAACATAACCACAACGATAGTACCTCCTGTAAGGATTTGTCTCCGATCTCGAGATAAGCTGTATGATTTGCTCCCCACACCAACATCTTTTTTTCGGCACTCCGACAACCCTTCCCTTCCAACGGCTATTTGTCGACCCAGTCGAAGCTCCAGACAAATTACTCATGTTGCTACACAATCATATCAAACTTTGAGAATCTTTTGTAAGTCCTTACACATCTAAATGAAGGAACGGATTCCGCAAGATGAACGGACTTACCGTCTAGTTCTCTGTTGCGTCCCGTCAAACCTGCTCCTGCTGGACGCTATTTTTCTATATGAATCCCCTTTAGGGTCTATGTATAGACCTTTCGGATATCGCACGACCACAGTGACTATCCACGTACGTCGCAGGAGTATCCGTTCACATTACCCTTATACCAACTGCGCCTGAGTTTCACACCACCAATCAATCCACACGTTGACGGCAGATGTACATTCACGAACACCACACAATAACTATATTGTCTTGGGAAGGCTCCAGCATTGAAACGTTTTTAGAAATAAACACAGCTACCCCGTCCATCCACGTCCATTGGTACACATGTTAACCCAAACTGCAAACTACGGTATTAACCATTGAACACGTTCCTCTCGGTTTGATGTAAATTGCCGCTAATTACAGCTTCAAGGAGTCAGGATAATTTGGCACCGCCCTTTTTTTCCCTACCATGTACACGATATTATGTTTGTCCACGATATATTGGTAAGCCTTAAATGGTCATAGTATCGTTTAGTGGTTCGGTGGTCAAATTGATAGAAACGTGGTAAATTGATACATCTTAAATTCTTCTTGGATCATTTGGCTATTCAGTGTTCAAGCAACAAAACTTCTCAAATTTTTACATTTCTTGCCGACAGTTAATTAACTGTTTACAATTCCTTATCAGTTCTGTTCATCCACCAATGACCATCCATAACAACTCGCGTAAAGTTAACAAAACACGTCGCACCACATACTTATGTTGGATACTTCATCAGTACACGTCTATTAGTCCATAAGATAGCCCCATCGTTGGTCCAAGTGAATAAAACTACTGAATTAACCATTGCACATGTTGTTCTCTGTTTCATATAAATTACACAGCTAACGAAACCATCCACTTCCGTTGGTACACATGTTCACCAAAACGGCTGGCTAATCGGTGTTCAAGCATACAAACCTCTAAAATGTTTCCTTATCACTATGACAGTTAGATAATTAACTGTTAACGATTATTTCTCATTTAAGATCATCCATCAAAGATCATCCATAACAACTCGACATTAGTTAACAAAAACGTAACAACACATACTTAGGTTGGATACACATAATCAGTACACGTCCATCGCCGATAAATAACTTGGTGCAACCCACCAAAAAGATACATGCCAGGGTTTCACACCAAAAAAACTACAAGAGCCTGTCGTCCGCTTTCTTTTAGTTTTCGCTTTGGAGTAATGCCTGAGTCGCAGCTGACGAAGTCCGGCACTCGATCCGCGCGCTAGTTAAATGTTTGCAACCCACCAAAAAAAAACATTAGAGGGTTTCTGATGATATGGTATTGCGTGGGTGTGATATGATATGAATGAAGGATGATAAGATATGAGGTGGAATGCAAACAGGGGTGAATAATGATGAAATGGAATGGTGCAATTACAATCAATCAATTCCTCTTAACCATCATAGTCATTGAAGTATAAGAGGTTATCAATCCAAAATGGGAACTTGTCACTCTTTGAGAATATGAAACAACCAGAAAGTCAAGCAAGCAGTTAAAGGTTTTAAGAACACTAACAACCTAAGAAATGAAAATGCAGTGCAATAAAAGTAAACAAAGCAGTAAACAAGTAGCTCGACCAGGGACTCGAGTCGAGTTGGGACAGAGCACCGAGCTCGATCGAGTTGTGGGTCGAGTTAGCGAAAAAGACAATAAAGGTGACGACTTTAACAAGAATAAAAGAGAATTAGGGTTCAAGACAGGGTTTTGCAATCAAGGGAATCTACACTTAATCAATCTAGCTCTTAAAACTCCTTGTATCAAGGCTTCTCTTGATATTGGGCTTCTCAATGCCTAGCCAACCCTTTCCCAAGGTGGAGGCTATCAACCAAGGAATGATCTCAGAAACAGGGGGTTAGCCAGTGAGAATCAAACCTTGGAGGCCATAGGATCATTGCCCAAACTAATCCATTGATGTACTTGCATTTTACATGGTTTTAGCCCTTCTTTTATGCATCTTTTGCATAGTTTCATTCACCAAAGCATCATTTCTTGATGTTTTCCCTTCTTTTGCATACATAGTAGTTTTAGGCTTGCATTTGCATACATGTGCACGTTTGATGTCTTAATCAGGTCATTTGGAGCTAATTGGAACATTGCCTATCACTGGAGACTAGTTGAGGAAGGAAAGACTCTGTCTGCCCCATGTACGGACCCGCACTCGGTCGAGCTAGTGAGATGCGTCCGAAGTATCGTATCAAATGAAGGGTTTCCACTCCGATTCAGCCTCTGACTTCTTCTTGGAAGTTGTGGATAATTGAGTTAGCTTTCGTCTGGAGGTGGTTTCATGTCATTCGGACCAGCGGTTCAGAAGATACGACGATATTGGTTGGACTCGACCCACCAGCTCGACCGGCCAGTTTCCAACTCGATCGAGCTGCTTTTCCAGGAGTCAAAGTCAAACCCGAAAAATGTTGCTTCCCTTTGACTCCCCTTTGACCCTAAACCTAGTTTGCTTTACTATAAATGGCATTGAGCCACGAATTAAACATAGCTTTTGCTCAACTTTTATTTAATCTTGTATTTGCATTTCCCTTTTTACTTTTTAGCCTCTCTTTGTGTTCTTGAGCTCTTGCTCATTGAACCTTAGATCTAGGCTTTATTATTGTATTTCTGCACTTCTCTATTTCAATAAAAGTTGTTCTATATCATCTCCTCTATCTTTTGATGTTTCATTCATTGCATTTGGTTGTTTATTTCACCATGATTAGTGAGTAGTTCCCTTTAGGGCTTAAGATGGGATAGGTTAGAGGTTGTTTATGCTTAATCCTTCTTGCTTATGTTCTTAATCTAGAAATCTCTCTCTTTTGGACAAACCTTAAGGCTACATGACCACTATCCCTGGCTTGTATGTCCATAGGCGATTCTCCACATGGAAGTGATGGAAATCGTTGGAAAGGTCCACTAAGAGCTCCAATAACTCTTGCTCTCGAAATGGAGTTCATAGGGGTTGGATGGATTAGTTTGAGCAATGATCCTATGGCCTCCAAGGCTTGATTCTCACTGGCTAACCCCCTGTTTCTGAGATCAAGTCTTGGTTGATAGCTTTCACCTTGGGAAAGGGTTAGCTAGGCATTGAGAAGCTCAATATCAAGAGATAGCTTGAGTACAAGTTGTTTAAGAGCAAGACTGATTAAGTATAGCCTCCCTTTAGCTGCAAAACCCTGTCTTTAACCCTAATCTTCGCATTAGCATCTTAAAGTTTGCACCTTTATCGCTTTTCATTGCATTTCCTCTGTTTTTACACCAACTCGACCCTCAACTCGATCGAGCTCACCAACTCGACCCTCAACTCGATCGAGTCATCAACTCGATCGAGCTCTTGGTCGAGCTCATCAACTCGATCGAGCTCTTTCGAGCTCCTTGTATCTGCTTGTTCTTGTTAATTTCTTGCATTTAGCTGCTTTCTTTTACTTTCTGCATTGCATTTCGTTATATTAGGTTGTTTAGTTGTTACATCCATCCTTTTAATCATTTGGCTTGACTTTCTTGTGTTTGCATATTCTCATAGAGCAACATCTCACCCTTATGGATTGATAACCTCTTATACTTCAATGACTATGATGGTTAAGAGGAATTGATTGATTGTGATTGCACCATACACTACAAGAAAAAACAAGTATTGCTACCATTTTTTTGGTCACAATATCATAATATTTCGTCACAAAAACATTATTGTGACAAAATTGATACGAATTACAAAACGTAGCAATGAATTCGTCACAACTCATTTTTAGTCTCAAAAACGTCACAAATGTTTGTTACGATTACAATGGTAACAATTCGTCATAAATTGTGACACAATTTAACAGTTACAGAAATGACACAATTGGTGACAAATTTTGTCACAAACAAGCCACAAATTCTGACAAAAAAAAGGTAGCATGCTGGCCACGAATTATTACCATATTTTAGTCAATAAAGTGTAACAAAAATGAGACCAGGAAAATGTTACAAATATGTCACAATTAGTGACTAAATTATAGTCATAGAATAGTCACTATTTGTTTTTAATTGTTACCCTTTTTCTTACTAGATGTGTAACAAATTGTGACGAACTATTACTTAATTGTCACCAATAAATATTCATCATTTTTAATTATAAAACAAAAGATAAAAGTTAAAATTATAAAAAAAACAATAATAAAATAGAAAATACTTAATTACTTAAAAATACAAAATATTTCAAAACAAAGAAAACTTACGAAAACAAATCCTAATAACATAACTTAAAAGAAATCCTAATATCATAACATAACAAAACAAAGAAACACAAACTTAAACACAATCCTAAGCGCCTTATGGAAACGTGAATGGTTTTGATGATGGAATTGGAATTAGGCATTTTGTCTTTCCAAACTCTCAAGTTTCTTCTCCAAAGCTTCAAGTCTCCTCTGAATTTGCAGATTCTCTTCACGGCTTTCTTTCAGCTCTGTTTCCATCTCTTGCATCCTTTGTGGACACATCTCTGGTTCTTCAAGTTGTGGTGCACTCGAAGAAGCTTCGCCAGCTAGTAAAACCTCACTACGTAGTGCTCCAAGTCCAAAGATGCCTTGGTTAGATACACCAGTAGCAGCCTAGAAGAAAAAAACCACAAATATATCGAAGTCAATCAACTAGCTACACAAGTCCAAAGTCTCTTTCACTACCATGACAATAAAAACGACCAAACAAGCAGCAGATTTCTAAAATGCAGCATAAGCAAATGAAGAATACTCAAAGAAATACAGAAATACTTTCAGCTAATGAAATGTAATTAACGAGTAAATGAAAAGCAATCATTGGGTTTTGCATAAGAGTAATGAAGCCATAGATTGTTGGCTTCGACAGATTCATAAAATCCAACTGAGATTTCAATTAAGGATCAGTTTCAAAGCTTTACCTTGACATAAATTTCATTTTTTTCACGTAGGCCCAGATTTTCAGCGGTCCTCTGTTCCCCAGCAATTTCGAGCTGTCCCAAGTGTTCTTCTAGATGCTTCTCGTAAGCTTCTGCAACTAAACGTGCTCTTTGATCAGAGTACGTTCCATCTGCCTTCTGGTGTGTTTTCTTCATCACGGCAAAGAAACAGAAGTCCTCATTGTTTGCTTCCTGCAAACGAAACAGTAAAACAGTGAAATAATAAAAGCAATCACGATTAAAAACAATAAAGAAACCAATATTTATTTAAGCATTACCAAAACATCTTGAACTTTAGCAAAAGAACGAGATCCTGCTACGTGGGAATATGGACCTATACCACCGCGATCAGACATTCGTGAAGCTCGAGCTTTCGCACTCTTTTCTATCGCTTTAGCTGTTGCCCAATGAGCTTCCATAATGGCCCAAACATCAGACATGATCCAATCTGGTTTTTCCCCTGTTTTCTGAGCGTTCTTCTTTGCAGCGCTTATCATTCCTTTGAGGCGATAAGCAGCAAGCTTATCAAACTCTCCTTTAACTTGATGGTTGATAGCTGGATTCCAGTTGAACTTTTTCTGAAAACAAGGACAATATTTACTAGATTAAAAGCATAACTTATGACAAACTCAGAGTTGATATTAAGCAAAACGACGAGTACCTTGAAAAGAGAAAACCAAGTTCCTTTGTAGAAAGGAGGAACTTTTTTCCAAGAGTAATATGGGCCTTTGAAACAGCTCTGAATGACCTTTCTGACAGCGGTGGATACTTGAGTGTCGTGGTTGAACCTATTACATTGTAATAGATTATTTGATGTGTTATAAATCTAAGAACAAATTCAATGGTTTTTAGAAAGAGATTACGTACCATTTGGCTCCATTTTCCCGAGAAGGATGCAGCATAGGTAAAACTGAACGATCCACAACTGCCTCTTCCATCTCTTCACAATACACACAAGAAAAGTCATAAGTTATCAATCTCCAAATCTGTCAAATGAAAACTTACAATTCTTACAAAAGCTAATGATAATCTTAATCTGTAGTCCTAGGTTCTCAGCCAAATATTAAAGTAACAACCACCAATCAGACACACACAAAAACCAAACAGTAAACATCAATTGATTAGATAATCTTATAAAACCGACAGAACACACAAAACCGAAGATCAATAGGCAGATGCTCACAAAGCAAATTGGAAAAAATCCAGAATTGTCAAGAATACCTGATCTCTGAAATTGAAGACAAGCTGGCTTTTGATACTTTGCGATGCACTAGCAAAAAAAGAAAGTGAAGAGAACGGTTATTAAGAGAGATAGTTATATATATAATTTGACATGTCTTGTGTCTCTAAATAAGTGGGGGAAATTTTCCCAAAATTTTGGCGGTATAATAATTGGCCTCGCGAGGCAACCGTTAGGTGAAACTAATTAATATTTGATTAGTTCCACGTGTGAAATGATTGATTTTTTTTTATAGGAAGTTTAAGTTTCAAAGTTCATAGAAGTGAGAAGAGCATATTATTATTTGATAGTTGATTGAGGTTAACATAACGGGAACAATGTAAGAAAAAGTTAAAGCATATTTCAACTTACAAAACCTCCGTCTTCTGATTGTCACATCCTTCTAAGGTCCAGGATCTGGCTTGAACCCCAATCCGATCCAGTGGAGTAGAATCATCAATGCTTGACTTGGTGAGGAGATCATAGATATGTTACGAGTGTGAGGCACTTCCTGTCCACCAAGTAATAACAGCACAACTTGAACCTACAGTAAAAATGTATCGAGCAGAGCTTTAAATAAGAAGAAAATTAAGAAACAGTTGAATACATTGATTATATCTTGCTGACAATGGATTTAAAATATCATCACAAGACAATTAGAATCACCTTCTCAGGCAGGACGTGATAAAAAACACAAACTTTTCCTTGAAAGGGCAATGTCAATTGATCCTCTCCATTATCAATGCCATTGTGCATGTCACCGTTGCTTCCATGAGAGTCATACATGGTCTTTTATTCATCAAATTGTCACCGAATAAACAATCAAAGAAACAGAACATTAGCAAATATAAATATATGATCGCATCAAACATTGTAGAGGACAAAAAAAACAGACTCTCCATCAAAGAGACAACCTAAGAAACGGTCACATAAAGGAAGTCCATTAACGGTTACTGGTTCCTCACATTTCTTTCCCTACCGCAATATATTTTGGGAGTACATCAACAAAACAAGCTCTTATAATATAAAGTATGATTCTTAGTTTCCAGAAATTAAAGTGGTCTATTGAGTAACTAGATCCGTTTGGAAAATTCTACTTCTTTCACGTAAGTAGAGGTATACACGAGCAATCAAAGAAGTCTTGCTGGTAAAGATGCACAACATACAATATGATTATGTGTTTAAAACCCATGTCACCCATTTTACTAAGGAGATGCGATATGATAAGTTAGTGAGAATTAAGAGCATAAAGAAAGACTTGATGAATGTGATAGCATGATTCTAGCTCAACATCTCTTTTCAATCAATTTCCCATTATTACGAATGTTAGCTTATAGAGAAGAGACACGCTACTATGGCACTGGAATTTACCAAGGCTGATTTCAAGACGACATAGCAAACTTTACACACAGGCTGGCCCGATTCATTCACTCGCAACATGCTTAATTAAAAGAAGCTTTAATTAATAACAAAGCACATAATCGATTGGGGAGATTATTACCTTGAATTCCCTCCCACACGTGAATCAAAATGATGGACGAGCTCGATTCACTTTCGTTTAGACTCTATTTGCTCTGGATTTGGGGTCAAAATCGGAATCAGGATTTCTATGTGAAGAAAAAACTTTGTCGGGAAACTGAGTAGAGAGAAAACAGTTTCTGGGCAAGACCGTCGATTTTACTATGAGCTTCGCAATCTACAACAGAAATCTTTATTCGTTTTTCCCCTTGATTTGTGTTTCAGCTCGAAATTTTGTAACTCTAGGTTCCTACTTTTTCGTTTTTTCTGCAGAATACAAAGAGAACACAAAAAAAAAAAAAAGTTGCGTGTCTGATAGAGAGAGATGATGAACTGTCTGATAGAAAGTATATTTATTTATGGACATAAACTGTAGTATCTATGTATTTAATTATTTATGCACGGTGAATGTGAATCAAACATTTATTATATCAAATTTGAAATCAAAAGTTCAAAATAAAATATAGAGAACTTTGGCCTATTACATTTTATCAGCTAGTTCTTTCTACTTATACCTTATTATGATTTTACGAATTTTAATTAAGTTCTAACCTATATAAACCGATTTTTAATTATGTTATTTTTATTACTTTCCAGTTGTTTTTGGGTTATTTTTTCAGAACTGAAGCTATTTTTTTATTTAATTATGTAATGTCTACATATTGTTTTAGCCTAATCACAAAGTAGCTTCAATTAAGTCACAATTTATGATTAAATCTAAAAGTCACTAAAACAGTCACTAACTGTGACGAGATACCAACCAATTTTTTGTAACCATGTGTGACGTAAATTTTATACCAAAATCGTATTAATTTAGTAACCGGATTTCATCACAAAACCGTAACAATATTTGTAACTATATATTTCATAACAAATTCGTCACAATTAGTTACAAATATTAGTTACGTTTGTTTTGGTCACAATATTATAACGAAATTGTTACATTTTTATGACCGAATAACTTCGTCACATTTTCGTATGTAAATCGTCACAATATTATGACAAAATAATTTGTCACAAATTTTCTGTCACAATATTCCTTTTTTCTTGTAGTGATACCATCTCATCTCTATTCACCCCTGTTTGCATTCCACCTCATTTCATATCATCCTTCATTCATATCACACACATCAAATCCTATCATTATCCATCCAACCCCTTAGACCTCTATTGTCTAGAGCAAGAGATATTGGAGCTCTTAGTGGATCTTTTCCAGCGAATGCCATCACTTCGTGTGGGGAGTCGCCTAAGGACTTACAAGCCAGGGGTAGTGGTCATGTAGCCTTAAGATCTATCCAAAAGAGAGAGAATCTAGATTAAGACCATAAGCTAGAAGGATTAAGCATATGAAACCTCTAATCTATCCCATCTCAAACCCTAATGGGTAACTACTCACTACACATGAATGTAAACACAAGCAAATGCAATAAAAGAGACATCATAAGAAAGAGGAGATGAAATTAAACAACTTTTATTGAAATAAGCAAGTGCAAATACAAAGCAAATAATCCAGGATCTAAGATTCAAGAAGCAAGAGCTTCAAGAACACAAAGATGGGATTAGGGTTGCTAAAAGTAAAGACAATAAAATTAAAAAAAGCTAAAACAAAGATAATCTAAAGCTTGGTGGTTTTTTCGTGGCTTAGAGCCTTTAAATACAAGAGGATTAGGTTTAGGGTCAAAGGGAAGTCAAGGGGGAAGCAACATTTTTCGGGTTTGACTTTGACTCCCCAGCTCGATCGAGTTGAAGCTTGGCCGGTCGAGTTGAGGAACTCGACCGGTTGGTCGAGTGGACGGTCGAGCTGGTCTTCAAGATGGCTTCTCCCTTCTTCCTTTGCGTGTCCAGTTGAGCTGCTTCCATGCGCCAAGTCCCTCCATGCTCCTCATGTCCAATATGCTCCAGAATGCTCCAAAAGACCTATTTCAAAGGACCAAACATGCATATGTATGCAAATGCAACCTAAAACTAACATGAATGCATAAGAAGAGAAAAGGAACAAGATATGATGCAAATGGAAGCTAAAACTATGCAAAAGATGCATAAAAGATGTGCTAAAACTATGTAAAATGCAAGTACATCAGTTTTGCATCATAATAACTACAAAAGAGTTGTGTAATTAAACAGGGTCACTCAGGCGGGAAGTAGATTGGGACAACGAAATCCCGGTATAACTCCATCGCATATGTCTTTCGAAAGTCATCCACCATTGCATCAGTAACACCCACTAGGTGAGGTGGAGGGTCATCGTAAGCATGCATCTCCATGAATTTAACCGCCACCGGTCCGCAGTCGCCAGCACGCTTGTTCTCATAGATCGTTGACATCCTAGCATAAGTGAAAGGGTTGTTGTTTTGTGTGGCCGAAGGACAGAACTTACTTATCAGGTGAGGAAGCATTTCCACAACAGGCGCCATGAACACATCCACCTTTCTATCCGCGTAGAGTGATGGGAAAGGATCCATCACCTTGACATAATGCGTCTCTAGATGTACCGCCAAACCAACCCAATGGGCGTCGTTCCAAATCATGGGTGCGTATACTGTGTGTATCTCGTTCAGCCAAGATTTACCTGGCGACGTGACGTAGTCAGTTATAGCACTATCCCACCGCACCATATTTTTGTTTATAGCCGCTTTGAACTTGCGATATTTCCCTTGCAAGTATTTTACAAACCAAGGGGATGCAAAAGACGAGTGCTCTTGCGCCAGAACGTGAGCGTGCTTCGCTCCTAGATATGTCATCAGCACCTCCATATGCTAACAAAAAAAAACAACACCAACCACTAAATATATATCACTATATAACAAACTAATATAAACCATTACACAATGCTAGTGTACCTTAGTGGACACCCATTCCTGGCTTCTCGCAAGGTCAAGGAAAAACGAGTTTTCAAGATCATACCTGTCCTGCGAGATGTGCAAACTGCATATGACACCAAAAACAACACTGTAAGCAAACACACAGATAACAGCAACAAACTGTTTATAAGTGGGGTGCACATACAAATTTCTGTCCACCGTCAGCGTTTTCTGGAAGAGCGAATACGACTGCAAATCCACCCTCGGAAAAAGCACGCCCGGTGCATGTCTCTCACCCGCAAGCAAGGTGTTGGCCAACGCAATCTCCAACTCGGATGGCACATGTGCAGAACGTGGTGGTGGTGGGGACGAGTCGCTCACTGTTACATGAGTGGACAAAACACTGTCTATGGCATCCACGACCACCTGCTTTTATTCACCGAACCACATGAAAAATCAATGCTCAGTTCCTAACCAAGTCACAAAGATCCTAACATCCACATACAACAGTGTCTTGACTCAAAATGATGGTTTCAAATTACCTCTGTTTCACGGATTCGACCTGCCTCGGTCTCGTCAACCATCCCTTGTCCATTTTGACTCTCTTCGGCCACATATTCTTCATACATAGCCTCTGGACGATCTTGTTTTCCTTCGCTGGACTTATTATCACACGGATTGCCTTCTTTTTCCTCGGCGATAGCACCGTCCACAGAAACATCAACAGAACGACACCCCTCCATAACCTTAAGACCCTGCAGGAACCCCCTAACATCAACACCTCACACAACAGATGACAATAAACACATTCACCAAAACTATTACACATCACACAAACTGTTCGTACCTCTGCCATGGCATTCGTAGATCCAGCCAAGACACCATCATATGATGTCGTCTGTGAGGGCCACACCTTATACATAGACGGGACTCCCATGTCCGGGGCACTAACCCGGGAGCTAGCTAACCTGCTTGGCGACACACAATCCAACGTGTGGAGGGATTTGGGAGAAGCGGAGTCGGAGACTATGTTTGCAATAAGCGACTCAAGATGCATATCCCGATCATCAGAGTTTCCTCCCTACGGTTTGAGAATCAGTTAACCATTTTTTAACAACCCAACAAGTCAAGCTAATCAACGACCTACCTCGTTAGTCTTGTCCTCCACAGTAATGACCGAGCTGGTGGTGTGGCGCTTACTCTCCTGTAAGACAGGCTCAGGCGCAACAAAGTCACGTGCCACAGTCCCCACGTCCACACTCACGCGTTCACTGGTCTCGGTACATAAGGTCTCAGTTATGGATGCATCTTTCGGTGGACAGTCAATATCGACCTCCCCTCCCAGAGCGTCGACCATATCCACATCTGTTTGCATACACGGATCACGGAGATCATGGTCGTCGTTTACAGGCTCGTTGAGTTCCACGACACCACCGGCACCACTCGAGTTATCTGTCGGACTTGTTTCGACCTCATCCAGACGTCTCTGAACATCCACGCTGTCTGCTGTGGCCTCCGACATGCCAACCTGTAACGCCTACATTGGTTGTTTACTGATTATCCAGAGGGACACTAACACTCACAAAGATATTGAAAAAGAAACAATAAAAATAGAAAACTGACTAAATATTCTGCAACTAATAAATATTGAAATGAAAAATTTATAATGGACCGATCTTCTAATTTAAATAACTTATTTTTCAATTTTTGGTTAGATAAAAAAATATTAAAAATATTTCATCAATTGAAATTTCTTGGATAAAATAATCAAAATTTCACAAATTAATCAGTCGATCAGACTTAGATATGTCTAAGTCTTTCTATATTGGATAAAAATCAAAAGAAAACAAATTAATTCATTTTTCATATAATGAATTAAAAAAATAAAATTTATCAATTATAATTAAAATGTAAAACGATTATTAATCTTATTTTGTTTATAGATTTGTTATCTGATATTTAATATTCTTCTACTTTATTTTTTAAGTGATCTGATTTTGTTTAATATTTTTTTGTGATTTGGTTAAAGAATCTTAAAATATCCGCGTATACGTGGAGCCTAATCTAGTATCTAATATTTTTTATAAAATTATATTTTTGGTCTTATATATTATAAAATTATATATATTGGAAAAAATATATAAATAAAACACTTTATTAATGACAATTTGGTCTTTGCAATTGTGAAAGGGAACAAGAGAGTTTCATTAGCCAAAATTACTTTGCAAAATAATAGTATAGATCTATACTATATAAAAGTTGAGGCTATAAGCCATTGAGGGCGTCCACATAAGGATTATAAAACACGATTTTATTGGTCCACATAAGCATCTTCAAGATTAAGAAAGTTTCCAAATTTTAAACTACCAATAGTATCATTCCACATAATCATATAAAATTAAGAAATTTTCCAAATTTTAAACAACCAATAGTATTAATCTATATCATCATATAAAATTAGCGTATTTGTTAAATTAGTTAATTTCTTTCTTATGTTTCAAGAATATTAATTAGTATAATGTTTAAATTAGAAATTCCCAAGTCTAAAGTGATTAAATTAATATTTTTTTAATATAAAATTTGAGGCTAAATGCATGTGTCCACATAAGATTATAAAACCACATCTTATTGGTCCACATAAACATTTACATAATTATTTTTTTCCCAATTTTAAACAACCAATAGTATTAATCTATATCATCATCTCATTTTTTTCAAATTTTAAACAGCCAATAATATTAATCTATATGTCATAAAATTAGCTATATTTTTAAAATTAGTTAATTTCTTTTATGTTTCAAGAAAATTAATTAATAGAACCGGTTTAAATTAGAAACTAAATTAAGACTTTTTAAATTTATTGTTAAAAAACATTTGTATAACTAAAATATTAGTTATAAAGAATTAAATAAACCTTAAGGTGAACTATCTTTGACCAAACTTAAGTTTTTACAAATAAAGAGTAGGTTACACCATAATAACTGAAGAATTGTTCTAAGCAAACAAAGCCAACATTGCAAAAGAGTCGATCTCAACATTACATAATCTATGAATAAAAAAATGGAGATAGAAACAAAAATGCGTAATGTCGTATAGAAGACATATGAGTTCATTTGCAGTTTTTTAGGTGATGAGAGAGATCAAGCTTTGGGAGCTAAAACAAAAAATCAAGAAAACAATAGCATACTATATAATATTTAGTTCATCGTAGCTTCAAAAAAATGGTCGAAAAAGTAAATAGTTTGTTTGGATTACTATGGAGCAGAAGAATTCAAAGGAGATTTAATAGTGCAACCATACAACAAATTTTCGAGAAAGCATTCCACCCTACATCAACAAAATAAGAGTTCGTATTCGGGAGGATAATGGAGGTCAGACGGAGAGAAAGAAGAGGTTGATGTCTGACATCCTTCACATCCTTTAAGAAGATTTCATCTCCATGTAAATAACGATTTTCAAATAAGAGAAAATCACAAACCTTCCAAAAATGGCAAATATATAAGGATAAAGAGATATAGGCAATAAACCTATTAGGGGTAGAATAATCAGTTTTTCTACATCTTCAAAGACTGAAAAAGGTGTGAGTTTGCCATAAGTTTATTGAGAAGCAGGCTTGATCCAAGACTCATACTGTAGAAAGACATATGAAGAAGATATGGAGACTGTTTCTTTGATGATCACAATGATTGCAGGAGGTGTATCAATTCCATGAGCAGCTAGAGTTTGATCGGTCAAGACAAAGCTTTTGCCATCAAATTCAAGAGGAAATATTTCATTTTTGGTGTAGTATAAACTTGCCAAATATGATTACTCGATTTGATTAGAAACATGATATGAGGTGAGTTAATAACCATTTTTGCAATTAAATAAACACTAACTGAATTTTGCAATTTCTAAACAAATATGTAACTAACAAATTTTTTGAACAAGAATGTATTTATAAACAGATTTAAGGCGGAAATATTCAAGTAAACATTAATATAAAACTACTTCTAAAAAGAAATGTATACCATAACGCATAAAAAACGTGACAAAATTACTAACAAAAAAATCAACATTGAACAAACAATGATTTAAGATTTTCTTTAAGCCATAAAAAAAATATACATAATTTATATTATATAAAAGCTAAATATATACTATTATGATCAAAGTTTATAAACTAATAACACATAATTATATGTTGTTTATAGCATTTTAAGTTCTAACATAACGAATTGAAGTTATTTTAAATAAACATCATGTTACATACAAATACTGTTGACATCTAATTTTAAGAATTTCACTATACATATTTAAAAATATATTTCTGTTTAGAAAATGATTAACACGTCACAATAGTTCATAAATTAACAACATATAGTTCATTTTAGAAAATGATTAAAGATGTACTAACATACAATATTCATTTTACAATATATATATATATATATATTACTAATAAAGTTTGTCCTATATTATAATGATTTGAATATCTTCAAGTAAGTTTTGGTCATTAGACATACACAAACATTTTTGTTACCGGGATATGATCTAAACAATATTTTTGTATATCAAGATTTGATCTCAACACGATATTATATATCTAAAAACTTTTGTTTTCCAAAGAATTTTGGTATTGAAATATTATTAAATTTTAATTGTTGATTTTTGTAATTTAAAAAAAATTAAAAAAATATTTAAACCGATTTAAGAAGCGGGTGAAAGTCGTAGTTAATCTAAAAATTGGTAAAGACTCTTGCCAAGATAATTAAATCTTATACAAAAAATTATTGTCGTGTTAATTTCGTTTACAAGAAAAAAGAAATGGCTTTCGCTTTAATTGGTGAAGAAAAGCTAATTTCTCCGCAAAGAAGATTCTGGGTTTCTCCTTCATAACTCATAAACTCCACATTAGTATCGAATTTATCCATCTTCGATCCGATTATTCAAACCCAGAAAAATCATGCTTTCGTTTTCAGCTTCTTTGTTGCCTCCTCCGAGTTTATACTGCGATGGTTCTTCTTCTGACCGATCCATCGTTACTACCTCGTTCCGTCGGAAACTCTTTTGCTGTTGCATAGCGACCAAATCCGATGTAATGTCACAAAGCTTCTGCCTTTATCCGCCATTGTTGATTACAACCTCCAAAATTACTGTATTAAGTACAATTGATGATATCTGCAGAATCTCTCCAAATCAGGAGGAGCTATCAGTAAAGAGAATGATTCTGATGTTCTTATAGAATGTAGAGATGTCTACAAATCATTTGGTGAAAAACATATCTTGAAAGGTGTTAGCTTTAAGGTAATAATAATACATCTCGTTTCTGTCGTTTTTAGTTACATTTGATTTGATTTTGCAAAAAGGATGCTTCTTTCTAGCTTTTGGGGTTTAGAAATTGGATTAGATATTACGAGTTTGGATCTTTAGATTATTCAAAAACCATTCTTGATTATTCAAATGTTTAGTCTTGTTAATGGCTTTTGCAAAAAAATGATGCTTCTTTCTAGCTTTAGGCTTTAGAATTTGGATCTTTAGATTATGCAAAAACCATTCTTGATTATGAAATTACTCAGTGTTGTTAATGTTTTTCTGCAAAAGGATGATTCTTTCTAGCTTTAGGCTTTGGAATTTGGATGAGATCTTAAGAGGAAGTTATCTTCTTTTCATGGACTTGTTATTGGACCTTTCGATAATTCAAAAAAACATTCTGAATTTTGAAATGAAAGCAATGCAGATCAGACATGGAGAAGCTGTTGGGGTGATTGGTCCTTCTGGGACTGGAAAATCAACAATTTTAAAGATCATGGCTGGTCTTCTTGCTCCAGATAAGGTCTACAATTTGCTACTTTCTTTTCTTCTCTATTTTGTTTAGATCTTAGCCTTCAAGATTATGGATTGTCTCTGATGCCTTGGTGTGTGCAGGGAGAGGTTTATATAAGAGGGCAAAAACGAGCTGGTTTGATAAGTGATGAGGAAATATCAGGACTTCGTATTGGACTCGTAAACTGCTAAGAGATGATATCACTCACATTTTTTCTGGTTTTGAAATTGCTAATTTTTTTCTTAATCTTTACAGGTATTTCAAAGTGCAGCTCTCTTTGATTCTCTAAACGTTCGTGAAAACGTTGGTTTTCTACTGTAAGATGTTATCCTTTAACCTCTTTCCTTGCCAATGGTGTCTTTTGATTAAACTTTTTCAATGTTTAACTAATAATCTCAGTTATGAAAGTTCAAAAATGTCTGAGGATCATATATCTGAGCTTGTTACACAAACCTTGGCAGCTGTTGGTTTGAAGGTATACTAATTATTATCATCAGTTATCAAAGTTTTCATCAAATGATGATTGTTTACTCCATTGAGCTTATTGTTGTGTTTCTTCTAATAAGATCAGGGGGTTGAGAATCGACTACCTTCTGAGCTATCTGGTGGGATGAAGAAAAGAGTTGCTTTAGCTCGTTCGCTCATTTTCGATACAACGAAAGAGGTCATAGAGCCAGAGGTAAAGTAATCTGAACATCTACTCAAGTTCATGGATGTGTCTGCATCTCTATAGTTCTTGGAAAGAATCAAGAATTCGTTTACGGTTTTTGTAATTGTTGCATCATTTTTATATATTGTAGGTGCTCTTGTATGATGAACCAACTGCTGGACTTGATCCAATTGCATCAACTGTAGTTGAAGATCTTATACGGTCTGTTCACATGACGGGCGAGGAAGATACACTCGGAAAACCGGGCAAAATTGCGTCTTATCTCGTTGTTACACATCAACATAGCACCATTCAAAGAGCTGTAGACAGGTTTCTTCTTCTTCTCTTAGTCCATATTCTTGAAACACATTCTTGCATCATATCCCTTGATGAAGTTTGTGTTTTCTTCTCTGTTCAGGTTATTGTTTCTGTATGAAGGAAAGATCGTTTGGCAAGGAATGACGTATGAATTCACAACCTCAACTAATCCAATTGTTCAACAGGTTCCTTTTCTTGAACCTTTCCATATTTACACATCTAAATTCAACAAGAATGTTTGTCAGGAGACACATTTGAAGTTTTGAGTCGTTCATTTTCTTTTTGTGTCTCTCAGTTTGCTACAGGCAGCCTCGACGGACCAATCAGATACTAGAGAGACGCATACATAGACTCGGAGAAATGGCTGAGTGTTGACTACACTGTTCGGATTCTGGCTAACATATGCATTGGGTTTAGTTGTGTATGTCGTAGTAGCCTCCTGTTGCTCTCATTAAGATGCTTAAGAAACTGTTTAGAGTGAACAAGTGAAAGGCTATAATGCAGAGATGAGAATTGGGCTCAAAGTACCAAAAGCAAGATTTTCTGTATACTCCAACAAAACTGAAATTTCTAACTGATACACTTCTGGATGTAATCAAAGGCTCTCTATACAAAAACATTACCTTTACTCATATAAAAAAGGGTACCTAAAAACAAAGCTCATTAGCTACTTGTAAACAAGTGAAAGTATATTATATAGATAAAGAGTTGAGTTTAAAAGTACAAAAATCTATACAGTATGTGCATCCTAGTATGTGCATCCTCAAAGACTCAAACACGCTTCTGATACACAAGATTCTTCAATTCTTCCAAAACAAAGGCTTAGTTGTTTAGCAAGTGAAGAAATTGCCAAAAGCAAGATATTCATCCTCAAGACATACTCCAATCAAAATGAAACTTTTCAACTGATACACTTCTTAATTTAATCAAAGTCTCTCTATACACAAAAATTACTCTTCTTACTCATATAAGGACGAAAATAAACCAAAAACAAAGCTTAGTAGCATACTTGTAAACAGAAAGTATGATACATAGATGAGAATTGGGTTTAATGTACCAAAAACAAGATCTGCATCCTCAGATATATAACTCATATATTCCTAAGTTTCAACAAAATTGTTGTAACTTTTAAGTTTAACACTTCTGAATCTAATCAAAGGCTCTCTCTATACACAAACAATGCTCATATAGTCGAAAAAAGAATTGTTTGTTTTTAACTACCCAACTTGAAAGCATCAACAAAGAGACCCAAGCAAACACCAGCTTTCCAGAAATTCATAAACACAACAAAAGACTGCAACTTTCCAGAAAGCATTGAAGAAGAAGGCTTCTTGTACATAAGCATACCGATTCCTTCGATCGCAGCGACAACGATTCCCGCGACAAGAACATCCCAGTCACCGGTTTGGCCAAGAATCGTAGCCAATGCATTTGCAGTGTAGAAACCAAGAAGCAGTAGAAATATCTTCATGGGGAAGTTTCTTCTTGCAGCGTTTATCTTGACAAGCAGTTGTTTGCCTAACGCAATCGCTATTCTGCCCAATCTCGTGCTACCTAGACCTGTTCTGTCTCCTCCATTGATCTCTTGCCCTCCTCCGTTATCTCCAGGAACAGAAGATGATGATCCTGTGTCTAACGCAAACGCTATTCTCCGACTTGGTCTACTAATCTGAAACCTATTGAAGAGAAACTTTCACTATCAAACCAAAATTGAGAAACCCTTTACGCCTAAAAATCGAAAAGGTTACCTTTTCATGGGATTAATCCACAAATCTCTTTGATGGTTTCTTCTGTGGAGCTCATTTATCATAAAGGCTCGACCTTTTTCAATTTCTAAGATTGATAACGATGATGGTAAGATGCGTGAAGCTTGAATTTGACATGCCATTAGAAAGAGAAGTCGGTTCCTGAGATTTAGGGCTTTTTTTTACGGCACAGTGATTAACTAGACGCAATGAGAGTTTAATTGTTCATGTCTAGAGGGAAAATGGAGGAAGCTTGCTTGGAAGGAATCAATGGAGAGGATGAGGCAGCGAAGAGTGATATAACAAAAGGCGTTGACGCTTTCTTGATTTTATTTTTCAGTTTCATCCAGTTAAACTTTTTTTTTTGTTCACTTCTACAATTTTTAGGGAGTTATTTTTTATTTTTATTTTTTTCATCTAAAAATTGCAATACAAAATTGAACTCCAAAAATAAGCTGGCGGAAGACAAGATTCCCTGGAAACTAAGCCGGTGGAAGAAAACATTTCCCGAAAACTAAGCCCAAAAGGAAAGAAACTAAGCCCACAAAGGTAGACATAAAGATCTATACACACTAAGGAACAAAGCATGAAGAAGAAAAAGCAAAAGCAGAAAAACCCGTTGATGAAGAAACACCAACCTAAACGATCTCACCACCATGAGAGCTTGAAAGCCTCCACCAGAACCCCAAACAAACACTTACCGAAAGAGCATATGGCCAATCAGACGGTAACATAACACAAGCCTCAAAGAAGAAGCAGAATCCAAACTGCAATTCAAACGGTGAATCCAGTCTTCACAGCCCAGCAAGACAAACCAAGTCTTCTAGCGCGGCGGCGGTGACAGAACGACTCAACTGCTACAAGCTCACTGGAGCGAGTACTGAATAGAACGATCTGACGAGGGACCAACATCCAACAGAGCTCCATGGAGGGCGCACAAACTTGAACGCGGTGCTATTAAAGGAGGGGACGAAAAACAGATAGAAAAACAGATCTGGGACAAGAGGCAAAAAAGTGGAGATAGTTTACATGCCACACCGTAAATCATACAGATCCGGAACCACCCGCCTTGCATCTCCTAGATCCGACCAGATCTGAAGGGTTAAACTGTAGTTGCAACAGAACTTTTGTAACTAAAGAAACCTAATAGAAAATAGATAACAGAGGAACAAAGCAAAAGCAAAGTTAAAGAGAGAACCAGACTTTAGTGCTGAGAAAGCCACCCGGAACCGCTTAAGAGAAACAACGGACGGCGGCTGCAAGGTTAGAGAGAGTGAAAAGGTGAAAGGGTTTCAAAAAGCGATCCTCGAGGGAGTTATTTAATCATGTACTTTAACATAATTGAAATCAAATAACAACATTATTCAAATAATGGTTTTAAGTTTTTTTTTTTTTTTTTTTTTTTTTTCAAATCCTTTATTATTGAAGTCACTTTACTTGTTTATCATCATTTAAGAAATTTTCAATCCAATATTATTCAAATCAAGATTTCAAATACTCAAGTTGTTGAAAACTAGAATTATAAAATATTTGTGTATTCGAAAGTAAGAGTTGGACTAATCCCATGAAGATGAATTTCAATGAAATTTTTATGAGAAAAATATTTAAAAAAAATCAAGCTATATTTCAATTTTTTTAGAAACTAACATACATTGATTCTTAAAAAAATAAAACATGTTAAAACATTATACAGTATAAACTCTATAAATTAATAAAGTTGGGACTTTGATATTTTATTACTTTATAGAGTTATTAAATTATCGATCTTGAATAAAATAGTTGTTTTATTAAAATATTTATTAAAATATATATTAAATTAAATAAATAAAAATAAGAAATTTTAAAAGTTTTTATATTTTGTATAGATTTATTCTAAAATTAGGGATGAATTCTAAATATATTTGAGTTTTAGTAGAAAAGAAGTGAAAGTTATACTTATATTTTAGTATATTATCATAGATATGTATTTACATAAATTTTTATTTATGGTAATTATTAATTTATGATATTAATGGGACCATATATTTTCATAGTAGTTTCAAAATTATAATTATCTTATTATTTTATCGAATTTTGCTAATTTTTACACTGGCCCGACTTGGGACCGGAGAGTATTAATTTATCGAGTATCAATTTATAAAGTTTCTACTCACTACAAGAAACATATTTTTTAGTGTCACTTTTTTTTTAAGTTTAGTATCATTTTTTAAATGATACAAGAATTATTGTATTTTACAAAATGACACTAAAATTAAACTTTAGTATCACTTGTAAATAAATGATACTAAAGTTTAATTTTAGTGTCATTTGTAAAAGTGATACTAAAATGATTTTAGTATCACTACACTAAAATAATTTTAGTATCACTTGTGTAAGTGACACTAAAAATGAGATTAGAATTAAAAATATATATATATATATATTTTTTATATATATATATATATGTTGGACCTGGATTTCCCTCCAGAAATCCGGCCCATAAGGCCCATCATCTAAGTCATAAGATCAAGATAAGTCCACTCAGGCCCAGTAAAGTGACCTCAAGCTCACCATGTACTCTTGTCCAAATCTAGCTGTTTACTGTCCGAGCTACTTGTGAAGACGAGGTCGAGCTCTAGCTCGACGGAGTCGAGTCCGCAAGCTGAGTCTAAACCTAAGATTTATCGTCATCTTCACACCCCTTTAGCTCTTTTCGTGGTCATTTCTCTTCAGAAAACGACTCGAAATAGAGAACAACTTACAATCGAACTACGTCAGGCTTGATCCCTAAAACAGGGTACGTAGGCAGCTCGTTAACGAGCGCAGCCACCACCTCATTTCCATCTCTTTTGCTTAGTCGAATCCTAGTGTTTTACATGGTCTTTTAGGCCGGTTTTGTAACCACTTTATTCGATTAGCCTAAGTCCGATTTCGTCAAATATTTGTCTACGAATCATTCGACTTACATCAGAATCTAACCTCTGATTCCACAGGCAATTTCTCCCTACAAAATACACATAAATTTTGAGTGTGGTTTTCCGAACCCACATTTTGGCGCTAGAAGGAGGGGAAAAATAGCTTTCTCTTACACAAGGGTCGAACCTAGACCAGTTGAGAACGAAATGGACTCAGTCCTATCAAATTCTCAGGGAGCTCGCTCCCAATCTCAGATCCCATCGGATCAAATCACTTCGGATGTCAGCAGTGCCAAAACTGCAGACACATCGAAAAACCCGATCACCTCGCCAACTGGCAGCAGCCAAACTGCTAGTAGATCGAGCGTCCTGATCGATCCGGTTATCACCTCCGCGGCAGCGAACTCGAATGTTCCAGCCCGCGTGAAACCATCGGTGATCAACCTCGTCACTCCTGTGATAGCCGAGAACTCGATTCTACCGAATCAGATCTCGCACGCAATTGAGAAACCTCATTTGCGGATTCGGGTCAAATCTAAAGATTTTCCGATTACTTCGACACCGATCAGTCGGAAAACTCCGACGCAAACAGTGTCAACATCGTTTGCCTTGGCTCGACCGAATCCGGACGACCAAGCCCGAATCAAGCGAATACTCACCGACCTGATTAACAGTCAATACGACAAAAAATCAGGTTGGAAAAACATGAACGAAGTCTTGCTGAGCTACGGACGATTATAAGTCCTCCTCCGGGAACTCAGCTCGACTCTTCACCAATCTACGAACCTAACAGCTCGTCGAAACGGGATGAGGCGCCACTGCGCGCTCATGTCTTCCAGACTCTCGTCCCACCGATGAGCTCGCCAATGAGCAGCTTGAACATTCCAGATTCAAGCAAATCGGAGATAGGATCTCAGCCAACAGAGCGACTTCCATCTCTACCTCCAAAGCTATCAGGTGTCGAGCCAACTATATTTCGATGGCCCGAAAATATGGCTTCCAACTCAAACTTGCAGGCGATGGCTCAACTCAAAAATCAATCCAATGAAATTTTGAGCTTGCAGCCTCCCGCAACAGCTCGAACTGTTGTGAATTGAAATTATCAACAGTTTTCCGCAACAAATGATCTAGTCGATCGAGCTCAATTTCATAGAGCAAACGATCCGACAGATCTAGCTCGATTGACGAAAGCAAACAGCTCATCAAATCGAGCTCTATCCCATCCGATTTCAACTAATCAACCTTTTGGACTGGCAATCTTTCGAAAGATTCCAGGACCAAACAAACCTCGCATTTTGGCAAGCGAACTCAACACTTAACCAAACAATGAGTTTGATTCCAGATATTGAGAAAGTAATCAGGGAGACACAAAAAACTCCCTTCTCATCCAGGATCGCTAACACTTGTCTGCGCGATTCTTACAAGCTACGTATCCCAAATACTCTGGTAACAGCGACCCACGAGCTTATATTCGAGCTCTTTATCTCGAAATACTTCGAGCTCAATTTTCTCCCGAAGAGATAGAAGCAGCTCGCTGCCAATTCTTTGTTGAAAACCTAGCCGGACCAGCTAAAAAATGGTTTGCAGCGCTGGATGAAAAAATGGTTTGCAGCACCAGATAATTTCGACCAGCTGATTTCGGCATTCGTAAACCAATATTCGATCTTCATCGAATCAGAAGTTTCGGAAGCCGATCTCTGGAAGCTTTCTCAAGCTCCAAACGAATCACTTCGATCCTACGTCAATAGATTCAAAGAAATCATTGCTAAGATCGAAAACCCTAACGAGGCAGTAGCTCTACTAGCCTTCCGAAACAACCTGTGGTACAAATCAAAATTCAGAGAAGAACTAATCGTTCGACCTCCTGTATCACTCGACGATGCACTTCGCTGTGCGTCAACCTTTGCTACTCTCGAAGAGAAGATCAATCTCCTCCTAGAAAGACATCGCAAAGAAGGATTACCGCAACACTTTCTTTCATTTGCGAACTCAATTCTCAAACCCAACCCGAGTTCCGATTTAGAGAAGTTCTGCGAACATCACCAAATCTACGGCCATTCCACCGACGAATGCCGAGTCAGAGCTAAGGAATTAGCTAAAAAGCGGAGAGCTGAGGCAAAAATTGAAAAAGCCAATCAGCCCTCATCGAACGATAACGACAAAGCACCCCGAAAAAGGGAACGCGAGATCGGAATCATCTCCCAAGAATCACCTCTTTCACATAAGAAGCGATTCGACTCGACCCGGTGTTCAGAGAGCTCAGCTCACGCCGCAGCTCAATGACCCTCGCGGTCACCCGCCCGCCCGCACCAAAAAGATAGCGAGCTCTAGCTTATGCAGAGCTCACAATCTCGCGGGGGAGTGGAGCGTCTTCTCAGACAGCTAACGAAAACCTCAACCCGAGTTTAAGAACTTTGCGAACTCATGCTTACGCTGATTTCACAAGTTTTCGGGGGAGTGGAGCCACCCAACCTCAAATGAATTAAATTCATTCGCGGAGGCTCGAAAAAAGTGCTAAGACTCGAACAACTCGATCAAAGCATACAACAAAAGGTCAAATCTTCCAGACGAGCTCTTCCTCTAGAAAGATTCGACCTGAAAACCAAACTCTTGAAAACCAATAGGTTTCACAAGAAAAAGCCCACGATGATTAACTCGTAATAAAGATCGAAAAAGGAAGCTCAAGTTAATACGTCATGGCAAAGAGAGTTCGTTGAATAAGGAAACAGGAACCAACTTGGAATGACCTAATCCCATCACCAAAGTAGTTCGGCAAAACGTCTACAAACTCTCACCCCCTCCCCCCCAAGTGGGTATGCTACCCTAGCTACTTGTTAAGACGAGGTCGAGTAATACCTCGACGGAATCAAGTCTTCAAGCCGAGCTGTACGCGTTGGACGGTGATATTACTTAGACCGACAGAATCCGGTAATGTCCGGACCGTACAAGTTAGGTGGTAATATCGCTCAGACCGATGAGTTCCGGAATTATCTGGATCTCACGAGTCGGGTGACGATATCGCTCGGGCGAACGAGACCATGAAATATCTGGTCTGACGTGTCTGACGGAAATGTTGCTTATACCGATGAGCCCTGGAAACAGTTGGGGAGGAGGACGAGAACGACCTCAGAGGCTATGAAAAAAAGCACGACTCTAATCCTAAAGATCATCTAGAACCTATTCTCGGTCTAGAACCTGAACTATGTTAGGCTTGATCCCTATTCATGGTACTTAGGCAGCTCGAACTACGAGCGCAGCCACCATCAACCATCGAGATCCTAAGACTAAGAAAAGTCCGTCCAGGCTCAGTAAGACTGACCTTGACCCAATCAAATAGACTTATCCGACTACATACTACATCCGGGCTACTTGTAAAGACGAGGTCGAGTAATACCTCGATGGAATCAAGTCTTCAAGACCGGGCTGTACTTGTTAGGCGATAATACTACTAAGATCGATGAGCTCCGGTAATGTCCAAGCTGTACGAGTCAGGCGGTAATATCGCTTAGACCAATGTGACCATGAAATAGCTGGTCTATTTGAGTCGGCTGACAATATCGCAGGCCGATAAGACCATGAAATAGCTGGACTGTGCGTGTGATGTGATGTGATAACATTGCTTATACCGATGAGCCCCGGAAACAGTCAGAATGGCGGTTTGAATAAGGACGAGATACGCGGAGGAGGTCAAGATCGACTTCAGAAGCTAGGAAGAGAGATCGATTCTAATTCTAGAGATCACCTAGAACCTATCATCGGTCTAGGAAAAAAAACAAACTTTGGGCCCAACAACCCAAACCAGCTAAACATTCGAATTACTCCTAAGGACATCGAATACTTAGCAAAAGCCAGTCGAATCCGACTGAAGATCTGAAAGGTATCAGCTCGAGTACCGAGCTGTCCTCGAAGATTAAGACCAAGTGCTGATATGTAGATCAATCTACGAAATCACACAATTGGCAAAACCAGTCGAATCCGACTGATATCTGAAAGGAAATCAGCTCGACCCCGAGCAGTCCTCAAAGATTAAACCAAGTGCTATCATTAGATCATCTACGAGGACATCGCAAACTTGGCAAAACGCCAGTCGAATCCGACTGAGGATCTGAAAGGTAATCAGCTCGAGTACGAGCTGTCCTCGAAATTAAGACCAAGTGCTGATCATGTAGATCAATCTACGAATCACACAACTTGGCAAAAGCCAGTCGAATCCGACTGAAGATCTGAAAGGTGATCAGCTCGAGTCCGAGCGTCCTCGAAGATTAAGACCAAGTGCTGATCATGTAGATCAATCTACGAATCGCAAATTGGCAAAAGCCAGTCGAATCCGACCGAAGATCTGAAAGGTAATCAGCTCGATACCGAGCAGTCCTTGAAGATTAAGACCAAGTGCTGATCATGTAGATCAATCTACGAATCACACAATTGGCAAAACCAGTCGAACCCGACTGAAATCTGAAAGGAGATTAGCTCACCTACGAGCAGTCCTTTAACCATAAAGCTCCAGAGCTGATTGTAGATCAATCTACAAATCACACAACTGGATCAATCGAATCCGATTGATAATCTTAAAGGAAATCAGCTCGGCCCGAGCAGTCTTTCTTTAATCAAGCCCAACTGCTGATCATGTAGATTAATCTACAAAATCACGCAATTGGCAAACACCGGTCGAATCCGACTGAAAGTCTGAAAGGAAATCACCTCGACTTAAAGTAATCTTTAAAGATGAAGCTCGAGTGCTGATTGTGTAGAACCACCTACTGAATTCAGACGATCATCTAAAATCAGTCGTTTTCAACCGACAAACATCGAAAAGGTTAGCTCAACCCGACTCAACCTTCCAAGTTGAAGCTCAACACGTTAAAAGCTCGAGCTGGAATTCGAAAAGAAACTAGCTCAACTTTATACGATTCTCAAAAGAGATCAACTGAGCTTCATCCGGTCCGACCAGTTAGCTTACACGCTAGGTCAAATCTCCAATCAAACCAAAACGACTAATGTTCGAACAATCGAGCTAACAGTCAATTGATCTGGAAAACAAAGATAAACTCTAAGACATCAAACGTCTAAGAAAAATTATCAAATATCAAGCTCATTCCCGAGCAAACAAGTTTGAACATAAAAGGATAAAAGCCTTTCCCAGGCACCAAATCCAAACGCAAAGCATAAAACCTTGCCGAGCTAACTTGTTCGAAACTTAAACGAGAAAAGAGCTCATCCTTAGCAAGCCAAAATTTAAGCAAGTCGCTTTGACGAGCTACTCTATTTCTCGAATATTTGAGCTCTAGTATCGAGCTCATCTACCACTGTTTCATCTTATCAAGCTCATCACCGAGAGCTTCATGTAACCTTTGTTCACAACGAGCAGAGAGCTTCATGTTAACCTTCAAAGATTGATAAAGAGACGCAAATATTAAGTCCGAAGATATCAAATCATCGGCAAAAACTTAGAAAAGGTAAAACCATACCTTCTCATCCGCCGCCATCGCTGCCGCATACAGCTCTCTCTCGAGCGTCATATCCAAAACTGGAGATTGATTTGCAGCAGGCCCGCATTGGCGCAACATGAACGTTCAAGGATTATCCAAAACTGGCACATCCTTCGAACAATCTATTACTAAAAGGGATGACGGACTCGCCGTCGAGTTAACTCGCTTTTTCAAGGAGCTCGACAAATTCGGAGTCCGATTATCATCTCTTGCTCATTTCGAGCTCCATCCTCATTGTTCGCTATTCGACTCAACGAGATAGTTCGTCTCAAATGAGTCACTTGGGTATTATCCCCGATAGCAGCATGAAGAACCGACCTACTACTTCATCACGAAGAGTAGATTCACCGCAACATGGACAATCTCCACAACTCCATTAGCTCTAGATTGGATTGCTTGCTCACAACGAGCGGCAGCCGACTTTGCAGATCGTTCACAAAACGTTAGCTCGCGAGAAATCTTCTCTCTTCCAAGAGGTGGAATACTCGAAGTCGGGCTCTAATCTGTAACAGATGGAACGCGGCGAAAAACAGTAACAAACAAAATTTTGTTGCTAAAAATGGATGAAACCTCACAGGTATTAAATCCGAAGCAAAACATATGACTTGCCCAAGTCATTACAGCGAAAAACTTTCTCTATCGCAGCATCGAGCTCGATTCGAAGTTCGCTCGGGACATATACCATCTGTCAAGCTCGATTCTAAATAGATTCTTGCTTGATCTTATATGATCCCAAGAAATCAACTAAGTCTCACTTAGTCTGATTTGAATGGCAGTCAAGCACTCTGCCAATTCTCGAGCTAAAACTCGAGAACATCTCCAAGATCGAGCTAGATTCTCAACAGATTCTAACCCGACCTTAAGAATATCTTCAAAGATATTGACTAAGTCTTTGTTCAGCTTAGCTCAACGATAAGCTCGACGTTTGGTTGAAATAACATTCGAACCAAAGACTAGTTTTATTTAGCTCGACCTAAATAAAACAAATACTTAGTCGAAATCATGCCAAGTTTGACTCGAAATTTCAAAAAGAAATCAGTTTAACTTGAAGCAACTTTCCAGAAGAGTTGGCAAAGTCTTTTCTGCTAGATTTCACGGTCAGCCGAAAATCTTATGCGAGAATTAGTCAAACAAACCGACTAAAATTCATTTAGTCGTATCCTTTTTCGAGTTCGAGTCGGAAAAACAGTCCGACTTAAAGCGACCAAGTTCGATTAAAGAATTTAATCAACAATTGGTCGAACTCGAAAAATAATCGATTAACTCAAAAAGAGCTCGCGCAATGTTTGAGTTAGTTAAACCAAAAGCCTTCTCGAGAAACAATCTAAAAGAGTTGATAATCGCAAATCTTCTCCTAAGGTTTTCATTACTCTCGAAAAGCTCGACTCTTAAGATCATAATAGCTCTTCGATCTATTTTCGATCTTGATTGTCGATCTAAAGAATAAGTTATTACCTTGTCTTTCAAGGTGAAACTATCATTCAACGGCAAGATCTCAAAGATCTCTCGCCTTCCCGTTTGCGACCGTCGATCTCTAATGACTATTCAAAGTCATGATTTAGTTCGACGGGACTGCGGGACAATTCTAAAACAACCTACCGCTCATTAAGTTGATTATACTCACTTAATGAGCTGGGGGGCTATTGTTGGACCTGGATTTCCCTCCAGAAATCCGGCCCATAAGGCCCATCACCTAAGTCCTAAGATCAAGATAAGTCCACTCAGGCCCAGTAAAGTGACCTCGAGCCCACCAAGTATCCTTGTCCAAAATCCAGCTGTTTACTGTCCGAGCTACTTGTGAAGACGAAGTCGAGCTCTAGCTCGACGGAGTCGAGTCCGCAAGCTGAGTTTGAACGAGTCAAACGAGAATCTCGCTTCGACTGTTCAGATCCGGAAATAGCGGGATCGGTAGTTGCACGTGGACGAGATACGCGGAGGAGGTTGCGATCTACTTCGGAGCTATAAAAAGAGGACGATTCTTGATCACAAGGCAGAATGTTCCTTTCCTGGACAATAAGTTAATCCTTCTCATTTCTGAGAGAGACAATTCCTTAATCACAAGTCTTTTACAGATTCTTTGACGAAATCACTTACTAGTTCTTCTTCTTCGTCTGAGACATTCTCGTACTTTTCTCTTCGATCTTATCCTTGGTCTTTGAGATAATCCCAGAAAGCCCTGATCTTTCTAGCCGGAAATCACTTCCGGCAGAAGTTTGACATAATCTTTACCTTCGGATCACTCCGATAACCTGAGATTTATCGTCATCTTCACACCCCTTTAGCTCTTTTCGTGGTCATTTCTCTTCAGAAAACGACTCGAAATAGAGAACAACTTACAATCGAACTACGTTCTGGCTTGATCCCTAAAACAGGGTACGTAGGCAGCTCGTTAACGAGCGCAGCCACCACCTCATTTCCATCTCTTTTGCTTAGTCGAATCCTAGTGTTTTACATGGTCTTTCAGGCCGGTTTTGTAACCACTTTATTCGATTAGCCTAAGTCCGATTTCGTCAAATATTTGTCTACGAATCATTCGACTTACATCAGAATCTAACCTCTGATTCCACAGCAATTTCTCCCTACAAAATACACATAAATTTTGAGTGTGGTTTTCCGAACCCACAATATATATTCAAGATAAGAGGATTTACTTGTAGTAATCAAACTCAAATATACTTGTAGTAAAATGTATACAACCTCAAATATATTTGTAGTAAAATGTATAAATGTGTATTTATGTCTTCTTCCTTGTATTCTCTTCTTCAAGCATCTCATACCTACCAAATTGCATCATAAACATCAAATATCTTATAAGAAACCTATTTACAAAGAATATTTATCTGAAACATCAAACCATCAAGTGAAACTTTGTTCAAACCTCAAACCTCAAACCTATCTTATAAGCTGATACCTCAAACCTCAACATAACATCACTTAACCTCAAACACGTATCAAGAAACTAAGACTACACAGAATATACTCTTTACCAGAATATCACTTGATTCATACTACACGTATCAATAAAAAATGATCAACTTAATTACCTTATGAAATGTATAATCCTGTCTTATCCTGTCACCTTCACGTACTATGCCCTGAAAACATAAGGCAACACAGAACAAGAGCTAAATAAGGCAACAAGAATATATGCAACATAGAACAAGAATATATGCAACTTACCTTCTACAGTTGCAATCCGAGCTGAGAAGACTATTAAGCACCTCATTCATCTTCTCATATGTGTCTTCTAAATCATTCATCTTGTCCATTTTTTTGTGTAGATCACGAACTGTATTTCTCAAGCCTATCACTTCTGTTTCATAGGAGGTGCGATTCTTGAAGAAAGATGAAGGAGTAGGATCAAGCCCAACACAACGCACACGACCTGGACGTTCGGGGCCAAATACTTGAGAAAATTCATCATCTTTACTTCGAATGTTTGATGTGTTTTCTCTAGTGTGAACCATCCTCTTTGTTAATTTTTCCTGAAACGTGAATTCCTCAACATTGTCAACTAAACTCACAAAGATGTATAAGATTAATAAGAGATGAAGCAACCAAAAAGAATCTGACCGATAAATCATGAGCTTCTTCATTAACATATCCTCCATTAGCTTTTTGGCGTGAGCTCACAAAGATTTCTGCACGACTTGGACGTTTACCCGTCTTAAGAAACTGTAAAGTTATTTCAAAATGAATATGAAATGAGAAAGCAACTAACAAGAGCAAACTAAAACGTACAAGAGCAAACCAAAACTTACAACTTCTTTCGAAACTCGAGAAATGCTCTTTTTCCCTAAGGTATGAGGTGTCTTGTAGTGGCTCCTGCTTATCTTGTTTTGCTCTCTTAGATTCTAAAACTCACATATGTAAAAATGTTAGCAACTAAACAGAACTAAACAAAGTCTTGTGAGAGCAGAGATATGTTCTGTATTACCTTAGATTTCTCACTAAATTGAATATAAAAAAAGTCGTGCCACTGTTCTTTGGGAATGAATTCGGGGCGGAGCTGCAAAGTTTCTTCAGGATAATTTCTTCCCAAATGTTCCCAAAGACGAGTTTTCACACTTAAGCTCTTCATCACAAAGTATTTATAGTTTTTGTTTGAACTATCAAAATAAAACTTAGTCTGCATTTTACAAATGAAGTGAGAAACAATTAGAAGTGATTAAAAGTAGTGAGAGAAACAATCAAAAATTACCTGAATGTAGTCCCAAGCGTCATCATTTCGCCATTGCTGTACATTCCTCCAATCATCATAGTTTATCGGAAACTTGGTCAGATCAGTACTTAACATGCCAAGCCATGTACCAAATACACCACCACTTCCACCATCAGGTTGATCATGTGGACCAAACTCTAGAATAATTCTTCGTTTTTCCATTCCCCATACATCTTTTGCTGTGAGGCGTTCCTCTGTTACATTTCCAGCGGAATCTGCGAGGAAAATACATTACAAGAGTAAAAAAGAGCAAAAGAAGAGTAAAACAAGATAACATTTACTTACCAATAACATTTACCACCCACTTTCCTCGCTCTCGCCCTTGTGTAAATATATGATGTTCGTTGACATGAGAATTTATGCCATCTTGTGTTTCCTCGACATGAGAATCATCAATGCCATCCATCGGCATTAGAACAGAGATACAAAAGCAATATGAATCACAATGTAATGATGAGCAATACCAGTACAGGAGCAATACTCACAATGTAAAACACAAGATTTTGTATTAATGAGTCAAGTCGAGTACAAGAGCAATACAAACAAAACAAAAGCACACAAGAGAAAAAAAGAGCACACAAGAGAAAACAAGAGCACACAAGAGCAGACAAGAGAAAACAAATCACAATTCATCAACTAAGTCTTCATGTGGATCATCAACTAATTCTTCATTTCCCATGTCGTATAAATCTCTAGGCTTGACATGAACTCCTACATTCCAGCCACACTCACTTGGATCTTCCACATAGTATACCATTCTAGCTTGAGAGGCTAATTTGAATGGTTCATCTTCCTCACATTCACCACTATGTATCATCCGAGAAAAATTCACCAAGTTATTACCAAGACCATCTCTTCTGTATCCACGGCTATCACGTGTATCTGCCTATTTGCACTTGAATAACACTACTCTGAATTTCTCGTAATAATTTAGTTGAATAATGTCCACCAACTTTCCATAGTAGGGAACATTACCAGCCATTGGATTATTATCACGACAAGATGCATAGCTCATTGTCTCAGCAGATACATAAACTCCACAATTCTGAGTTTTCAAATCAAAATCCCTTTCTAAAGTTCTATACTTATAGCCATTAACACTATATGATGAGAACTTCAAAACCTTATCAGAGGGACCTTTAGCAAGAAGTCGGATATCATCACTAATACCATCAACCTCTTCCTTTTCTACTTTCTCTCTAAGCCATTTGTCAAACCGAAGGTGAACTTCTCTATCTACATCCAAAGTATAACGCCTTCTCCTACCACGATTTTTTGTTCTTCTTAACTCATCTTTATACAACATAAAATGTGAAGAATAAACGATAATGAAGATATAACGATGATCAATGATGAGCTTGTTGTAATTCGTATTTCATAATACACTAGGAAACGATAATCAAAATACTTATTGTCGTAATTCATCAAGAAATGGGCAGCTGATCAAGATATAGCGATGAGCTTGTTGTTTCTCCATGAGACTTAGTGTCGCATATTGGCTAGCACCATTACATCTTCCTAGGGATGGAAAGACTATAGGAATTTGTGAGTCTTCTCGAAGATTATGTGTAGACATTGGAAGATCATTTACTCTTCCAATGCGGTTGAAGCGTGTCTCTATCCCATCAAGATACCTCGAGCAAAAAGTGAGACACTCATCAGCCATATATTGTTGACATATTGACCCTTCAGGTTGAGCACGATTTCTGACATATGACTTAAATCGTCCTAAGATCCTACAAAACAACCAGAACCAGAATTAATCACATTCTCAAAACACGTATCAAAACATTCTCACAAACATTCTCAAAACATTCTCAAAACATTCTCAAAAGATTTTCTCAAAACATTCTCGAAACATTCTCATTAGACTTAAAACTCATTAGACTTAAAGTAAACTTAGATTAAGATAAAGAACATATCTCTCAATAGGATACATCCAACGGAATTGGACAGGACCACCATACTTTACTTCTTCAGTCAAATGAACCATCAGATGCATCATCACCGTGAAGAAAGATGGAGGAAACATCATCTCCATATGACAGAATGTAAGCACAATCTTTTCTTGGAGACTAACTATCTCATTGACATCTACCACCTTTGAGCATATCTCTCGGAAAAAATGACATAATTCTGTGATAACAGAATTCACAGTTGGTGATAACACATTACGAATGGCAATAGGTAACAAGTGACCCATAATCACGTGGTGATATACCTCTATTTTACCTACTTTTTATGCTATTTTACTATGGTTTTCTAATGGTTTTCTAGTGGATTCTTGTGTTAAAAGGTAGTTTTTATGGATTTATAGTGCAAAGAGTCATTTTAGGTAAAAAGGTGCATTATGGAGCAAAACAGAGGATTTGGACTCTAAACCAGTTCAATGCCCCTGCATCAACTTTGGATGGAGCTAGAAAAAGATCTACTCAATGGATTTCATCAAGACCAGTTCCCTGCGTGCTCTGATTGAGTTAACTTTCCAACGCAAGTGGAACGGCCTATTTGGATGAGTAGAAAAGGAGTTATAGCCAAAAGAGTGAAGACTGCTCCAGACGGCTCATATCGAGAATCAGCGCCCAACCGCGCAGTCCGGCTGGCCGAGGAACGATGTTCCGCGCTCGGCCAAAGTATCCGTCCGTCTGAAGTCTCGGCCAAAGTCCAAAACCGTCGGCCGATCACGACACGACCCGGGAAACAAGCCCGCGGTCGGCCACGCCACAACGCCACGCCACGCCGCGCACGACCAGCGCGCGAGCCGGGAACAAGCCTCGCGGCCGCGCAACTCTCGCGTACCACGGCCGACATCCGTCCGAGCCGGGAACTCGCCACGTCCGGCCGAGAAACCATCGGCCAAATCTCATCCGTCCGACCACGCCGGCCGACCGAAATCATCCGGCCACGACCGTTCCGACTCGGCCACGACCCGACTGTCCGGCCGACCGTCCCGACCGACCGTCCGAACGCCGCGGTCGACCCGAAGCCGTTTTTGAAGCCCAATCCGCACAATTCAAGCCCAAAGCCGGCGCCGACCTAGCTAGATTAGGTTTAGCCGCTTCTCATACTTAGAGCATTATAAATACTTCTTTTTAGCCTTGTAACTCAAGAAGGAGAGAGACCACAATCTATTTTACATCTTAATAAAGTTTTGCTTGCTTTTACTTTGTTCTTGCTTGTTACTCTTTCTAGAGAGGATTCGAATCTCTGTTCTTATGAATATGAATTCGTGTTCCTTCTCTATGTCTGAGTAGTTTACTTGTTAAGTGATAGGAAGTCAAAGGATAGCATTCATGTATGCTTGATGATTGATCACAATTAGGGTTTTACTTATAATCTCCATCTTTGCTTATACTTAATGCTTGTTGTTAATCTGGCCAATTAGCATATGCCTTTAGGTTGATTTGAGCCTCGACAGTGCTGTATCATTCGCCTGAACTAGTATTTGGTGGGCAATCTCTTTTAGACTGCGACAGTTGATCTACTTGTAGGTTGTGAACAATTGAACTTATCGAACTAATGCTTGATTTAATCACCTAGGGACATACCAAAAGTTTAGCGACTAGGTAGATTAACAAAGGGGTCGGAGCCTCGACAGTGGAATGATCATACCATAGTGTTTCAAGTTCTAGATTAGCACCTAAGTGCGTAACCCTAATTGATTGATTTCATGCTTCTTGAATTGCTTATCTCAAGACTATCCTATTGCTTAGCCTTTCTCTCCTATTGAATCTCACTTTCTTTATTACTTGCATGCTTTACTTTCTCTGCACTCAACCAACTTATACTTTTGCCCTAGCTCGATCTCAACTCATAGCTTGTAGTGTGCAATCTGGTCCTTGTGTTCGATACCCGTTTACTACTTCTGACCTGTGCACTTGCAGAATCAGGGATAGGAAAGGGGAAGACCTGATCCCGCGATCAAGTTTTTGGCGCCGTTGCCGGGGACCAATTCGCACCTACAAGTTCTTGCAAGAGAGCTAGTCTAGGGTTTCACTTTTCCTTTTTGTTTTTGTTATTTTTCCTTTTTTCTTTGATTTCGTTTTTCCTTTTTGTTTTTAGCTTTTCAGGTTTTCCTAGTTAGATATGGAGAAGGAGCCACAAGCCTTTCCCCTATAAAGGCGATCCACTTCGCCACATACCACCTCAAAGAACCTCTTGAGCGAACAAGAGATGTCAAGCCCTCAAGCACCACCACCTTCTTGGGATAGTCCTCCAAACTATCCTCTTGAAGACCAAGAAGAAACTTCTTCCCTACCTTGAAGCAGCCGACCTGGAGACGTCTAGCCAAGCCGCATCATACCAAGAAGAACACCTTCTAGCCACACCAGAAGAGGAGATTGACCCTGAGCTGATCGAGTTCGTGAAGAGAGATCAATTCCATGATCTGTTTTCAGAGTATGCGCTGGAGCACATAGATCACTTTGACAATCTTTGTGATTCCTATGGAGTTTTTGACTTTGAGAAGAAGATGATGCTATTCAGCACATCACTAGCTGGACCAGCACTAGATTGGGCGCAGCATGAACCACTCTCTACAATCGAGTCATGGATCGATTTTAGAGAAGCTTTCTTGAAGAGATTTGCAAGGAGCCACCTTTCAAATCCAAGTACCACCACTACTCTCATCAGCTGGAGAGAGAGCGTGATGAAGAAGAATGGGGAGGCATACCACCCCATCCTGAAGTTTGAATGAAGAGCTAATCAAGCATGTGGAGAGGAATCCTTTCTACAATTCTACTTCAGAGTGTGCAAAGGAGCATCTATGCAACTTTGAGCAGCTTTGCCACGACTATGGACTTGGAGACAACCCCAAGAAGATACAACTTTTCCAACTATCTAGCTGGACAAGCCAAAGAATGGGCTAAGTTCAATGCCCAACATGCTTTCAAGACTTGGAATGGATACAAAGGAGCTTTCCTTACAGATTTGCCAAAGGTCCTATTTATGTCCCACCACCACGCCCAAGCTATTCACAACACCATCCATCATCACCAGACATAAACAAGACACCACTTTTCCCAAGGGAGAGCTATCAAGCTGCGCGCCAAACCAAGATTGAAGATATGCTTCAAGAGTACTTGAGAAATCAAGATGAGAGTACAAAGAAGATGGAGAGGAGAATCGATTTCATCCATGAGAGCCTTGGAAACAAATCTGAAGTCCTATTCAAGCAAGTGATCAAGCTTGATGAAGACATTAAGAAGTTAAGAGAGGATCATGATCGATCTCTGACCCTAGTTAAGCTTGATGTTGCTTCCAAATATCAAGAGTTGCTGAACAAGAGCATGAGAATTGAAGATACTAGCTATGGCAATAGCAAACATCTTGGATCAATCTACAACCGCCTACAAGCCCTTGAAGGATCATCTCATGCCAATTACAAGAGAGAGAGGAGTCCAACACCCAACCACCCTCCCTTTTATTGCAATGCCATCACAAGAAGAAGCACTACTCAAGTCCATGAGGACAATGAAGAAGAAGAAAGAGAGTATGAGGAACAACTGAATGATGAAGATGAAGAGCAGAGCATCGACATCAATGCTTCTCCAAAACAGAGCATGGATACACCTAGCCCTAGACCCTCGTTTCTCACCAACACCAAGAAGTCAAGCTTCTACACTTCCAAGACTGGAAGCAATGCAAAGACCATCACCACCTACTGAAGAAGAAGATACTTGGCATATGATCCCATTGATCCCAACAAGATAAGCCCCATGAAGCTTAAAGAGTTCAATGCTAAGGTGAAATCACTTCCATTCTATGTCACTTTTGAAGAAGCTTGGGATAAACATGGTCTAGTGGAGTTCTTTTTCACAACTAGTGAAAACAAAGAAGAGATACACCAACTTTTCAGAAGGCACGATTTCCCCATGCCCCTCATGCAGTCAATCAACCACCATCACCACCATCATCACCACCACCCAGTGGTATGTCAATTCCATATCAAGAGAGAAGCTTGCTGAGTTCAATCAGTTTGTCCAAACTCTTCCAGCCAGCATGTCTTTCCAACAAGCTTGGCGCCACTACCCATTCACCACCTTCTTCCACAACTGCAAGAGAGACACCTGAGGACATCAAAGAGCTTTTTGAGAAAGCTAAAGTTCAGCCTACCTTCAAGACCCTCTACAAGATTGAAGACCCAGGTCAATTCTCTATTCCCTGTCAAGTAAATGGTCATTACTTTGATAGAACACTATGCGATTCTGGCTCTTGCATAAACCTCATGCCAACCCAAACCGCCAAACTCCTTGGCATCACACGCTTGCAACCTGCTCAAATTAGTATTGGACTTGCTAACCATACTATAGCCAAGCCAAGAGGAGTTGTTATTGATGTTCTTCTAGAGATTGGAGATATCAAGATCCCGGTGGACTTTCATGTCATGAACATCAAGGAGGATGTGACACACCATTGATACTAGGCCGACCCTTTTTGGCCACTGCTGGAGCTGTCATGGACCTTCCAAACAGGCGAATGTCCTTAGCCAATGTTGACAAGACAGTCTTTTACAAGACCATACCATTCATCTCACCAAACAAGCTGTCTTACCTCATCACTGCCCAAGGCCGCCCAAGAGAACCACCAGACCACACTCAAGGTCACAATGAGACAAGAACTAAAAGACTATGTCTCAGGCCGTGCCCTTACCCCATCTCCAACTAAGAGATCCTATCAGTCAAGCTAATGACTCAAAAGAAGCGCTGCATGGGAGGCAACCCATGAAAGGTGTTTTTCTTTACTTTTCTTTTCAATTAGTTTTAGTTAATGTCTAGTTTTGTTTTGAGTTTTGGATACAGGAATCTAAGAACCACACAATGGTAAAGAAGATATACCACAAAGAAGAATGTCATAGTTGGCGCGACTTTGATGGCCGAGCAGAACCTCTCCACGCTCGCCCATGTCCTCTCAAGCCGCCCAACACACCATCCCATCTCATTCCATCTGCATCTCACCCATCCCACCTCACCACACTTGCATTCCATCACTACCATCATTCCACTGCATTCACCATTCTTCAAGTAACACCAAATCAGGTTACATCTTTCTTTTTACATTCACAACCACTTTATTACCTCTTTCTTTAACTCCCTTAATTGGATTTTCTTTCACCGGGACGGTGCAAGTTAAGTCTGGGGGGATTGTCGGTACTAATGTGTTTGTTCATGGTTGTTTTGATCTTATAATTGGTTTTTCCTAACCCACTTTTTCAAAACTTCTGTTTTATTGAGTCAAAACCAGTCCGGGAACAATGAACTTGCTTTGAGATTTGATAGTGTCATGCTAACAATCTATGACCCTAGAGCAAACATCAGCTGAAGGCACAAGCCTAACAGAAGCTCCTAGAGTGGATCGCATGCTAGCTCAGCGAAATTTCTAAGGTAACCAAGCAATCTAGAGTTAACCTCACCCTTAATCAATCTTAATAACTCTTGTCAAGGGGATTGGCATACATGTCGACAGTTCCTTGCTTGATTTTCAATGAGATTTGTCTAAAGAGTTCACCTCTCTCTCCCATCCCAAATGGTAAGTAATGTTTATGAGAAAAGCTCAAAGAGCACAAGGAAAACAAGTAAGCATGAGGAATGCATATGTCTGTACCTTCATGTCTTATGGAATACCTTAAATCAAACAAGGAACAAGCTAAAGACTTATCCTGTGGTTGAAAGAATGCTTGAACAATTGAACTAAATCGAACTAATGCTTGATTTAATCACCTAGGGACATACCAAAAGTTTAGCGACTAGGTAGATTAACAAAGGGGTCGGAGCCTCGACAGTGGAATGATCATACCATAGTGTTTCAAGTTCTAGATTGGCACCTAATTGCAGTAACCCTAATTGATTGATTTCATACTTCTTGAATTGCTTATCTTAAGACTATCCTATTGCTTAGCTTTCTCTCCTATTGATCTCACTTTCTTTATTACTTGCATGCTTTACTTTTACTGCACTCAACCAACTCATACTTTTGCCCTAGCTCGATCTCGAACTCATAGCTTGTAGTGTGCAATCTGGTCCTTGTGTTCGATACCCGTTTACTACTTCTGACCTGTGCACTTGCAGAATCAGGGATAGGAAAGGGGAAGACCTGATCCCGCGATCACGTGGCAGTCATGGCTTTTCAGTCCATGAATTCTACGTTGCCTCAGATCAATGCATCTTGAGAAGTTTGAAGAAAAGCCATCTGGGAGCCTTGCACCTTTTAATTCACTGAGGAAAGTATCTTTCTCACTAACTGTTAGCTTGAAAGATGCAGGAAGATACCTCTCATTGACATCTGGCCATAACTTCAGAGCGTATACCCATCTCCTGAAGATCTCTTCTTGCATTAAGATTGTCCTTGGACCTGTCTTTGTCGTCTAGTAATGTGGAGACAACATTATCAAAGACATTTTTCTCTATATGCATAACATCTAAGTTATGTCTTAACAAAGCATGTTCCCAATATGGCAATTCAAAGAATATACTCTTCTTTCGCCATTGCTTTCTTCTACTAGTATCAGAGCTTTTTCCAAACACAACCTCAACGCTTTCTTGTTGTTGCAGGATCACTGAGCCTGTTGGTGTAACTGGAGGATTTCTGAACTCTTCTTTTCCATCAAAGTGTTCTCTATCAAACCGATATATGTGATCTTCAGGAAGAAAGCGCCGATGACCCATGAAGCAGTTCTTTTTTCCATGTTGTAATCGAAATTCAGCTGCATCGTAGTTACAAGAAGGACATGCTAGACCCGTGTGTATATTCCAACCTGATAAATTCCCTAGTCCTGGGAAATCACTCAAAGTCCACATCAAAGCAGCACGCATACAGAACATCTCCTTTGTTGAAGCATCAAACGTTGGCACACCATCATCCCACAACTCTTTCAGTTCTTTGATCAAAGGCTGCAAATAAACATCGATATCATTCCCAGGCATTTGCTTTCCCGGAATGATCATGGAGAGTATCATCGAAGACTGCTTCATTACCATCCAAGGAGGGAGGTTGTATGGAAACAACATAACTGGCCATACACTATAACTCGTACTCATTGCACCATAAGATTAAATCCATCAGTAGCTAATCCAAGCCTAACATTTCTTGAATCTGATGCAAAAGTGTGAAACTTTTGATCAAACGTTTTCCATGCTTGCCCATCTCTAGGATGCCTTAGCTTTCCATCTTTATGTTCTTCAACTGCATGCCATTTCATACTTTCTGCAGTCTTGGTCGACATAAACCATCTTTGCAGTCTTGGCTTTAGTGGAAAATATCTCAAAACCTTAGCAGCTTGCCTTATCTTCTTTCTTTTCTTCCTGACACTTCCTCGGTTTCTCTGACACTCCCTCTGTGCTTTTGCCTTTCCATCTTGATACATTACAAACCTTGCACACTTCTCGCTCTGCATCTTCTCCCCAAAACAACATACAATCATTCGGACAAGCGTGTATAGACTCATAGTCTAGTCCAAGTTTCTGAATGGTCTTCTTTAAATCATGCAGTGAAGCAGGCAGTTTTGCATTCTGAAACGCTTCCCTTAGAAGATCAATTATCATTGATAAACCCTTGTCACTAATCTTGCAGATACTCTTGATGTGATATAACTTCAGCATAAAAGATAGCTTTGAGAATGAAGTACATCCCTCGTAAAGCTCTTCATTAGCATCTGCTAGTAATGCTTCAAATGCTTTTCTTTCATCTGAATTACTTGAATGACCAGCAGCTTCTTCTTCTTCATTCATTGGCTGGTTGGAGGAACTAGCTTGCTCATCAAAATTTTCTAGCAGCGTTTGGGAAGACATCATCTAGTAGATTCATGTTGAATCTTCGTCAAACCTATTACCTATTTCAGGTTCTAAATGCACTGAAGTTTCCTAGCAACTGTTCACCGTGAAGGTGCCAGTTTGTATAACTGTTGGAAGAAACCCATAATACATCAAGTCTCCTCTAATATCATCCTTATACTTTACTTAACTAGAGAACACCGACAACAAGGACATTTTAACATTGTTGCATCAATGTTAGAAAATGCAAACTCTAAGAAATATTCAACACCCATTGATATACTCTTGAGACAAACGAGGTTTGCTAATACAAGATCTATCCTTATCAACCTAGCATATGTAGTTCGATAACTTAAAAAACGAGATTTCATATATAGTTCGATACATTAAAAGTGTGTAAGAGACATACATGGAATTGCATTTTCAGATTTTGCAGAATTTCTCTTGAAACGTGATTGAGAGAATTTTTCCTGAAACGTTGTGAGTTTACGAGAACATTGTAAGTTTCAGAGGAACATACATATTCAAAGAGAACGAATCCAACTTAAGCAAAGAGAACAAATCAATGAATCCATCATCAACAATATCCAAACGAAGCAAAGACAACAAATTCTCAGAGAACAAATGAAACAACCAACACCTTGTAAGTTTCAGAGGAACATACATATTCAAAGAGAACGAATCCAACTTAAGCAAAGAGAACAAATCAATGAATCCATCATCAACAATATCCAAACGAAGCAAAGACAACAAATTCTCAGAGAACAAATGAAACAACCAACACCTTCTTTTTTATTAAATAAATACTAATCAAAGGTCTTTAAAATAAATTAAATAAATAATTCAATCAATAACAATAAATCAGTTCAGCGGAAGCAAATAATAATTAAACAAGTCTAGCAAAACAATGCAAAATAAATAAAAGCAATAAACATCCTATCATCCCCCTCTTCAGCCTTGATTCCGCGATCACACAAATCTTTTACCTGCAACACATTGGAATGGAGTTGCATAAGTATTTAATAAATACTTAGTGAGGCAATCACTCTGCCTACAGGCCAATTACGCAATTTACTAGATATTTAATAATATTTATAAACTCCAATAATTATTAAATACCATTTTCCAATTATTAAATAATTATTAATAATTAAAACTTCATTTCTCAATTATTAAATAATTCTCATAATTAAATAATAATTTTCCATATTTTAAAATAATTTAAATAATTATTTTAAGCCTCTTAATTAATTAAATTATCATTTAATTAATTAAATCCGAATTAAACCATTTAACCAGATTTTAACTAGAAATCACTTAATTTGAACCAGAAATCAATTTCCAATTGAACCAGACAGAACCGGCTGCGTCGACCGACGCAAGCTTTGCGTCGCCAGACGCAGACCACTTTGCGTCGACCGACGCATGTCCGTCAGGTCGACAGAGATATCAACAAAACACGCAGAAACACCAAATTAACACAGGAATCAACCAAACATCATCACATAAACCTCATATCATAAGAACACCTCAAGAACAACATTCAATCAATCCAGATCTAGTGATTTGCGGACCTACAGTCATGCACTCACCTTGATTTGGATTAAAACAGAGGAAAACGGATTGAGCACTGAAGAACACGACGAACGAGCTTCGATTCGACACCAGGAACTCGGATTTCGCTCAAGAACTTCATCAAATCGTCACTTCTCTTCATCTCTCACAAAAACGGCCGCTAAAAGACAAAACCCGCAGCTCCTCTTCTTTTTATTCGTGATTTAGGGCTTCCAGACCCAAACCAGGCTAAACCGGGCCCAATTTCACTTAAATTGAACCGGGTTTGATTTTGAAAACCTTGCGTCGACAGACACAACTTTTAAAACTCCATAAAATGGGCTACAGATGTTACAACAAAATTTATTAAATCCGAATTCGCAGAGGTTAATACACTAAAAGAGGAAGACGAATCCAAATAATTTCTCATAAGCTAACATAATGAATACTATCTCACCAAATTTCTCACTATACACCCGAAATTATGAAACCCAAAAATCGCAGCATAAACAAATTCACTGATTTGATTACTGAGAAACCTGAGTACGATTTGATCGGATGAAGATAAGAAGATGATCGGAAGAAGATGGGAAGAAGATCGGAAGAAGATCTGAGAAGTAACCGTGATTTCCCTGAAGTCGAGCTCGAAGCAAAGAGAGATGAGCTCAGAGATTCGATTGGAAGAGGATGAGAAGATTCGGAAGAAGATGGGAAGAAAATCGGACGATTTCGAGCTCAATGCGAAGAAGATCGGAAGATATCGAGCTCGATCGGAAGATATCGAGCTCGATCGGAACAGAGATTTCGAGCTGAGAGAGATTGTGAGCTGAGAAAGAAGAGATTCCAATTTGTTTTTTTTCTTTTATTGTATAACGTCAATTTTTCCCTAATTATTAGTGTCATTTAAATTTTAAATGATATTAGTGTCTATGTTTTAGTGTCACTTATCATTTAAGTGATACTAAGAAAATGTTTTAGTGTCATTTGCAATTAAATGATGTAATTAATAATGTTCTAGTATCATTTTATACATATGATGTTAACTATTCTTATTAATTTTTAAGTTTGTATCATTTGTATCAAGTGACACTAAATAAACGACACCAATAATTAGTTATCTTGTAGTGACTGTAATATCTAGAAATTTTATTTTAAATGTACAATTCAATAGAGAGCGAAAGAGAGAGACAACTTTCTGGTCCTTAATGGCGGCTCCTAGGGTAAAGGCGATTCTAAAGGCGATTCTGAGATCCAGCCGACGATCCACCAACGGCGCACCATTTTAATCATCTCCGGCATAATACAGGAACGAGGGAGACTACCTACACTCCTCGTTCACAGTTTCTGTTTCGTTTCGCACTTTGTTCGCAGATTTTCGTTTCAGTTTTCCCCGTTTCAATACTTTACACAATTTCCCTGAAGCCTGGTAAAGTTGTAGTAGACTTTTGTTTCCTTGAACATCAGGAGTTTGGTTTTTTTTTGGCTATATTGGTAATCAACCCCAAAGTTTCCACCTCAAATTTAACCGGCTTTCAAGATCCAACCATGAGCAGCCTAAGATTACACGGGATCCGTAGGGGAAGTTCGAGTTCTGCCATACGTCGTTTGGAAGCAGAGGATGACATCATCATGGTCCCTGACTTTGACTATTCAGACCTAGATGAAAAGTTCAAATTAACTCTGGTTGGTAGGATGTTCGACAGAGAAGGGAGAAGTATTGATGCCCTCTTATCCCAAATGCCGAAACCCCGAATCTGGGATGTTGAAGGGCGCGTAACTAGATCAAACCTTGGCAAAAGGAAATTTCAGTTCGATTTTGCGAGAGACGAAGATCTGGAAAATGTTATGTTTAAACATTCCTCCCATTTTAACAAATGGAGGTTCTCCCTAGAACGATGGGAGTAAACCATAAGAGAAGATTTCCCAAATTTTTTGGTGTTGTGGGTGAAGATTGGTATCCCAAGCCACTAAAAAAGGGATCTAACATTCTGAAATGTGGGGAAAATTCTTGGAACAGTGGCCCAAGAGGATGTGAAGGGGGCCAGAGTACAAGTTTCTCTAAATGCTGATAAACCTCTGCAATTTGAGAGGAGAGTGGGTTTCCCGAATGGGGATGTAATTAAAGCTACCCTTGTGTACGAAGAATTATATATATACTGTTTTACCTGCAAGATGGTATCACATGAAGAAGGTATATGCCCTGAGCTAAACGAGGAACAAAAAGGCAAGATTATAATTAAATCTTGAGAAGGAATTGGTCAAGCAGGAAATGTTCGCATATCCATCACACACCAGAATGGAAGGGGGAAGACTCCACCAAGAAACCACGGCCTTTCAAGACCAAAGAAGTATATGCCAAGACTACTTTCCTAGAAGCGATTCACGGGATAGATATATAGACGATTTGAGAACTCAACAGGAAACTAAAAGAGAAATACGAGGAAAAGAGGTTTGGAATCGTGTGGAAAGACATCCAGAGAATTACGGTCCCACATCGGGAGAGCTCCAGACATCACCCCTACTCAAGTACACAAAAGGAATCACACCGAGGGACTTACAAAGACTACGGAGAACACTTTAGAGGTGGAACAGAGAGATATCCCAGAAGAGAATATAGAGCAGTTAATCGCTACAAAAACGTAAAGGATACTAAGTATCGGATAAAAGAGATCATCTCTACACCAGATTCACAGGGGACTATCTCTGATAATTTTGTGAGACAAGAAAGCAGACATCGCAGACCGCAAGGTACTGGAGACCAATCCGATCATCAACACACCTAGAAGACCCAGAAGACGAAAGAACTCACAAACATAAAGGAAAAGCCCATGTCACAACCCTTTCTTAATATGGAAGCAAGGAGAAACTCAGAGACTCGAATAAAAGAAATAGCACCCTTTCAATCAGAGAACCTCCTTCCCGGAGTCCTGCCACCATACCTAAATCAACTCCAACCCTCCCAACACAATCAAAGGTCTGTACCCCGAATAATGCTAATCCAGACATGGTTCCGGCTAGTGCTGAGCAAATTAGTAATATTACAACAAGAAGAGAGGGAAATGCCCCAGCAGGAGAAAGGATATGATGGAAAAAGATGACCTACTAGCAGATGATCTAGAATTGCTATCAGGGGAGAAATCCATTATAGTGAGGACAGCTCTTCTGACCAATAAGCAAAAGAGCATAAACCCAAGACAGACAAGAAGTGAAGTTTCTCCACAAGGTGAGGCCGAGAAGAAACAAGAACCAGAAGGTTTTCAAACTTCAGGATTGCATCGCGGAAGAAGTAAAATGCCTGAAGTTCATTTTTTTGGAATAACAGATTACAATTTTTTTTACATAACGTGATATTGACATATCAATCATGTCCCATATACCTAATTTATTCGATCTGTTTCTTCCGCCAATACGAGAGAAAAAATAACATACAACAAGTTACAAGACAAACTTCATTTGACCAACATTTTATAACCAAAAAAACACTACTATTACAGTTCTTTTTAATGCCAGTAACCACACATTTCTTGCTACCATTTCTCACCGACCATTTTCACACATTTCGCAATTAGTGGCCGACATTTTATTCACATAAGTGCAGCGTTCACAAGGCCAATGGCTCGAGTCGGCGGAGCTACTAGCTCGTGAAGTTGATCCTTTGTTCTTCCCACTTAAGCTCTTCAAACTCGAGCATCGATCCGAGCTCACATCCGGTAGCCCGTTCTCCAACGCTCGAACTAAGTTCTCAAAATAGTTCTTGGTTACACTGTTCAATTCCCAGTAGTAAAAATGTTAGAAAGAAACTTCTAACATTGACAAGTTGGTTCATGACTTATAGACTAAACCTTCCTTGACATGCAAGTTTTTTTTTGAAACTTACCTTGTTAAACCGGCGAGTTTAGTGCGGAATTCGTTGAAATCTTCGGATGGACCTTTGGCTTCAGAGTACACTTTCAATTCTTTCTCAGCACATTGATGAAGTCGTTCAAGACCAGACTCAGCTTCGCCTAAATTCATCAAGGAATCAAAAACAAACATAAAAAAAAAATAAAAAATTTGAAAGCAAAGTTAAATGTGATTAAGGTTACCTTGTAAATACTCAAAAAACTGTCTCTTTCCATTCTCATGGTCAGGTATGTAAAAACCATAGGCGTATGTCCACTTTAAAACTCGTCTACATTCGATTATCTATTGGTTGTAGAGCAAATTAGTGAGTGAAAATTTCAAAAAGTCGCCAAAAGGAGGAACATAATTTACCTGTAACCACGCTTCTATAATGAACTTTAATTGTGATTCAGGCTGACACTGTATGTCACTGAGCTTCTCAATCTATCAAGTCAATTAAAAAAAAAGAACACTTTAATTACCTATTATTGTAAAAAGCATGCCAATGATAACTATAGGAATTTTGACATTTTCTATTTTTATGTAAACTTAGAACTGTCATGCCAATGATAATTATAGAAATTTTGTCATTTTCTTTTTTTCATCATATTTACATGAGCATAGTGCGCTCACATCATCTGTTTGCATCTTCTTAAGATCCTCCAGCGCCTTTTGCCTAGACTGCAGAAACCAGTAAAAACACTTGTAAATCGTTTCAGAATAAGCGCCAAATGTAATTATTGTAAATACAAAACTCATTAATCTTTGACGTCATTATTCAACAAAGAGCACAGTTTACCAAGGAAACATGAAAGTTGAGGCAGGTTATATAAATAAGACACATCTAAAGTATTATTTTGAACCTCCCTAAGCCTAGCCTAACTTCACTGCTATATGATTAATATGACTTTTAGAACAATATTTTTCTCCAGCAGTTACATGCTTTAATGTCACTTGCTCATTTTTTTTTTTTCAAAATATAATTTTTCATATATTTTGGTACTCTTAAGTAGAACAAGTATAAACATACAAACTTTAGAAAAGTCACTCAACATCAACTTATGATCCCTTATGGAAATAGTTAATCTACTTTTCATGGTAAATGAAGAGAATTATTTTTGCTTCATAGCAACGTATTTGAAAATTGACTGATAAATCTCTTTTTAAGATGAATACATGTGAGAATTAAATGAACAAAAAATTACATACCGATTGATTGGTTGCCCATCTTTCATAGTAATGAGTATATCTTTCAAGAGAGTTCTTTGCCATCTCTCGGCGTTTCTCAGTCTCATCAAACTGAAAAGAAAGGTTACAAAAAGACATTATCAAATGTGTTAAACTAATAGTCAGGAGAAGAAACACAAATGTATAGAACTCATACAATGCCATCTTGCTTTGCTGCTTCGTAACGATTACAAGCATAAAATCCACCTGTCTTCTCACCATGCTCTGTCCATGCTCCAAGGCATAGCCTACATTTTATATAATACAAAAACTGTGTAGGAGCCACAAAAAAACTTACACGACCACATTCATATGAGGATCAGATATAAGAACAGTTTTAATCTTGTTTTATTAGTCGATTAATTAGAAAGAAAATTTTGTTTAGTGTATTTATAAAGAGTGAAATATAAATCTTAATCGTTTTTTAATGGGTTGAAAAGTGAAAGAGAGAGAGAGAGTACTTGACATGGTGGCATTATGTGCAATCCAGTATTTTATAAACTTACCAGCAGAACTCAAATTTACATGGTGGAGTGCATGTAATATGCATACAACCCTGGTTTTTCTCTATAGGACGTTTACACCTTGGACATGGCTTAGAATTCGCCAAAATCCTGAAAATTAAATATGGAATATTAATACCAACAATATATATATATATATATATATATATATATATATATATATATAATGTCAAAGCATAATGCAAGAAGATGGATGAGAGGAAACCAAATAAACTTTCTTCTAACAATTCAAAATGCAAATGGATCCATTGCATAAATCAACGTACCAATTCATGTTCTCAGACTCAGCGCTATTCTTCAATACCCACTTAGAAACTGTGTCACAATCTACAGGACGGTGAGCTTCTTCAGCACACTGTTCGAATCATGGTTGTGTCAAATAGTTTCCACGCAGGAAAAAGATAAAAAAAACTAATCAAATACTAACTGAAATAGCGACTTACATTCCAGCAAAAACTGTAACAACAGCGACAATTCACATCATAATTACCACTCCCAACAACAAAGTTTACAGCATAATCACAGCCTGGAGCAGGACACCACTTGGTCTACACAAAGAAAAAAAAAGATGCACCGGAAACTAAGTTTAGCCAATTCATTTGAAGGTTCACACAAGACATAATAAACATCATACTAATGATTACCTTTCTATTGTCTTCAACATATGATCTTACAAAATAGCTAGTGTACTTGTGCCTATCTTTATCAGGAGCTAACAAATTGATCATATCCTGACCTATAGCAGCTTTGCAAGAAGGATCTGGACATCGTAACATTAGACACCCCGGACCATCATTAATCGCGGTCGAGATATAACCTAAAAGATGAGATAATGAAACCATCATTTATACAAGGTGCATTGCAATTTTGATCTTAACATAAAGTTTGTAAATGGGGTCTCAATGGTAAAACACAAACCTTCCCAGCATGACTCGCAAAACGGATGACCACAAGCAGCAGCATGCAGTTTATCAGATAGGAAAGTCTCGAAACAAATTCCACAATTAAGCTGCCAAAATGAGAAAAGAAACAAAGTATAAACAAAAGCCAAAAAGACCGAAACTTTGAATTCTAACATACAAATTTACAATAAAGGAGCATACTTGTCCATGAGTAGGAAAATCAACAAGAGGTTTCTCTAACAAGCCAACAGCATCTCTGACCTTTTCCTCATCAGCAAACCATTCATCATGTACTCTGCTCACACACCTACATAAAATTTCACATCAACACAAAGATTGTTACAAAGCTGACAAAAAAGAGCACCTAAGAAAAAGTTTTTCATAGGAAAAATGATATAAAAAAAAAAAAGTAGAAAACGTTCTTCATCTAATAAACTAGTAGATGAATAAAGTTGTTTTTTGGCGTTTAAGGGATTTTCGTCTTATTGATTTCCGCTATTTTAATATTCAGCTGACATATCAGATTCCCCAAATGTTTTTTTCTAAACATTTATATGCAGACAGAAATTTAATGAAAAATGGGAAATCACCAGTTGTAGTGACGAAGCAGGATTGCAGATGAGATCCTTGAAATCGATAATACAGTAGAAATCCTTGAAATGTCATCTTCTTGAAGCTTACAAATATCTGCCTCGCTTAGCACACTATAATTTTGCTACAGGGAAGAAAATAAAAACTATTAATTAGTAGAAACAACAAATTAGACACGAAAGATTACGATAAACATATCCAAAAATGAATTAGCTTAAAATGTATAAACTGTTCATTTAATTATTAACTGCGATAATTTGAGAAAATCAAAAACTTGAATCTCTATGAGGAAAGGATTACGATTCATCATCAATTCATCATCATTGCTATATGAAATTCGATTTTGTTTTTATCTTTCTATTAGATACAGATACAGATCCTGAAGATGAGAAAAACAAAAAAACCTGGCGGCGGCGGAAGATGAGGTCATCGGAATCATCAACGTCGTCATCGACGAACTCGTAATCGGCGTCAATGCTGTCGGCGTAATCGGAATCGTTTTCCGCGTATTCGGTGCCGCTGTAGAAATCGTCATCAGCATCCATTGACAAATTCGTCGCGATTCGATTTCAACACATTTCTTCAGTTTTAAAAATTATAAAGAACGGCTCTTAAGATCTTTTCGGAAAACAATTAGAAAAATAACAAATGGCAAAAGGGTAAATTAACCTTAGCCAACAAAACCAATTTCGATGGAATTCGAACAATTAGTGTTTAATCTAATTTTATCGGATGTCAAAGAGTTTAAATTAGTAGGACAAAATATGTATGTAAGATTCATATTTTTTGTCAGTTTATTTTTGGCTTTATTTGACTTATAAATATTCTCCGTTTTCAATATTTTATTCATAAAAACTGAACCAAATCTTAATATAATGGAACTTTTGTAAGAACTCTTACAAAATAATTGACTAGAACTGAAGCATACATATATTGTACAAAGCAAATGAAACAAGTAAGAGAATTGCGAATTCGTTACTATATTTAAAACTTGAAAGGATATGCAACATTGTAGATTTTAATAAAGCCACAAGAAATTAGAAAAATATTTAGCCTTTTAAGATTATGTTAAGCATCACTTAAAAAAAGACAAGGAATTCATGGAACGTTAAAAGTCATTACACAACCGAGATACTAACAATACTGTCAGGTTAAGACAAAAGTAGATAACATAACCAAAAAGAAAAAGGCATTTAGGGAGAAGAAGCTAATTACTACTTAAATGTATTTATTAACTTCTCTTAGCTTTTGCAATTTACCCACTAAATTTTGCAACGGTGGTTACGGTTTTATTCACCAACCACCACCGCCGCCACCACCGCTCTTTTGACCACTGGATTCAGTCCCCCAACCGCCGTCTCCATTGCTCTTTTTACCACTAGACTCTTTTCCCCAGCCGCCTTCTTCACCACCGCTCTTTTTCCCACCAGAGTCGTTTCCCCAACCGCCATCCTCGCTGCTCTTTTTACCACCAGTGTCATTTCCCCAACCGCTGTTACCACCACCGCCTCCGCCAGAATCATTACCCCAGCCACCTGCACCGCCACTCTTATTACCAGCAGGCTCACTTCCCCAACCACCACCGCCACCACCAGACTCACTTGCCCAACCACCGCCACCACCGCCACCACTTGCCCAGCCTCCATCTCCAGTTCCGGAATCATTGCTACCCCAATCTCCTCCATTGCCACCTTGTCTATCACTGTTATCATCCCTCCGACCTCTGCCTCGGCCACGGCCACCACCATACGGCCTTGGCGCTCCACTTGGATGGCCATCACCACGTCCACCACCATTTCTGTAGTCACCGCCTCTCCCTACAAAAACATTTGCACAATTTCTCAAACAGTGGACGTGCACAAATCATAGTCTCAGTAACAAAAATAACATCAACTGATAATAAAAGGCTTCTCTGCAAGTAAAATCAAGACTGCCAGATATTTGAGTTCAAAAGAAAAGCCTGACAAGCATAACAATGACCACACAAGCCCTTTTCCTGCAAGTTAAAAACTAACTTTGAAAAGCGTTTTGTTACCTGCTCTTGGTCCAGATGAGCGATCCGAGTTTCCTTTCCAGCCTCCTTCACTCTGAGAACCGCCCCAACCACCTCCTCCAGAAGAGCCACGGTCTGCTGGGCTTCGCATTGGTACCATGGCAGCAACAGACCTGATCGATGGAACTTGTTCTTGCAATGGGTCATCGATATGCCTCTGGAAGTATGCTACAAGCCTGTCAATGTCTTCAAACATCTTCTTCCTGAACTTGAATCCCTTGGGGTATAGACCGACGTATTCATGATGAGGATTTGTGCTCCTTATGTAAGACAGTATAAAGGTTCCTGGGTGTTCATGTGAAATCCCAAAACAGTAAACTATCCTTGAAGGATTTTCACCCTTCTCGATCTTGAGAAGCTCATCAACTTCTGATTTTGACCCTTTACGGAACTTCCGGTAATTCAGCATGATCTTGAGGTTAGAAACAAGAGGATCAACGTACCGATCCATGACCTGCATAACATTATTTAAAGTCGCAAAATCAGGTCAAACGAAGCTTGCAAAAGTCAGCGGAATTTTCAAAAGCTGAATCAAATATACATGCTTGTTGACAGTTACAATAAGATTAAACAAAGAGACATACCTCATCTAGATCTTCGAAGGTGTCCTCCCCAATTTTCAGTGTCTTCCCGATACACTGTAGGCTTGTGATGTCCTTGTTTTCTTTCCCACCTTCTTGTATCTCCTTGTGGGCATAAACTCCATCGTAAATCTTGAGCGTTAGCGTCAAATAATTGAGGCCCCGAGAACTTGGACGAACAATGCTTTCTCCAAAATCTTTGTCTGACAAATACTGAAAGATCATAGCACCAGCATATAAACTCAGATTTCTTTTAATAACAGCAGAAAAACAAGAGTGGTAATGTAATCATCCTATAAACTTATCAGGAACCAAAGAAACAATAAAAGCCTGGCGTACCTCTGTTGCTTGGTCAGCGGTAATATTTTGGAAGCGGGGATGGACAATCATTCGAGACTTGAAATGCTTCTTCACCAGCTCCTTTTCTTTTCGAGCTTTCTCTTTTTCTATCTGAAGACTGTTTCTATCCTCAAAGTAGTAAGGATCCAAATTCTGGTTCTGCTGATGCCTGTTGTTTCTCATTTCGCTTTCTCTGCAAATAAGGAACACTTGATACCTCTCCTTCACAATCTTTTTGATCTTGCATGTTAGGATCTCGCCTTCTTTCAGTACATCCGACAACTCAACAATATCTCTCCCATCATCTGCGAAATCTTCCTTCGAAAGCATCCCAGTTAACCCAGAATCTAATACACATATGGCTCTTCCACCCTGCACTCTTCGAACAGTGGCCTGGACAATTCTGCCCTCAGATATGGTTTCATCAGTTTCACCAGAAATCATGTAAAACTCTTCATCTGGAGTTGGATCTTTAAACGGCATCCGCCAATCTGGGAAACCACAGCTTAATTCTCTCATGATATTACTGTAAGTTTCCTTCTTATTCTCCCGTTTTTTGCTTGCAAGATACTCATCAAGGACAAGTTTTCTCAAAGAGGCTGGCCGATCTCTCACATGTTCTATTGCCATCTCTATCGCATCCTCATCGTCATTAGTATCACCTCTAACATCCTGATCATAAATATCTTTTGCCAATTCTTGCGCAAGACCATATGATTCGGGATGTATCCTGGTGTCATCCAATAAGTCAATAAATTGACTGCTACTAGCAGCCAGCCCACTCCTCCGGATGCGCAAGAAACCAGCTGCGTTTACAAATACTTTTTTACCAAGGCCATGCATTATGAGATCCTTGCGAACAAATATTGAACCAGCTCTTACAAGCGACCTCTGCAAGGATGCAGCTTTCCTAGGCCCAAGCCCAGAAATGAACTGTAAAGGAGAGAAAACCCACTCATGGCTAGCTGCCATATTAATGTCGATTCCAACCTGGTTTGTTATGTCAACCATAACCTGCTCAACCATCCCATACTTTTCATCTAACTGAAGAAAATTCTCCAGTGGATGAAGCTTCCATGACAAAATTTCCCTGCCTGGTCCGCATAAAGTTGCAACCATTGCTAGTGGATTCTGGAGATAGCGTCCAAGAGCAACTGCACGTTTCACAAACCCTGACTGCTGAGGTAGCTGTTCCCCCGAGATTCGAGATTTTTCATATAGCCTAGGAAGTGATTCGTCTACATAAACAATGCTCAAATCATCCATCCCCTGTCCGACATCTCTAGGCTTTTCCTCCACCATCTGGAATATGACCTGATGTATAAAAACAAATAAAACATGAGCAAGATCTACTATACAAAAGAATCAGCCATGAAAATTGAACAGCACCAGAAAATTTGCCAGAGTGAGCTACATAAGCAGAAACTCAAGCTGATTTGATCAGATATTATAGCATCATTGTAAGCTCAAACTCAAGCTGATTTGCAGAGTACTGAGGAACTAGTTAGGTGAGCCAGTGATCACAGTTTTTCCAGAACCATTGTAAGCTCAAACACAGAACTTGTATGTTGTATTAGCATGTAAATAATAAATGGTAAATGAATCCTTACCTCATAAATATCATCCTTCAGACGAGTACAATTCAAATTGACAGCTCCTAGCGCCACAATATGTGGTTGGTGGTCCATCATAAACTTTAAAACGCGATCCTGGTCATTCTTTTTACGTTGCTGGTCATTAACATTTTGAGATCGCAACGTGAGGGATCCTGCATAGAGCACATCAAGCACCTCTCCGGATGAGTCCAGCATCACAAACGTATTTGGTGGATTTCCTGGTCCCCAACAACATGCCATGACCCTAGGTGCTGCTTCCTCATCTGAGCCAATGTCCATTTCTTTCTTTTGATATGGCCCTGCAGAGACCTTGTTCCATAAAGCCTGTCCATACTCTGAAAGTAACCGACTCTTTGCTCTGCTAGTTAGCAAGGATCTTGCTTCTTTCTCCATTGATGGCAAAAGAAAAGAAGTAAGTGCATCCTCCAGTATCAATTTTCTTTGCTCATTCCAGAGTTGAGCATACTTACTAACACCAACACTTAGGTAGTGTTCATTGCAGTCGCTAATTAGCCTATTCAGGTAATTCTCAGGCAGCTTGAAGGTTACTTGAAGAAGTTTCTCCTCTTCAGCCTTCTGAATGAGAAGCCATTGCGCACCCTCAAACTTGCTCAACGGCTTTTCACGTAACCATTTAACCCCAGAAAACTGATGGAACGAATCTATTACACCATTCCCATCCGCTGTTGGACTTGTTGAGACTACTGCATTCTCCATATAAATGCCACGGACATACTTTTTGACTGATGGCTCACAACTTATCTCCACTGCAGCCTAACAAAGATAAAAATTCAGAAGTATTTCAGCATGAATGATAAGAGAAGGTCTTGAGATAGTAAATCCAGCTAAAGAGTTCATAATAGCATTTTGAAAGCAAAGTGTACCATATGCCGTGCACCCTTAAGAACAGCTTGAGGATTTTCAAACATTCGGCACACAAAGTTCAATGCCATCTCCTCTGGTGTTTCTTTTGCATCCTCGAGCTCATCAACCTGTAGCCCAAGCAACATCAGAACTGTCATTCGAGCACAAAATTCGGACGAAACAGTATAAAAGAACACTGACCAGTTTTTCGAGGGACAATGCAAGTCCCAGTTGCTCAGCACTGTACCCAAATTTGTTTGCAACCTCCCAGAGCCCTGCTTTGCTGCAGATGCTATATTGGGATTTCCTTGTTGGTCTTTTGTACTGTCCTTCATCAATACCAATTTCACCGGATGGAAAATGCAAGTTGAACTTTGAATCTACATCATCAACTTCTCTTTCTGTTTCTGCCACTTGAAGAGACTTAATGACAGATTCAAAAAGATACTGATTTAGATTAAGCCTAGTTTCATCATAGACCCTCCTAGACTCTTCTTCAAATCGCTTTGTATAGTAACCATGCAACGCCATTTTCCTTTTTCGAAGAAGGAGCCACTTTTTATCCAAGTCCTGAATCATCCAGAATACCTAAAATGGCAAATACCTTACATTAATCCACCAAACCCAATAAATTAACCTGAGTACTTGTTGTTTCTCCAAGAAACTGCTTACCTTATGCCACTTAGTCTCAGGTTTCTTCTCCAGATTAGATTCATCAAGATCACCAGTGTCCAACAAGCTCCGGCATTGCTCCTTTCGGTACATAGCTATAAATGGTATCTAGAGGAGACAAAAAACATTAGCACAATAATCGAAAAATTCAAGGAAATATCCAACTAAAGAATGAGTCCAAAAACCTCTAATTTCTGCACATGATGTAGCTCCAAAAATTTTGCAATGTCATCCTTGATAACCGAAAAACAGTGAAATCCTTGACCATCAGATTCTTTTAGTAGAGAAGTAAGTTGAGCATATATCCAATTGCTCTCTTCCTCAATGTCAAGTTCATCTACAGGAGGGCTTCCAGTGCTTTCTTCAGATATCTGTCATAGTTAACAAGATATCTTTACATCGACCCATGAACACCAATAAAACATAGACCACCCACACATATAGAGAAAATATAGTAGAGATCGCACCTGCATTCTCTCGGGAATATCAAGCTGGCGAATTTCATCATCTTTCCCTGTCATGTACTTCTCAGACAGAACAGTTGGTTCAAACTCATCTTCGAGCCTTCTTTCTGTCCTTTCACTAGACGCCAAACCCTTTCTCCGAAGTATCAATAATTCACCAACATCACCAAAGATTTCATTAGCGTCTCGGATAGCATGAATATCTGATCCCTGCCTATATTTCTTTTTCTTTGGGTCTCTCCTGAAAAAAATAAGTATCAGAATCAGAAAAAGCTAGACGTGACATAAGAGATATACAAGATCACAGAAAAGATAACGAACAGAAAAAAAACATATACCTCTTAGGGGGATGGTCCCCATCATCTTCATCTACAATGAAATCTGCCATTTCATCCTCGCTCCCAACTACATCTTCTTCCATAGCTATATCTTCTTCATCGCCTACATCATCAGGAAGATCTACAAGACACAAAAAGTGTTTAATCAACTAGGTGCCAATGGTCCACATAAGAATAATCACAAAGCTCATATTAACAGACCATCAACATCGTCGTCAAACAGATTGTCTTTGATCTTGTCCTCTGCACTTCTCCTAGCTCCGCCAATCCCATCTAACTCATCATCAGACGAGCCCCCTTGACCATTTTCCCTTTCCTTTTGAGCTTTCTTCAACCTCTTATACTTCCTCTGTCGAGAAGAAAAGTTAATACGTATTAGTACCGCAACTCACAAATATATTTCTAGTGTGTGCACATAATCTGGATATAGTTCTGCACAAATATGACTTAACCTTTTCAAATTTGACGTTGTTGTCTTGGAGAAGCAGATAATCATCTTCATCAAGGTCTTCGTCCCTATTAAACCATCATACATGGAAGGCTAATCAGAAAGATAACAGACCGACTATAATCACAAATGATGGTTGTACACACTAACACTAAGATTTTTTTTGTTATTTAAGAGAAAGAGTAGGGAAAGAGTTATCACTTTTTCCTTCGTTTCTTCTTCTTTTTCTGCCTCTCTTCATCGCTATCTTGCTTTTCTTCCTCTTCTTCCTCCTCTTCTTCTTCATCATGCACTATGAACCCATCATTCTCGTACTCATCGTTACCTACAAAACAGATATACGGATCTCACATCATGGAAACAAATTATCCGGAAGTTATAGTATCTAAAAACACACACACATATGTTCATTGACTTTGTTTCCTTCGACCCATCCAACATTGCATTTTCTAACTTTGCCAAATGCAGACACTACTTCATCAGCTGATGGACTAAATGAAGAAAGATTCCGAATTTCTTCAAATTTCAAGACATTGAACAGCATGAAGTCGAGCCATACCACTCAAAAATGGTAGGATATGAAAACGAAAAGAAACAAAGAACACCCTTTCCCACTCGGAGAAGCCCAAAATCAAGGGTAAAGCAAAGTACCTTCTTCATCGTCTTCTTCGTCATCGTTGTCACCGTTATCGACAGGATCTCCATGAATTGGCGATCCTTCCTCATCCTCGAGCTCATGATCATCTGCCCAGAGAAGAAAAATCAACTCTTTAGACGAATAAGAAGAAACCCAGAAAACCCTAGAGAGATTACGCCGCGCATTGCACACAGAGAAAAAAAAACTAGGGTTTGAGGCGCGGAGATTTGTGTACCTTCTTCGTCGGAAATGGCGTTCTTTGGCATGATTATTTCGATAGATTTAGAGAGACGACGACGCAGAAACTAGCCCTGAAAACTGCAAAACGTCGATTGTAACTATGATTTTGATTTCGCGAAAGAGAACGGGAAGATGAAAGCTTCTCGCGATTCTAGGGTTTCTCAAAAAGCGACGCGAGGAAGCAAGCTAGGGAGAAAAAAGGTTTGGTAAAGGCGGAAGCTTACCAGCGTGAATTTTCTCTGAAGCGAAGGTGAGAAAACCTCAAAACGAAGAACTGATCGAAAAAGAAGACAGAGACGGCGATGAATTTTCAAGGGAACAATGGCTCCTATAGTCTTAATCGAACAAAATGATTTCAGTATACCTGTTATAACTTAGAATTTATTAAATACTTTCTTTAAGTTAAATGAATTGTAAAATATCCAAATAACCTTCAAACTTCATCCATATTACGACATAACCACTGCATTACAGATTTGCACATTTACAACCACTTCATCAATGTTAAAGGTGTTTGAAATTGTGCCGGTTAAACTCATCATTTGACTATATTTGCACAATCAGATTCTTCCCCAAATACTCTAAAAGCTTCCTCACCATTGTCTTTGACTTGTTCATGTACTATAACGCTCTAAAGGTTTGATTTTGTTTTGTTTGTTTGCTTGAAAACTGGGATTGAGATTTGTTTCTGGAGATTGAGATCCATTGCAAAGAAGAGAGAGTATGTAAGAGAAAATTTGAAGAAGAGAATGAGCGAACAACCTTTGGTTTTGTGTGATTGTTTCACTAGCTACTGGTTTTGTTGGGATTTGTCGCCGAACCATTAGATAATCCACGAAATCATCCAGGCGTTTCAGAGTTATCAACTCATTACTGACAACGAAAATTCGGCTTCCCGGAGAAAATCCAAGAGAGATAAGAAGAAAAAGAAATTGATTCGTACAGTCGTTGATATAAAGTCATCGTCGAGGTCGAGCCGATGACACCGAAACCACAGTTTCCGAGAGCCACATGTCGTCTCCAGATAACTCGTCGATTGAGTGAAGCTGAGGTGGCGGAACGAGGGCCATAGGATAAGGAGATTGTTTGCAGTTCCAGTTTTTGGAGACTTTGGAACATGGTGGTAGATATTGCTTTTACCATTCTCAAATTCTGAGATGAACGTTGATATTATGTTAAAATACACATTGTGATTATGTAATTTCTTATTTTACTATGTAATTAATATTTATTATAAATATTGTATTAGTTCTTACTAAATATTTCTCCCAATAAACTACATTTAAATCTATAAATTTACAAAACTTTGTTTTACTAAGTGAAAATTGGAGGAAAAAACATAAAGTACAAATTGAAAACAAAACTTAACTTATAATATATCTATCTAGTAAACAGAGTTTTGATAAAAAAAAAGGTTTTATGATCAAGAGTTAACTATATCTATCTTACACTTTTATGGTTACTTTGTTAATAAACACCATATTTAGATGCAAAAAGATGCTAATAACATGTTATTAAAATTGTGATTACATAATTATGTAAAGAAGATAAAAATATTACTTATGATCACAAGTACAACTCATAATTATAAAGATTAGAGTATGTACAACTATATATTAATTTTAACCTCTAACGTACAACTATTTAGAGAGTAGTACAACTGAAATCTTGGGAACAACTAAGGGTAAATTTGGTTTAAATAATAAAATAAATAAATATTCAAATGCCACGTGTCAATTTTTTAAAGGGTAAGTGGTTGAAAATAATAAAAATAAAAATAAAGTTAAATTAAAATGCCATGTGTCACATGGAGGTTGATTTGGCGGCGGGTCCATTTCGGAAAAGAAAGTTCACAATAAATCGTGGGGGCGCCATGTTCTCTTCAATCTCATTGGTTGAATTTTAAAATTTATTATAATTTAATTTTAGTGCTGAGTGAGATTCATTAATGGCATACTGGTAATTAATAACACTTATAAGACTATGCTAGATTAGATGAGACCAAATTTGTTTATTTTCCTTCAATTAAGACCATATGATACTTGTGCTCACTTTCAAATTTATAACCCGAGATTGCTTCGGAACAATGGCTCCTATAGTCTTACCCGAGAAATATGATTCTAATCTATCCATGTTATAACTTAAATTTTATTAAATCTTTTCTATAAATCAAATGAAATGTAGAATATCCAAATAACCTTCTAACTTCATCAATATTACAATCCAACCATCTCATTACCCACCCTGACCCATGACCGAAATGTAACTGGGTCAAATACATGAAAATCACAATTTTTCTTTCATCTATTCAGCCCTTTCTTCGTCATTCTTTTTTTTGGGTAAAATCCTTTCCTTCCCTTCTCATCTGATTCAACATAATTTGGGTCACCCACTTCAACTCCTCTAACATAATTGAATATGTGATTCTCTGAAATTAGAATAAAAAAACTCAAAATCAAAATCAGTTTTGGATAATATGTGGATCTTAACCTTGTTTAGCTTTCCAGAAATTGCAGATCTTAAAGGTGTATGAAATTGTGTCCGTGTTGGACCTGAATGCATTGAAACCAGAAAACGGGACCATATTTGTCCTTTGAAACTTACCCTTAAGCCAAGCGAGTACTTTGAAATGCATGAGCGGTTGATTCACGGTTCTGAATAATTGAATGTTAAAGGATGAGAGTTATTTGAATGCATTGTGTAAGTTGAGTCTAGTGTCTTCTGTTGCTTTGATTGGTGTGGCTAAAATTTTGGAAGTGGAGCTCATTCGCCTTGCATTTTATGATTCTCAACCCGATCATTGACTTCGTTTCCTCTCATTGCATCCTTGAATTTTGAGTCCTCGACATATCAGCATCTCTCGGATTTGCTCTTCTCGCTTGAGGGCAAGCAAGATTCAAGTTTGGGGGTGTTGATATACACATATATTAACATACTTAGCATACTTTTACATGCATATTTCCACCTTTAAGTTCATTCTCATACATTTATATCCATATATCTCTATCTATACACTTGCATCTTCATTAGGACTTGCATTGCATATACATTGCATTTTGAGTCTGAATCAGGTACTTAATGGAGCTTTGGAGCCATTTGGGAGAAGGAGTGTTGGAGACGTCAAGACAAAGAGCAACCAGGATGCGAACCAGGATCAGGAACCCGTTTGTCGCCTTACAAGCTTTCCTTGACCAAGAAGAGAGTTGACCATGCCTAAGTGAAACGCGGCGTTTTGGAGCTTAAATCTTGGGGAAGGAAAGAAGAAGGGTTTTAGAGTCTCCACTATATAAACTAAAAAGTCCTAAGTTTTTAGGCATCTTGTAATTTGTCTTTCATTTTGCCACCAAGAAATACTCTAGTTGAGATCTTAGACTTTGTCTTAATCAAATCACGTACTTGTCTACTCGCTTTTCTTTGCATCTCACTTACTTGTTTAACAACCTTTCCTCTTATGGAATCGGTTTGTCAAACAGGATGAGTGAGTAGTCTTTAGATTGTTTTAGGTGATTCGGTTTTGAGAGCTTTAAAGGAGAGTTTGAGCTTAAAGCTAGGACCTTTAGAGTTTCTCCTTGCTTAGTGCCCTTAAGGCTGTCATTTCTGATCATCTTGGCTCAGATCTCAAGCTCTCAACACATCAAAAGTGTGTTTGAGAGCTAGATAATCTAAGACAAGGGATCTACTTCTCTAGCTCGCGATAGCGTTTGTTTAGAGGGTTCTTTGGTGTTGGGATCTGCGTTTAAAGCTTGCTTGTGTACAAGCTCACTGACGATAGTCAGCTCTTGAGTTTGACCTTGCATTCGAGCTCATTCACGATAGTGATAAGCTCTTGCTTTCGTTTTCCTTAGCCTAGAAACTCGGTTTTATCTTCTAAGTCTTAAAGTCTTCTTCCTTTAGCTCGATTTCCATCCGAAATCACCTAAAGCCATCGCCTTTCTTCATTTCCTTTATAAAGTTCAAGTCTTTTAGCTCAAAGTCGATTTCTTTCCTCTTTGAATTCGGATTTGGACCGTTATTTACTGTTCTAAGTTTGTATTTTACTGTTTAACGTTCGGATTTCATAAAAACCAAATCTTGTTCTTGGCTTGAAGTCTTTCTTGCAATCTTTAAACCCAATCTTCTCCGAGATTTGGATTGATACCTTAAACTATACTGCAATGATATGAGCAGAGATTTGAGGGTTTGATCTACTAAAAATCTTGTTTTCAAACTGGCGCCGTTGCCAATCTTGGAGATTTGATTGGGATTTTTCGATTTTGGAAAAATTTCAAGTTCAAGTTTTTAAATTTCTGCAACTTACTACTAATCTGCCTGGGCTTTGCTTGTCTTACTCTCAGGTGTATGCAAACACGCTCTCGCGGCAAATCAACTTGTTAAGCTCCGACGAACTTCAACGAGCTGAACGAGCTAAACGCGAGCGTCACGGCAAACAGAGTAGAAGCAGAGTCGAGTTCAGGATTTCAGACAGGCTCCGAGTTACAGTCAGTGACGACGACTCTGTCTGAGACAATGGCAGATAACCACGGAGGAGCTCCTCCACCGGGAGTTTTCCACCACAGCCGGGAATCCAGTTCAGCTCAACGTCCGGCAAGACAAATCGGAGCTGGCGATATTCCGACGATTCCAGCGAATCGTCCCGGCATTACCCCACCACCGGTCCCAAATTTCAACTTCGACATCAAGACAAGCTTGATAAACTTGGTGGAGAATTCCATCTTTCACGGAATGAAAGATGAAGATCCTTTGAAGCACTTGGAAAAGTTTGATAGAATTTGTGCTTTGCAAAAGATCAACAATGTCACTGAGGATGCTCTTAAGCTCCGATTGTTCCCTTCTCTTTGAGTGACACGCACTAGCTTGGGAGTCTTCAATCCAACCTGGAACCGTGACAACTTGGGAACAATGCAAGCATGCCTTTCTTGCGAATTCTTCCCACGTCAAGAACTGCTCAGCTAAGGAACAACATTGCGAGTTTCACTCAACAAACCGGTGAAACATTCTCAGAGGCATATGAGCGATTCAAGGGATATCAAATGAAGTGTCCTCATCACGGCTTCTCCAAAGAGAACTTACTAAGCACATTGTACAGAGGAGTCTCCCCTAAGTACAAGATGCATTTGGATTCAGCTAGTAAGGGTCATTTTATGGGAATGGATGTAGATGATGGGCTCGCTTTGGTGGAGAATGTTGCTCTTAGTGATGGAAACTATCCAGAGGAGTATGATCGAAGTGACAGAGGAGATAGCTCAGTCAATGATGAGAAACACAAGAAGGAGATCAAGACATTGAATGACAAGCTTGACAAGATCTTGACTGGCCAGCAAAAGCAAGTTCACTTTGTTTGTGAGGATGATGTGAACCAAGAGGGGGAGGACCAACAAACTGAGGAAGTGTGCTATATGAGTAATCAGGGAGGTTACTACAAAGGGTTACAACACAAACAACAACACGAACCTCTCTTACCGCAGCACCAATGTGGAGAATCCACAAGACCAAGGTACCCACCTCAACAAAACCAAAATCAAGGGGGCCAACAAACTGTTTACTTCAAGCGTGGTTACCCACCAAAGGTTTTTGGAATCAGAACCAAGGCTCAACTCAAGCTCAAGCAGGGAGCAACTCAAGTCAAGATCTGATATGAAGACCATGCTTCAACAACTTAATCAAAGGGCCAAACAAGTGGAGCTACTGAGCTAACACCAAGCTAGCCGAGATCAACAACAAGGTGATTGCTCTTACAATGACCTCAACAAGAAGTTGGAATCTTTAAACTCAAAGTTCAACACTTGGAAGCTAAGAGCCACAACATACCTTCTCTTCAAAGGGAATGCTTCCTGGAAAAGCAATCGCAAACCCAAAGGAGTATGTGCAAGCAATTACTCTTAAGAGTGGGAGAGTTCTTCCGAGAGAGTGGTACCATCAAGAAGCAACGAGGACGTTGCGATTCAAGAGGAGGAGGAGTCAGTCGACATTGAAGCTGAGGAGAGAGTTGAGAAAGAATCAGTAGAACCAGAGCCTGAGAAGCAGAGAGGACAGCGCACCAGAGCCGTCAAAAGGAAACAAGAAGAGGAGGGAAACTCTTTTTGTTCCTCCACCATTCAAACCAATGCTACCTTTTCCAACACGTTTCAAGAAACAAATGGCAGAGAAATGCAGAAAGTTTTGATCAGCAACTATCTGAGATCAATTGAAGATCCCTTTGTAGATGCTCTCATGATGATCAAGCCTTATCAGAAATTTTTGAAAGATGCCATTTTGGAGAGAACCAAGGAAGTGCAAGGCATGGTGGTATTGTCTCAAGAGTGTAGTGCTATAATTCAAAGCAAGACAGTAACAAAGAAGCTTGGTGATCCTGGAAGCTTCACTCTCCCTGTTCCTTGGACCATTAGCTTTCAAGAAGATTTGTGTGATTTGGGAGCAAGTGTAAGCATAATGCCTTTGACTGTGGCAAGGCGTTTGGGTTTTGAGAAATACAAGGAGTGCATTTCTCTCTGATCCTTGCTGATAGATCAGTTAAGCTTCCAGTAGGCATGCTTGAGATATGCCACTCAAGGTGGGAAGTGTGATAGTTCCAACTGACTTTGTGGTAGTAGAGATGGATGAAGAACCCAAAGATCCTCTGATTTTGGGAAGACCTTTCCTTGCCACTGCTGGAGCTATAATTGATGTGAGAAGAGGCAAGATTGAGCTGAATTTGGGTAAAGACTGCAAGATGGTGTTCAATGTAAAAGATGTTATGAAGCAACCAACTATAAATGGTGAGTCATTTTACATTGAAACACTTGAGCAGCTAGCCGAAGACTACTTGGAGGAATTGGGAGTTGAGGATAAGCTGCAGCTGGCTTTGACTAAGGATAATGAGGAGTTTGGATGTCTACAAGCAGAGAGTATGGGTTATGCTTGGCTTATGGACTCACACAGAGCAGAAAAGGGGACAGGCTTTGAGGAGTTGGTTCAGTCAGAAACGAAGAGCATCCGGGATGGAAAACAGGTTGAGAACCTGTTTGCTCTAGAGTCTAAACCGAAGGAGGAAAGCTCTCAAGAGCAAGGCACGGACGATGACTGGTCTGAGCTTAAGGCTCCCAAGTCGATCTCAAACCACTCCCAAAGGGGCTCAGGTATGCGTTCTTAGGCTCTAACTCCACATACCCTGTCATTGTCAATGATGCATTAGACCCCCATGAGCTTGAAACCCTCCTTTGAGCTGCGAAAGTACAGGAGAGCTCTTGGATACTCGCTGGACGATATCAAGGGTCTCTCCCCTACTCTATGCACTCACAGGATCCATCTCGAAAATGAATCAAAGGGATCTATTGACATCAGCGTAGGTTAAACCCCAATCTTAAAGAAGTAGTAAAGAAAGAAATCTTGAAGCTTCTTGATGCAGGAATCATTTACCCTATTTCGGACAGTACTTGGGTTTCTCCAGTACATTGCGTCCCAAAAAAGGGTGGGATTACTGTCATCAAGAACGAAAAGAATGAATTGATCCCAAGTAGGACAATAGTTGGACATAGAATGTGCATTGATTATCGTAAGTTAAATTCTGCATCAAGGAAAGATCATTTTCCTTTGCCATTCATTGACCAAATGCTTGAAAGGTTGGCATGTCATCCATTTTATTGTTTCTTGGATGGCTACAGTGGTTTTTTCCAGGTTCCAATCCATCCAAATGACCAGGAAAAGACCACATTTACATGTCCATGGCACCTTCGCATATCGAAGAATGCCATTTGGATTATGTAATGCCCCAGCAACGTTTCAAAGAGCCATGCTTTCAATCTTTTCGGATCTAATAGAGGAAATGGTTGAGGTCTTCATGGACGACTTCTCGGTCTATGGCTCTTCTTTTCCTCTTGTTTGTCTAATCTATGTAGGGTGCTGAAAAGATGTGAGGAAACGGGCTTGGTCTGAATTGGGAGAAGTGCCATTTTATGGTGAAAGAGGGGATAGTCCTTGGCCACAAGATCTCAGAGAAAGGCATTGAAGTGGACAAGGCAAAGATAGAAGTAATGGTGCAACTTGGGGAGCCAAAATCAGTTAAGGATGTGAGAAGCTTCTTGGGACATGCGGGTTTCTACAGGCGCTTTATCAAAGATTTTTCTAAGATAGCAGGCCACTCACAAGACTCTTATGCAAAGAAACAGAGTTCATCTTTGATGAAGAGTGTAGCCAAGCTTTCTTGAAGATCAAGGAAGCCCTTGTTAGCGCACCAATTGTCCAAGCTCCAAATTGGGATTCCCCTTTGAGATAATGTGTGATGCCTCAGACTTCGCGGTTGGAGCAGTGCTTGGTCAGAAGGTGGATAAGAAGATGAACGTCATCTACTATGCAAGCAGGAACGCTAGATGATGCTCAAACCCGTTATGCAACGACCGAGAAAGAATTACTAGCCGTAGTGTTTGCTTTTGACAAGTTCAGGAGCTACATTGTGGGATCAAAGGTCATAGTTCACACCGATCACGCAGCTCTCAAGTATCTCTACACCAAGAAAGATGCTAAACCGAGGCTGATAGATGGGTTCTCTTGCTTCAAGAGTTCGATATCGAGATCGTCGACAAGAAAGGCACCGAGAATAGCGTGGCCGATCATCTATCAAGATTGAGGATTGAGGAGATGTTCCCATCGATGACTCTTTGCCAGAAGCAACTCATGGCTGCCAAGATCGTGGATAGAGGTTACTTGACCAAGTGCCGGCTGGAGGAAGAGCGAATAGCAAGAGGAGAAGAGGTTCCGTGGTACGCAGACTTTGTGAACTACTTGGTGTGCAGGAAGTTCCAAGTGGATGGAGTGGTTATCAGAGAAAGAAGTTCTTCAAAGATGTGGTTCACTACTACTGGGATGAACCCTATTTGTTCAGAAAAGGGAATGATAACTTGTTCAGAAGATGTGGCTAAAGAAGAGGTTGAGGGAATCTTGTTCCATTGCCATGGTCAAGCTATGGAGGCCATTTTGCGGTTTTAAAACGGTCCAGAAGGTGTTACAAGCAGGTTTTTGGTGGCCAAGTATGTTCAAGGATGCTCATGCCTTCATCTCTAAGTGTGAGGCTTGTCAAAAGGCAGGGAACATCACGGCTAGGAACGAGATGCCTCAGAATCCTATCTTGGAAGTTGAAGTGTTTGACGTGTGGGGAATAGATTTTGTTGGTCCATTCAACCCTGCCTCTCACGGCAACTTACATCTAGTGGCCGTTGACTATGTCTCAAAATGGGTGGAAGCATAGCCGCACCAACCAACGATGCCAAAGGTCCTCAAGCTGTTCAAGACTATCATTTTCCGAGGTTTGGGGTTCCAAGATGTGTGATCAGTGATGGAGGATCTCACTTTGTGAACAAGGTGTTTGAAAAAGTATGGGGTGAAGCACAAGATAGCCACACCATACCACCCTCAAACTAGTGGTCAAGTGGAGGTTCTAACAAGCAAATCAAAGCCATACTCCACAAGACAGTGAACTCATCAAGGAAGGACTGGTCAGAGAAGTTGGATGATGCTTTGTGGGCTTATAGAACTGCTTACAAAGACGCCAATTGGGAGATCTCCATACTCTTTGATCTATGGGAAGTCTTGCCATTTCCTCTTGAGTTGGAATATAGAGCTAGATGGGCAATAAGTTCCTAAACATGGAGCTAAGTACAGCTCAGGAGAAGAGGGAAATGGACCTCCACGAGCTAGAGGAGATTCGCTTGGATGCTTATGAGAGTTCTCGAATATACAAGGAGAGAACTAAGGCCTTCCATGACAAGAGAATCACTCCAAGGTTTTCAAGGAGGGAGATGATGTGCTCCTCTACAACTCAAGGCTCAAGCTATTCCCTGGGAAGCTTAAGTGTCGCTGGTCAGGACCATTCAAGGTCAAGGAAGTGTTGCCTTATGGAGCCATCACCCTAGTGAACAACAATGGAGCTGAGTTCACGGTTAACGGTCATCGGTTGAAGAAGTACATGGGGAGTCAAAGCATTGGAGAGGGAAGTTCAATCCGTCTCCATGATCCACCCCAAGCCTAAAAAGGCAATGAAAGTCAAGCTATGGGACTCAAAACAAGCTCACTTGGGAGGAAGTCCCATGTTATCCTTTTGTAAATAGTTTTATTTTTATCTAGCTTTGTTTTTATCTAATGTGTTTTGTAGGATGATTCAAGAAGAGAGCTGAGAGAGAGTTAAGGAATTGGAAATGGGCAGTTCTATAAAGACATTTCTTGTCCAAGAGCTTAAGATTCAACTGCCCAATCCAACACTCCTTTGACTCTAATCTCAGCTTAACCGGGTGAATTCTAAAGCAGACGGGTTGTCAATCAGGTTCAGGTTCTGACAACCCGCGTCAGTAAGTGACCCGTTTCTTTTTGAATTTTTAAAATCAGAAGAAACCCTTTTTCCTCCTTTATTTTAAAACTTGGGGTTTCTTCTTCTTCAAAAAGCTTTTTCCCCGATTCTCTCTACACGAAAATCTCGGATTTCTTCGTTTCTCAACCAAAATTCGAATTTCAAAGCTCAAACTCTTTAAATCCGCCGCTCGATCAAACTTACTCGATTCATCTCCGACAGTCCAATCAAGGTATTCCGATCCTCGTTTTTACTCTTTCACTTCCGGTTTTTCCTTTTTGGGATTCAAAAGAGAAACCGTTTGTTGCTATTCTTGAGTAGATCCATGATTGCGACTAGGTTAGATCGAATTCGAGTTTGCATGTAGGAAATTTCGTGCTTGAAGTGAATTCGAGACTAGGTTTTTCAAAGTGTTCTTGAGCTTTTCTAGCTAAAATCTCGAGGTTCACGGCATGTTTTTAAAATTTCCTGTTAAATGATCTTGAGTGGTTGGATTTGAAAGTTTTGAGCTCGTTCTTAATCGAAAATCGAATTTGGTTTAAGCCGAAGCTTTGAATTTGATTGTTTGTGATGTTCTAAAACAGAGCCTAATCGTACCTTGAGAATTGTTTTCTCTCAGGTACAATGGCGAAGAACAAAGTTCACAAAGAAGACGGTTCAGAGCGAAGAGTGGAGAGGGCAAGAGAAGAGAAGCGTGAGGGAAGAAGAAGATGGACTATAGTGGAAAGAGGAAGAGGCCCAAAGGAATCGGTCCGAAGTGGCCAGAGAGCTGGCAGACATGGACGACTCGTGATCCCAAGGACCTTATGGAGTCCAAGAACGCATCCGTATCTTGAGGAGGATGCAGTTCATGTCGATGCGCTACCCACATCCGGAAACCATCAAGGCTGGGGAATAGAGGAGGATGTGAAGACATCTTCTACTACCGAGCTTGGAGATTCACGAAGATGGCTTCCCGGCGTACATAGAACCAGCGATGAGTTCCTCGCATCTCTGAAGCTCAAGAAAGCATCCTCAAGAAGCGCTGCTGAGCTCAAGAGAGATGGGATCGGATACATACCTTCACGCTCTGGGGCAAGAGTATCGGTTCAGCATGATGGAGCTGGACCATCTACAAGTTGGAGGAGTGGGTCTTGACACCGAGATGTGTGTAGCCGCAACAGAGCTTCATGCCCTTTGGAGAATGATAAGCTCGAGTCTTATCAGATCTCAAGAACAAGAGTGGTCACATCAAGAACCCGGCCATACGCTACGCTCATAAGGTGATCGCTCACACTCTCTTTGCAGACATGACTGCTCGAACGTCACACGCAAGAACTTGAGCTGCTTGACACCCGGCATCATCCAGAAGCTGTGAAACTCTGGACGACGGAGAAGAGATGAAGAGGAGACTTGAAGCACGCAAGCAAGGTAGTGTGATGAACTCTTCTGCACATCATGAGGAACGCAGAGCTGTCTATACGAACAAGGCAAGATCAAGGATCACACTTGGCAATAGGCAGCATGATCACTCCGATCCTTGCCACAAAGTCAAGCTCCCGCCCCTTCTCAAGTTCATGGACATCGCCTTACCTGAACAAGACTGGTTCCTGCGTGGAATGCACAATGGAAGCACATCTATCGCTTTGAGCATCCCACATTTGGCATCTCGAAGGTCCTTCTACCGAACACCGATCTCACAAACACCAACAGCCGAGGATGGAATCCTGTTTCTCCCACGGCTGATCAGTTGTTCATGGATGGAGGCGATGCCGGTCGATGAGAACAAGGGCGAAGAAGGAGAGCCTTCCTCAAGGAAAACAAGCGAGCTTGGGAGTTTGACTTCATCCCCTACAACGCGAAGTGGAAGCGTCCGGCGATCATCAAGGCGCACGAGCACATTGGCATGCTTCAAAAGTGGTGCAAGAAACAAGATGAGGTGATCAAGAAGCTCACCGAGACAGTCAACGTCCTCAAGGAGAACTCTCTTGCAAGTCACCTAAGCAACCAAGGCCGCATCACCAACTAAAACCGTGGAGCCGGCGTTAAGGAGAAGCAAGCGGAAGAGAAAAACCGGCGCATCACCACCTCCAACGTCTTCAACGGAGCCGATCGATCTTGACGAGTGTCCCACACCACCCTACCCTGATAACGAATAAGGTCAGACTCAAACTCATTGTAAATACCACTCATTTTTATTTTTCTTTGTTTTGCATCTCTTTGATGGATCTCTTCTTCATTCTCTTTGTGCACCAAGAGACTGTGCACTTTAAGTTTGGGGGAGAGGTCCATAGCATTTGATCATGTTTTCTGTGAATCTTATTTTCAATTTTCATCCTTGAGTCTCATGTAGTTTCGCATTTGCATATATGGCATAGAAAAACCAAAAAAAATTGAAAAATTTCGAAAATTGCATTCCACCAAAAAGAAAAGCATCATGAGCATTTGCATTTTAGGATTGAGTCTAGATGCATATCATTTCATTTGCATTGAGGACAATGAGAAATAAGAGACTGTGATTTTTCGAAATGGTTTCAATGATCCGGTTTTGAATCATTTGGTGCATATAGAACGAGCTTGAAGTTAAGAAAGAACCACACCTTGAATGCACTCTTTGATATCTAGATTTGGCTGAAGCATTGTTGTGATTTGATCTCTCATCCTGCCTATCGAAACCTGAATTTGAATGTCTAATTATCATCCTTGTGCATTTGCTAAGAACTCGTGGATACATATACATACTTGGATTATCTTTCACCCTTTTCACCACTCTTGTTAATCCAAGTAGATTTCCCCACCTTGAACCAAACTTTCTTTGAAACCAATTTGCTATTTCTGAGTGTGTGAGGCCTTTTTGGTTGAGCTTGGTAGAAAGTGTTGGGTTTTTACCGACAAGGTCTAGGCTTCCATGTAGATTCTAGCTCGTTCCTTTGAGCTAGTTAGGACTAAGTTTGGGGGAACACCATTTGGGACTTGGGGAAGTTCTTAAAAGGAAGAAGAGAGAAAGAGAGTTCCAAAAAGAATCCTAAAAAGGGAAAGAAAAGTTTTAAGCCGAGTCTCTTAGGAGGGAAGAGTTGTGAAAGTGTAGCTCTCTAGTAAGGTTTGGGAAAGAAGTAAAGCTCTAGCTAGAAAAAGAAAAGAAAGAAAGGCAAAAGCCAAGTTTAGAAAAAGAGTTAAAAAGCCAAATAAAAGAAAACTCCCAAACCGCTAGATGAAGTTTAGAAACCTCTCCTAAGGGCTTGAAAGCAAAGAAAAGAAAAGGTTTCCATTAAAAGGTCAAGCAAGTTATGCTTTCTTGGGTAGATAGGATTCTTGGGAAACAGGGGATTGTGCTTCATTGTTCTCGGGTAGATGGAAGTCTAGCCTTGTATCATCCTTGGTTTTTACCCTTAGCATTCTACTAAAGCTCAACCTTTTTCTTTGAGAGATCCCTGTGCTGATTTTGAAACCAGAAAACAGGGACCATCTTTGTCCTTTGAAACTTACCCTTAAGCCAAGCGAGTACTTTGAAATGCATGAGCGGTTGATTCACGGTTCTGAAATAATTGAATGTTAAAGGATGAGAGTTATTTGAATGCATTGTGTAAGTTGAGTCTAGTGTCTTCCTGTTGCTTTGATTGGTGTGGCTAAAATTTTGGAAGTAGAGCTCATTCGCCTTGCATTTTATGATTCTCAACCGATCATTGACTTCGTTTCCTCTCATTGCATCCCTTGAATTTTGAGTCCTCGACATATCAGCATCTCTCGGATTTGTCTTCTCGCTTGAGGGCAAGCAAAGTGATGTACTTGCATTTTGCATAGTTTTAGTACATCTTTTATGCATCTTTTGCATAGTTTTAGCATCCATTAGCATCATATCTTGTTCCTTTTCTCTTCTTATGCATTCATAGTAGTTTTAGGTTGCATTTGCATACATATGCATGTTTGGTCCTTTGAAATAGGTCTTTTGGAGCATTCTGGAGCATATGGGACATGAAGGAGCATGGAGGGACTTGGCACATGGACGCAGCTCAACTGGATACGCAAAGGAAGAAGGAGGAAGCCATCTTGAAGACCAGCTCGACCATCTACTACTCGACCAACCGGTCGAGTTCCTCAACTCGACCGGCCAAGCTTCAACTCGATCGAGCTGAGAAGTCAACAGTCAAACCCGAAAAATGTTGCTTCCCCCTTGACTTTCCTTTGACCCTAAACCTAAATCCTCTTGTATTTAAAGGCTAAAAGCCACGAAAAAACCACCAAGCTTTAGATTACTTTTGTTTTAGTTTCTTTTAATTTATTGTCTTTTACTTTTGAGAGCTCTAATCCCATCTTTGTGTTCTTGAAGCTCTTGCTTCTTGAATCCTAGATCCTGGATAATCTCTTTTGTATTTGCACTTGCTTATTTCAATAAAAGTTGTTTAATTTCATCTCCTCTTTCTTATGATGTCTCTTTTATTGCATTTGTTGTTTTATTCATGTGTAGTGAGTAGTTACCCATTAGGGTTTGAGATGGGATAGATTAGAGGATTTTATGCTTAATCCTTCTTGCTTATGTCTTAATCTAGATCTCTCTCTTTTGGATAAACTTAAGGCTACATGACCACTACCCCTGGCTTGTATGTCCATTAGGCGATTCTCCACATGGAAGTGATGGAAATCGTGGAAAAGGTCCACTAAGAGCTCCAATATCTCTTGCTCTAGAAATGAGGTCTAAGGGGTTGGATGGATTAGTTTGAGCAATGATCCTATGGCCTCCAAGGCTTGATTCTCACTGGCTAACCCCCTGTTTCTGAGATCAAGTCTTGGTTGATAGCTTTTTGGCTAGGCATTGAGAAGCCCAATATCAAGAGAAGCCTTGATACAAGGAGTTTTAAGAGCTAGATGATTAAGTGTAGATTCCTTTGATTGCAAAACCCTGTCTTGAACCCTAATTCTCTCTTAGCTTGTTAAAGTCGCTGCCTTTAGCTTTTTTGCTAACTCGACCCTAAACTCGATCGAGCTGGTACTCTGTTCCTACTCGACTCGAGTCTTGGTCGAGGCTTGTTTACTGCTTTATTTACTTTTGCATTGCATTTCTGTTTCATTTAGGTTGTTAGTGTTACCAAATCTATACTGCTTGCTTGACTTCCTGGTTGTTTCATATTCTCATAGAGTGACAAGTTTCCCATTTTGGATTGATAACCCTTTGTACTACATCAACTATCATGGTTAAAGGGAATTGTTGACTGTGTTTGTGTTTGCATCTTACCACCTCATCATATACCACTGATTGCATTCCACACATCTCATTTCATATCTTTTCACATCCACACACAAATCCTATCATCAATTTGGCGCCGTTGCCGATTTGGGATATTTTTGTTGCATTTGAGTTTCAAACATACTTGGACGATCAAGCTATACCACCCCTGTTCTATTGTACTGCTGGGTTTTTGTCTCTTTTTGCAGGTGTATGCGAACTCGATCGAGTCGGTCTACAAGACTTGGTCGAGCTAGACTTTACAACGGGTAGAAAGAGGGTTCAGAGGTCACAGAGGGTACAAGAGGAACCTGAGGTGCTTGTTGCTGATACAATGGACGTACCAGAGGGGAATGGAAACCCTTTGGGAATGGACTCGGTCGAGCTAGGCAAACTCGACCGATTGGTCAAGGAGATGCTCCAAACCGCCACCAACAGAGACAAGGGATTGTTCCACCACCAGTGCAGAACCACAACTTTGAGATCAAGCTGGGAATGATCAACCTTGTCAGAACAAGATGTTCCATGGATTGCCAAGTGAAGACCCCATTGACCACCTTGATGAGTTTGATAGGCTTTGTGATTTGACAAAGATCAATGGTGTCTCTGAAGATGCCATCAAGCTGAGACTCTTTCCTATGTCTCTAGCTGACAAAGCTCACCAATGGGAGAAGAGCTTGCCCCATGGCACAATCACCACTTGGGATGAATGCAAGAAGGCCTTTCTTGCTAAGTTTTTCTCCACCGGTCGCACAGCCAAGCTTAGAGGAGAGATATCCAGCTTCATCCAGCGAAACAATGAGACATTCGCAGAGGCTTGGGAGAGGTTCAAAGGGCTACACAAGTCAGTGCCCACACCATGGATTCAACAATGAATCACTACTCTCCACTCTTTATAGAGGATGCTTGCCTAGGTATAGGGAGATGCTAGACACAGCTAGCAATGGGAACTTCCTCAACCAGGATGTAGATGATGGCTGGCAACTTGTGGAGAACATAGCAACTCAAATGGAAGCTATGGAGAAGAGTATGATCGCACCAATCGGAGCTTGATGTACTTGCATTTTACATGGTTTTAGCCCTTCTTTTATGCATCTTTTGCATAGTTTCATTCACCCAAAGCATCATTTCTTGATGTTTTCCCTTCTTTTGCATACATAGTAGTTTTAGGCTTGCATTTGCATACATGTGCACGTTTGATGTCTTAATCAGGTCATTTGGAGCCAATTGGAACATTGCCTATCACTGGAGACTAGTTGAGGAAGGAAAGACTCTGTCTGCCCCATGTACGGACCCGCACTCGGTCGAGCTAGTGAGATGCGTCCGAAGTATCGTATCAAATGAAGGGTTTCCACTACGATTCAGCCTCTGACTTCTTCTTGGAAGTTGTGGATAATTGAGTTAGCTTTCGTCTGGAGGTGGTTTCATGTCATTCGGACCAGCGGTTCAGAAGATACGACGATATTGGTTGGACTCGACCCACCAGCTCGACCGGCCAGTTTCCAACTCGATCGAGCTGCTTTCCAGGAGTCAAAGTCAAACCCGAAAAATGTTGCTTCCCTTTGACTCCCCTTTGACCCTAAACCTAGTTTGCTTTACTATAAATGGCATTGAGCCACGAATTAAACACAGCTTTGGCTCAACCTTTTAATTAATCTTGTATTTGCATTTCTCTTTTTACTTTTTAGCCTCTCTTTGTGTTCTTGAGCTCTTGCTCATAGAACCCTAGATCTAGGCCTTGTTATTGTGTTTTTGCACTTTGCTATTTCAATAAAAGTTGTTTATCTTTATCTCCTCTATCTTTTGATGTCTCTTTCATTGCATTTGGTTGTTTATTTCATCATGTGTAGTGAGTAGTTCCCTTTAGGGTTTAAGATGGGATAGGTTAGAGGTTGTTTATGCTTAATCTTCTTGCTTATGTTCTTAATCTAGAAATCTCTCTCTTTTGGACAAACCTTAAGGCTACATGACCACTATCCCTGGCTTGTATGTCCATAGGCGATTCTCCACATGGAAGTGATGGAAATCGTTGGAAAGGTCCACTAAGAGCTCCAATAACTCTTGCTCTCGAAATGGAGTTCATAGGGGTTGGATGGATTAGTTTGAGCAATGATCCTATGGCCTCCAAGGCTTGATTCTCACTGGCTAACCCCCTGTTTCTGAGATCAAGTCTTGGTTGATAGCTTTCACCTTGGGAAAGGGTTAGCTAGGCATTGAGAAGCTCAATATCAAGAGATAGCTTGATACAAGTTGTTTAAGAGCAAGACTGATTAAGTATAGCCTCCCTTTAGCTGCAAAACCCTGTCTTTAACCCTAATCTTCGCATTAGCATCTTAAAGTTTGCACCTTTATCGCTTTTCATTGCATTTCCTCTGTTTTTACACCAACTCGACCCTCAACTCGATCGAGCTCATCAACTCGATCGAGCTCTTGGTCGAGCTGCTTTTATTTACTGCTTTTGCTTGCATTTCATTTCATATTAGGTTGTTTAGTTGTTACATCCCTCCATTTAATCATTTGGCTTGACTTTCTTGTGTTTGCATATTCTCATAGAGCAACATCTCACCCTTATGGATTGATAACCTCTTATACTTCAATGACTATGATGGTTAAGAGGAATTGATTGATTGTGATTGCACCATACCATCTCATCTTCTATTCACCCCTGTTTGCATTCCACCTCATTTCATATCATCTTCATTCACTTCATCCACTAAAATCCTATCATCAGAGCTCGACCCACACTCGATCGAGTCAGACGAAAAGTTGAGAAAAGATGTTAAGGCATTGAATGAGAAGTTGGATAAGCTGATCCTAGCTCAGTCCACAATGAAGAAAGTCAACTTTGTGTCTGCTGAGGAGATGGAACCAGTCCAAGAAGGGGAGGATACACAATTTGCTGAGGTATGCTACATGAGCAATGGGCAAGGAGGTTACAACAAAGGATACTATAATTACAAGTCCAACCCTGCCATGTCATACCGCAACACTGATGTTGCTAACCCTCAGGACCAAGTATATCCTCAACAACAAGCAGCTCGATCGAGTCAGGTGCCACAACATGGGTATGGTCAAAAGAACAATTACCAAGGACCACAAGGCACTTTCCCTGGACAACAAATGAATATCCCACCAGGCTTCCCCCACCAACCGCCCCAGCCTGCACCTTCACAAGAGAATGAGCTCAAGGCAATGCTAAAGCAACTACTTCAAGGGCAAGCTGATGGGGTAGTGGACACAAGCAAGAAGCTAGCTGAAATAAACTCTAAGATCGAGAACCTCAACACAAGGGTTTACTCTCTGGAGAATCATGCTTCTTCTGTTGCTGCTGCTACAAAGCAAGGACAACTACCTGGTAAAGCTATTCAGAACCCCAAGGAACAGTGCAAGGTCATCTTCACTCAAGAAGGACTTGTTGAAGAAGAGGATCAAGAAAGGGTCATTGAAGATTTTTGTTTACTGCTGAATGATGAAGAGATTGTTGCTGCTGAGGCTCCTGGAGTCCAGATTGATCAACCAGAAGTGCATGCACCTACTGTGGCCATTCACACTTCACCAGTTGAGCTCGCACGACAAGCTCGATCGGCAGCTCGATCGAGTCCAACTCTAGCTCGATCGAGTCCGACCTCTTCTGTCCAAACCTGTTTTGCTTGATCCTTACCAACCGGTTGCCGCTTCCTCGTCTCGCCTACTTAGTCAAGGTCACAAGGAAGTGATTCACAAGTTCAGAAGAGATCTCAGTGGGATTGGAATTGAGTTGCCTCCTATGGATAGCATGAGTGAGGCATTTGATCAAATGCAAATGGTCAAGGATGTTCTAGCCAACAGTGATAAAGTTTCAGAGGTCCTGAAGAGTCTACTCATCAGTTCAACCTGCTTACTTCACCCACCTTCCTACCAAAGGTCAAGGATCAAGGGAAATTCACTCTCCCTTGCACACTTGGGCATCTTGAGATTGACAATGCCTTAGTGGATTCTGGAGCAAGCATCAATCTGATCTCTCTCTCCATGGCAGAGAAGCTAGGCATTGCTGGAGCCTTGCAGCGCCCTACTACTTCAATCATGTTTGGAGATGCAACTTCTAAGTCTCCTCTTGGAGTGTTCAAGAACTATCACTTGAAAATTGGAGAATGCATCATCCAAACTGATCTCACTGTGATGGAAATGGAAGAAGAGAAGGATTTACCCTGTTATTGGGAACCCCTTTCCTTAGTACAGTTGGCGCTTCAATAGACTTTCACAAGCAAGAAGTGATCCTTCACAAGGTGAATAGTTTGGTGTCATATCGCTTGCAGCCTAGAGGTTCAGACTTTTGTGCCACAATTGACAGTACCACTCTCAGTTCTAAGAGTCATGGAGCTACAAAGGTTGTGAAGGAAAGAGTTGACAAAGAACCAAGAGTTGGGAAGGATAAGGATGAGAGAGGACCAAGGATTGAGAAGCCACGTCTTGAGAGGGCTAGAGTTGAGAAACCACGTTCTGAGAGACCAGAGCTGATAGACTTGTTCAAGCCCCTTGTGTGCTTGATGAAGAGAGCCTTCAAGCTTTGTTTGATGAGCCACTAGGAAGGGCTCTAAAAGAAGGGGAGGATGTAGCCTCTAAGGCAAGACCAGGGATAAAAGAAAGATCCACCAGCTCAGGCCCCTTCATTCAAGCCATCTCAGCTCACAATGACTTTGTTCCCCACCAAGTTTGAAAATGGGAAGATTGAGTACAAGATAAGGTACAAGGGGAGATCAAGGCCATTCTCTAGAGCCAAGGCCTTGGTGACTTCAGAACAGTCCAGGGACCCAACCAAGCTAAAGGAGCTTCTGTCTCAAGTCCTCACTATCACCCTTGATGGTGGGACTAGCTCAACCAATGCCTAAAAGGTAAAGGTCAAGCTATGGGACCTTAAACAAGCTCACTTGGGAGGAAGTCCCATGTTTATCCTTGTACATACTCTATTTATGCAATTTCTATCTATCTTTATGTTTTTAACCTTTGAATAAGTTAAGTTTAGGTGTCAAAGGAGCCAGCTCGACCGATAGCTCGATCGAGTTCCGCAACTCGACCGAGGTAAGTTTTTGAATTTCAAATTCATAACCGTTTTCTTGGTCAAGGGAGTGGGTCCCACAAGCTGATTTTGGTCCCCCACTACCCTAATTGATCAGAAATCCCTAGCTTCTTGTCCCCTCTTTATTTCATCTTTTAATCTCAACCACACATCTCAAACACCCTCTTCCCCATAACTCGATCGAATCCCACTCTCCCACACCTAAATTTCTGAAAACCATCTCTCTCTCTTCACCACAAGAAAAATCGATTTCCTCTCTTCTCTCCTAAGTTTTTGCGATTTCTATTGTTGCTCTTCTTGTTTTGCTTAGTTCTAGTTTACTGCTCTTCAATCATCATTCAAGCAAGGTATGAACCCTAAAACCCTTGATTCCTTCATCTCGATTTTCCATTGCTTGTTTCTCTTTGATTTTTGATTGCATGTGTCCCTTGAGGACTTGTCCTTGAGTAATTGCTTTCCTTTATGCTTCATATTTGTATAATCTTGTGAATTTGCCTCACCTCACCTCTGTTTTATCATTAGAACTTGTTGCATGTGCTTGAAAATTTGAATTTGAGTTTGGTATTGGTTAAGATGCTTAGTGCTTCACTAGAATTGCTCTTTGTTCCTTTACTAGTTGTTCTTGGTTCAATTTGATTGATTAGCATCTTTTCCAGCTCTTATTGCTTGATTAGGTTCGGTTATACTCTGTTTTCACCTAGCTCGATCGAGTTTGTCACTCGAGTTTTTTGACTCGATCGAGCTGAGTGTCGAGTTGACCAAACCAATCATTGCAACTCTAATTCTTTGTTTTTGATGCATTTCAGGAACCCAACTTCAAGAAACAACAAGTTCAAGATGTTGAGAGGTGAAGGAAGCCAAGCAGCATTGGGGAGAAAGCAAAGGGCAGAAAAGCAAGAAGAATGAGAGAAAGGATGTAAGATGCAAGGATTTGGAATATGTGAGATCAAAAGAGAGGAACCAGCAGATGCAGAGAGGCATGTCTCCTCTGAGGAGCGTCTGAAGCGAGAGATTGAGGGAGGAAAGGAGGACCAAGAAGAGGAATGACCCCATTAGTAGTGAGAGTGAACAAGGGGAGTTTGAGATTGGAGTGAACCTTGTTCAACAAGGAGGGAAATGGTTCTCCAATGAAGAAGGAAGTGATGGACTGAGAGTGAAGAGGAAGGAGAAGAGGTCAATCAAGAGATTGAGGAAGTGTGCATAAGAGCAATGAAAATGTGCCATGGAGGAGGCTGAATCAGAGGAAGAGGATGAACTCCCCATGTACCAAGAGCATTATGATGCCCTCTTCTCCATGGACTTTGTGGAGACAAGTACCCACATGATGACACAATGAGGACCTTGGGATCTTTGAGGATGTGGAGTTGGTGCTCAAGAACATGCAACTTGGAAAGTTCTTCTCTCACCGCATGGAGTCTTACAAGGAGCTGACTTGTGAGTTTTTGGCATCGATGAGGTATCACAATTCGATGAGCTCGATCGAGCTGAGTTGGACCAAGGCTGGGGTACATAACTTTCTTGGCAAGGGACGGGAAGAAGATCAGAGGAGATAGGGCACATGCAGGAAACCTCATGCCTCTCCTTGAGCAGCTACTTGCCTACAAAGGTCACGGCCTTACAACACTAGGTTCCAAACGGGAAGAAAGCTAAGTGTTGGAGGGGTGATCACACCAATCCTTTGTGCAGCAGGGAGTCCAACTGGACAAGAAGGTGTCAACTCCAGGTTGGATGGACATCAAGTTTTGCAAGACCAACCTCCTCATTGAGCACAAGGAGTTGGATGGGAGGTTCCAATTCAAGTTCACACATCCATTGGTTGGTCCTCCAAGCTTCTCCTGCCTAACCCAGAGCTCACCACAGTAGTAAGGGGTGAGAACATTGACTTCAGACCCCCTGTGTACACATTAGTTGGGCATGAGGATGATTTGCGAGAAGAGGAGCCTGAGCTCGATCGAGCTGAGGATCGAGCTGAGTCTCAAGCTGAAGATCGAGTCCAGGAGAGTGCGGATTTGGGTGAGCCTGAGTGCTATTATTTTGAGGAGTATGAGGCTCCAAGGATGAACCCCTCTGTTGTGGCTGCCCACAAGAGGATTGGACTTCTCCAAAAGTTCAACAAATGGCAAGGGAAAGCCATTGAAAGATGCAAAAGTCCATGGACAAGATGGTGAGCAAGATCAAGAGTTTGGAGAAGAAAGTTTCTGGTTCTTCAAGCAAGAAGAAGAAGTCCAAGGCCCCCACATTCCTAGGAGTAGATCACTCCTCACCACTCCAAGGAGGCTCCCTGCCCAAGAGCCTCACAGAGCCTCTTCATTCGAGCCAAGGGAAGGAGAAGACAACTCAGCAGAGAAGGAGGAAGAGCTTCCAAGGCCAGACGCTCCAGCTCGACCACCGGACTCGATCGAGTCCAAACAGAGGAAACTCAACTCGATCGAGCTGAGGGTCGAGTTGACCTGGAGGAGCCCCTGTTTGAGAATCCGGGATTCGAGTACGATCCCACGCCTTACCAGGACTTCTCCAGACCTCTGGACCCCTACAAGCTTCGAGCAAGCCAGCTCCCAAGGCCAAGGAAGCCACACACTTTCAACGATGAAGAAGAGGAAGAAGAGGAGCCGCAAGCTCGATCGAGTGAGGGAACCCAGTCGAGTGGAGTGCTCCTGATGGCCGTCTACCATCTCCAGACCACGACCTAGCCTCCCAGTTCTTTGGGGGGCACTGAGGTATCCAAACACCAACCCTTGTATATACCATTTCATATTTTCTTGCATTTTTTTGTTTTTCTTGGTTTTGCCCTCTTGAATCTTTCACTAAATTTTTCTCACACAAGGGACTGTGTGATTTAAGTTTGGGGGAGGGTTCAAGAGATGATTTAACCTTGTTTTCTTTGTTCTTAGTTTTTCATTTATCTTTTGCATAGAAAAACCAAAAAAATCATAAAATTTTCAAAAAATCCAAAAATATTTTCATCTTTTTGCATTCATATTTGTTAGACTTGTTTAGGATTGCATTTTTCACTTGCATTGTTGATTTGACTTTGAAAACTTGTCCATCTTTTGCGATTTCTTGAGTGCCCTGTTTTTAGATTCTTTTGTGCATTAGGGTGAGATTGATTGAGCAGCAAGAACCATGTTTATCTTGATCATATCACTGCATGCACATCTCATTCAACCATTGCTGTGATTTGATGCATTTCCCTATTTATTGAACCATAACTTGATCTTTAATTACCAATGCTTGCATTTGATTTCAACTCATGGCTACCACATACATATCTGGACATTCTTTACCATTTTCATATCCCTTTTGCTTGTCCAGATAGCTGATCTCTATCCTTTGAGACAGTTACCACACCTTAAACCTAAGCCTTTTCATTTCAAACCCCATATTATCTCTTGTGCGAATGTGAGAACCTTTCTTGGCTTTGCTTAGCATAAGGTGTTGTGTTTAAACCGGCAGGGGCAGTAGTTCTAGTTGTCTAGTTCTCTTGGGATTGTTTTCAGGCTAAGTTTGGGGGTGCCAACTCGAGCTCGATCGAGTTGGGTGTAAAAACCAGAAAAGTGGTAAAAGTTGGGAAAAACCCAAAGGAAAAAGAGTTTGGTTAAGTCCAGGGAGTTGGCAGTGTTAAAAAGGGTCTAGTAAAGGTTTGGGAAGTTAAAAAAGGAAGTAAAAAGGGTTCTAAGTAGAATGAAAAGAAGGCAAAGCCTCAAGTGTCCAAAAAGGAAAGAAAAGTTCCCTAAGTGTTTAGAAAATCCCAAACCGCTAGATGTTACCTCAAGAAGCCTCTCCCTAGGAAGTTCTTAAAAGAAAAGTGAGCAAAGCTCCTCAGTTTCAAAGGCGAAATGCCAAAAAGGGTAGTTAGGATTTTGTTCTAAAAAGCTCTAAGTGTTGAACTCGATCGAGTTAGGATTAGACGGCTCGAGCTGCTGTTCTTGCATCATCTTTGGTTCTAACACTTAGCCTTCTGCCAAAGCAAAGCCACTTTCTTGAGAGATCCCTGTTACTAAACCACCATACAAAAGAGACCCTCTTTGTCTCTTAACCCATAAACCCTTGAAACCAAATGAGTTGATTGATCTTGCATGTTTTTGGTTCACTGTTTTTGCTTAATGAATGTTAAAGGGATTTGCTGATTTGAATGCATTGTTTGAGTGACTGTGAAGTGGGATTGATGTTGATAAGCATGGTTAAATCTTAATGAATATCTCTCACCTTGTTGCATTCTAGAATCTCTAAGTTGGACATTTAGCAAATCGCTTTTGAGGACATGTTTTTAAGTGTTGAATCAGCTTATTTTCAAACCTCATCTCTTTCTTGTTCTATTTGTTTGCTTGAGGGCAAGCAAAGTTCAAGTTTGGGGGTGTTGATGTACTTGCATTTTACATAGTTTTAGCACATCTTTTATGCATCTTTTGCATAGTTTTAGCTTCCATTTGCATCATATCTTGTTCCTTTTCTCTTCTTATGCATTCATGTTAGTTTTAGGTTGCATTTGCATACATATGCATGTTTGGTCCTTTGAAATAGGTCTTTTGGAGCATTCTGGAGCATATGGGACATGAGGAGCATGGAGGGACTTGGCACATGGACGCAGCTCAACTGGATACGCAAAGGAAGAAGGGAGAAGCCATCTTGAAGACCAGCTCGACCCCTACTCGACCAACCGGTCGAGTTCCTCAACTCGACCGGCCAAGCTTCAACTCGATCGAGCTGAGAAGTCAACAGTCAAACCCGAAAAATGTTGCTTCCCCCTTGACTTTCCTTTGACCCTAAACCTAATCCTCTTTGTATTTAAAGGCTCTAAGCCACGAAAAAACCACCAAGCTTTAGATTATTTTTGTTTTAGTTTCTTTTAATTTATTGTCTTTTACTTTTTAGAGCTCTAATCCCATCTTTGTGTTCTTGAAGCTCTTGCTTCTTGAATCTTAGATCCTGGATAATCTCTTTGTATTTGCACTTGCTTATTTCAATAAAAGTTGTTTAATTTCATCTCCTCTTTCTTATGATGTCTCTTTTATTGCATTTGCTTGTGTTTACATTCATGTGTAGTGAGTAGTTACCCATTAGGGTTTGAGATGGGATAGATTAGAGGTTTCATATGCTTAATCCTTCTAGCTTATGGTCTTAATCTAGATTCTCTCTCTTTTGGATAGATCTTAAGGCTACATGACCACTACCCCTGGCTTGTAAGTCCTTAGGCGATTCCCCACACGAAAGTGATGGCATTCGCTGGAAAAGATCCACTAAGAGCTCCAATATCTCTTGCTCTAGAAATAGAGGTCTAAGGGGTTGGATGGATTAGTTTGGGCAATGATCCTATAGCCTCCAAGGTTTGATTCTCACTGGCTAACCCCCTGTTTCTGAGATCATTCCTTGGTTGATAGCCTTCACCTTGGGAAAGGGTTGGCTAGGCATTGAGAAGCCCAATATCAAGAGAAGCCTTGATACAAGGAGTTTTAAGAGCTAGATTGATTAAGTGTAGATTCCTTTGATTGCAAAACCCTGTCTTGAACCCTAATTCTCTCTTATCTTGTTAAAGTCGTCACCTTTAGCTTTTTTGTCTCAACTCGTCCCTAAACTCGATCGAGCTGGTACTCTGTTCTGACTCGACTCGAGTCTTGGTCGAGCTGCTTCACTGCTTTGTTTACTTATTGCATTGCATTTCTTTCATTTAGGTTGTTAGTGTTACTTCAAATCTATACTGCTTGCTTGACTTCCTGGTTGTTTCATATTCTCATAGAGTGACAAGTTTCCCATTTTGGATTGATAACCCTTTGTACTACATCAACTATCATGGTTAAAGGGAATTGTTGACTGTGTTTGTGTTTGCATCTTACCACCTCATCATATACCACTGATTGCATTCCACACATCTCATTTCATATCTTTTCACATCCACACACAAATCCTATCATCAGTGCGTCGCCAAGAGTGAGTGTGGTCTCTGGCGGTATTGTGGTGGAAGCTAGGTAGGGTTTTATCCTCTGTCCATTAACTGTAAAGTCTCCTCCCATTGGGTCCCAAAGTACCATTGCTCCATAGGGGCGAACTTCTTTTATTCTAAATGGTCCAGCCCATCTTGAGCGAAGCTTTCCCGGAAAGAGTTTCAACCTTGAGTTGAATAAAAGAACCTGGTCGTTTGTCGCGAAGTTCTTTGGAATGATCTTGCGGTCATGGAAAGCCTTGGTTCTCTCCTTATAGATCTTTGAATTCTCATACGCCAAATGTCGAATCTCATCAAGCTCATTTAGCTGAATCAATCTCCTTTTTCCTGCTGTCTTTAAGTTGAAGTTCAACTCCTTAATGGCCCAAGCTGCTTTGTACTCTAGTTCTACAGGTAAATGGCATGCTTTTTCATAAACAAGATGAAAGGGGGTGGTACCTGATATACCTCTATTTTACATGCTTTTTATACTGTTTTAGTATTGTTTTCTAATGGTTTTTGGCAGGTTTTCTATCTAAAAAGGTAGTTTTACTGTGTTTATAGTGTCTAGAGTCTAAACAGGTGAAATGATGCATTTTGGAGCAAAACCATAGGATTTGCACTTCAAGCCGCTCCATGCACAAGCATCAACTTTAAGAGGGCCCAGAAAAAGATCTACTCAATGGATTTCATCAAGACCAGTTCCCTGCGTGCTCTGATTGAGTTAACTTTCCAACGCAACTGGAACGGCCTCATTTGGATGAGTAGAAAAGGAGTTATAACCAAAAGAGTGAAGACTGTCCAGACGGCTCTATCGAGAATCAGCGCCAACCGTGCAGAGCGGCTGGCCGAGAAACGAATGTTCCGCGTCGGCCAAAATCGTATCCTCCGTCTGAAGTCTCGGCCAAAGTTCAAATCATCCGGCCGACGCATCACGACCCGGGAAAGCAATGTCCCGCGGTCGGCCAAGCCACGACCACTCACACGCCATGCCGCGCGAGCCGGGAACAAGCCTCGCGGCCGCGCAACCTTCTCGCGTACCACGGCCGATGCGCCGTCCGAGCCGGGAAGCACGTCCCGCGTCCGGCCGAGAAGCATCGGCCAATCTTCACCCGTCCGACCACAGCGGCCGACCGCAATCCGTCCGGCCACGACCGTTCCGATCGTACCACGACCACAACCCGATTGTCCGGCCGATCGTCCCGACCGACCGTCCGAACGCCGCGGTCGACCCGAAGCCCGTTTTGAAGCCCGATTTCATATTTTCAGGCCCGGCTTAACCCTAAGCCGCCTCTAAAGACCTAGCACTATATATATAGCTTTTTAGCCTCTTGTGAAAAGAGAGCCGCCTTGTATTTCGATTTCCTACTCTAAGTTTTATTGCAATCATGTTTTCTTCATCTCTATGTGTGTTTGCTTTGATCATGTCTGAGTAATCCACTAGTTAGGTTGCTAGGGTTACTATCAATGAGTTGCTTGCATGATCTTTGATTTCAATGATTAGCTAGGGATTATATAGAGTCTTTGTCTCGTCTTGTGCACTTAACTAATGCTGATTGCTTTACCGCGCATCTAGTAATCCGATCTTAGGTTGATTTGAGCCTCGACAGTGTTGTATCATTCGCCGGACATATTCTTTGACAAGCTAGGTTTCTTAGACTGCGAAAGTTGATCTACTATAATCTAGTGAACTGTATCAGAACCTATTCATTCTAAAGCTTGATTTAATCACCTAGGGACATACCAAAAGTTTAGCGACTAGGTAGATTAACAAAGGAGCCGGAGCCTCGAAAGTGGAATGGTTTTATATTCGTGATCTGTGTTGTAATAACCCTGAAACGGGATAAGAAGAATCAAGGAAGTCGATCAAGTGGAATATGGGATGTTTGAGTGGGAAACTCAATTAAACATGTGTTAAAAAGACACATGTCATAAACAAGAGAAAGATTTTCTGAGTGGGACACTTGTCACAATGGGGGATTCTTGATGGATTTAATGAATCTGGCCTTATGAGGTGTCAAGTATAGAAGCAATCAGGAATTTTGTGGCGGGCGTGTGGCGGCTCTGGAGGAATTCAAGGAGCTTGTCTAGACGATGTGTCGTC